ATTGGTAAAAATATGACTACAGTGGAACTTCCATAGCTTAAACATTCCTAAATCGTAGGCTCTTAAAGTCGAAGTAGTCATATTGCACTGCACTTGAAATTTATTCTCTAAAAATAAAAGTTTCTATAACTTTTTTTGGTAACAGATGGTTGGAATTTTGGATGTTCGTCTGTGTTTTATTTAAATAAAGTGCAAGTGTATTCCACAGTTCGTTTACCTGAGCCATATTTTCATGTTTATAAATGTTTTAAAAACTTGTCTTCATCCATTTGCAGCACCTGTGTGCTGGAACGCGACACAATGTCGCTGCATCCCACCTTCGTGGAGTACATCGAGGGCGCAATGGCCTATCTAATGGCTGAGACGGACAAGGATAATCTGAGCATTCGAGAGGTTAAGGCTCACTTTTGCAATTTCATACGCAAGATGATTAAGAACTTCTCACGTAAGTGCTCAACGTCCTCGAAGTGCTGTCATCATCACAACTTCGGTGGCGTATCCATCTGCTACAACTGATTGCCTGTTCATTTCTCTTAGTCGAATCCTGTGCCACGCTGCTGTCACGGGTCCTGAAGCGTAATCTGTTCAATTTGTTTGCCGCCTGGTGCGGCAGCTTTTCCAAACCGCTAGGCATTACCATGCAGATTGGCCAGACCCTTGAAGAGGAGAAGCTGCAGTTCAGCGCCCTGCAGGCAAGTACAAGAACAAAGCCGCATTAAGATTATTTCTTACTCAAGTATTGTGCACCGTTAAAAATTGTTCTCAAAATTATCAGAAACTCATTATTTTTAAAATAATACATCCATAAGCCATTTTAAATATTCTTAAAGTATTTATATTATTATTGTTTCTGAACGATTTAATCAATGATGATACTTAAATATCAACACAAAGTCTTTAAGCTTTAGAACTCCAAACATTTTTAATATTTCCCATTTAATCTTAAAATTTTTGAGTATTCTTCAAATGTTTATATTGATAAAGATTTATTATGTTATTATTATGTTTTTTTACAACTGGTGTATTCATTTTTTTTCTCTGTGTGTTCTTCTGTTCCGTTTCCTTCTTAGGCCATGTCCGCGCTTCTATGTTGCGGTCACATCTTCTATGTGCCTCATCTACAAGATGACGGCATCATATACAAGTGGCTGGATCTGTTGCTGACCTCCAAGGACGAAAAGGTAAACCGCCACCCACTTGTCCCTCCACTCGAATCGGAATTAACGTTGAAGTCACTTTCATAGATTTACCAACTGGCCCGGGATACGGTTGTGCTGCTGCTGGAATCAAATCCGGATATGGGGCAACTCCTAGAGTGGGTCATAGATCGGTGCTACACGTCGACACCACGCGAGGCGGATGCATGCTTCCTGGCCCTAGCCTCGATCTTCAGTGCCAAGTAAGTGAATGAAAACAACACATTAAACTTAAAACTGGGTGCCGCTTAATACGTAATCGCATTATGTTGGCCTTTCCTCCGCCCTTCACTTGCCGCCGTAATCACTTGGCCCATATACCCAGGTGGGGATTGGCGGATGAGGGAACAAAATCCCGATTACTCTGGTTCTCTTAAGTAGCGTTTCACGTGTCTGCCAACAATAAAAACTCTTTAAATTTACGCACACACACATGAGTGGATGACAGCCTATTTGTTCAGGCCAAGCACGTTTTTTATTTCCGTTTCCTCTTCGATTTTTTTCTGGTTTGGCCGTAATAACAGCAAGCGGGTTCGTTTCCTTTATATACGTGTGTTAGATAAACAGCTGAGAATATGAAGCACGGCATGCATGGCTCATTGCATTTAATGCAACTAAAATAGGCCGACAAATGTGTCAGAAGCGCTTTCTTTTTTTTTGGGTGGAGCTTAAAAAAAACACAGCAAAAGTAGACAATTAATTAAATCATTTACAATTTTCATTAATTTTGTATTATGAAAGTGTTTGTTTAGCCATTATGGCTTTTGATGTTATTGTCATATTATATCACATTTACCAAGTAGGCGTTTTCCATATGATTTCTGGCTAATTGGAAATGCAGACAGGCAAAAAATGTTGCTAAACAAATGTAGAAGTTTGTTTTCACAGTTTTAATAGAAATTAATTACCTATTCTAAAAACCAAATCGTCTGTCTCACCGCAGTTTAAATTTTCCATTTGAAATTTGTCGACATTTGTCGATGTCGAAGGGATTTTAGCCAGAAGCTATAGTTACCAGAGCACACTGGTTTGCGGTTTGTCCTCAGGGGGTATGTGATTTTGTGGTCTTTCCGAAAACCGAAAGACAAAACCATAATGGAAGCATCTAAACAACTTGAGACATGTGGTCTTTGTCGGCTGGATAATGTCAGACTGGAGTGCTCGTGTTGTTTATACCTTGTAGTGGTTGATCATATTGTGTGTATACATATCATGCTCACGGAAATGAATAATATATGTTCCGATTCTGAAGCTTTTTCTGACTTTATTTCTCAAATTGGTTATTTCGAAACTGATTTCCAGTTATTTTAGATCTATGGTACAAGAATATTTGGTCAAATCTTATGTGAACTACATTTTATCGAAATATTCAACATATTTGGATACAGGGTATCTCACAATCACGTCGTACGACTATGAGTTCACCTTTGTTTTTTTTTGGCTCAACCACATGCAGCATCTGGTCAGCGCGTGGCATTCTCAACTTTATTTTCCGCTTGATTTTTTGTGGCAGGTGGCGTTTGCATGCTGTTGGCACATCGAAGCGTATACTGTTTTAATTTTAAGCGGAAGTGTGATAAATTCTTTAAAATGCTGACCAGATTTAATGGCGACGAAAAAACGAAGAAGACTGCAAAGCAATTTCGCCAATAAAATGATTAATCATATCTGTTTTGGGTCTCTGTTGCTTATCGCTGGCAATTTGCGCCCGAGAACTCGCATTATTTGAATAGCCAGCCATTTGTCCTTGAACTTTGTCTTTACGACCATACGAAGGTCTAAATTATAGTTGCGATATATAAGTTTAGCACTTTCTTTTCTCCTGCCAACCCCTTTCTGGAAAAAAGAGAAAGAAAAAAATTAAAACCACAGCATACTTTGTAGTGCTGAAGGCTTGTGTTTGTGGGGATGGGGATGCAAAAGCGAAAATCGATTTGTGTAAATTATTCAATTCACTGCAAGCGTGAACGCAAGGTGAAGTGGGAGGTTATGTGGAGCGTACCTCTTGTCCGAAAGTGTTATTCCGCACCCTGGGGTACAAATTTGTGTGGATGCAAACAAAGAGTTGAAAGTGGGCTACGACATTTTAATGGATCTGTCGGGTATTGGATGGGGTGATGGCTTTTTTGGTTACCTGGCAGGTGGATAAGCCGCTGTTGACTGTTGGCACGTTGGGTGTGTCCTGTGTTAAATAAGTTTCGCGATATGTTCAGCACACGACCGCAGAACCGCATGCCAACAACCTCATTAGGTTACTTTGTAAGCTTTTGACTTGGCTTGCAGTACCCGTATTAAAGCCTTTTGTTTTTCTTTCCATTTTAATTACAGGGAATATCCGTGCGACCATTACACATCCGTGATAACAGTGACGCTTCTGATGACAGGCTGTCCTCGTGTGGAGGTGCATGCAACGGCGTTGCAACTGCTGCAGATCCTGGATAAGCGATTTTTCGGCAGCGTGGTGGGCACTCTGCACAGCGACAACGAAAAAGGTATGAGATTTTCCTTCTGACACGGCAACTAAGTCGGGGTGATGGCAATAAAATGAAAAGTAAATGACAATCTCGAGAAGTACTTTGCAGTGGTAAGGGGAATTTGCAGTACGGAGTTACTTCTATTATTTTATAAATAAACTTTTATTAATAGGGCACAAATTTGGTTTGGTGAAAACAAAAGTTCTTGTTCATAGCCCATGGAGTTGTCGTTGTTCCTTGGCTTCCCAAAAACATTCGAAGAAAACTTAATAAAAGTTTTAAATTATATATGAACAAATAAATTTTGAATAACTTTACAGGTTGAATGTTCAAGTTTTGAAAAATGGTACATGTGATTAATTAAGCGCAATACATAACTGTTAAACAACAACCTACTTAAAGAATCCTAAGAGAAAAATTAACCAAATTATATCTGAGCTGGGAAAATCCTAATCCCATGTGTTCTTTCAAATCTGTCAGAAACTGAGCTACTTAAACCAGCTTACATGACACTCAAGCTCTCAGACGAGTAAAAATGTTGTTCATTCGCTAAATTTCCCAATGCGGCAAGTGTTGTTTATGCTCCTTGTTTGTTGGAGCTTGAATTTTGCATTTTAATTTCATATATGTATGTACGCACCATCGTTTTATTGTTTTACCTTGGATGTGGTTGTGAAATTTTCATTGCATAACCTAAGAAGCTTTAAGAAGCTTTGTATCCACTTCCATATTCGATGTTCTCTGATTGAGTTTGGTGCTTTTCGGTGTATCTTTTTAATCCTCTACAGCTTATGGCTAATCTTCGAAGGTATTTGTCTTCTTAATTGAACCTGCAATAATGTTTTCCACTTCTAAGAAGGGCTTTGTGAGGCGGCTCCTCTACTTTGTTTGTAATTAGCAAAATTTCGATTCTTGCACTTCAAATTTTTTAGCTCCGTTTTGCATTGTTGTTCGTACAAGGATTTCAAGCCGTACACCCAAAAATGTTATCCGCCCACCTAAAAGCTGTCCTTGACCTTTTTTCTGCCTTCGTTTGCGTTATTTTTTGTTTAGGACTCTGCAATACAAGCTTAGTCCTGTAAAGTTAAAAAGATAATAATAAATCCATGGCATTGGGTCAGCGACGGAAAATGAGATTGCCTGATCTCGGGATTTAGCCTTTATTGCGAAAATTCAATTGCTTTAGGCTGTCAAATGTTTGATATTGGAAACTGTATTCGGCCATTTAAAGTTGATTAAACCCAATTGGCTTATTAGGATTAGTCAATTGGAAAATGGTTTAAATGCTTGTTGCGGCGAACTGGGAAATCAAATCAAAACTCATCCTGGCTGGCTTTTCATTGAACGAAATTAACATTTATTACATGTATACATTTTAGCGTTGTTTGGTTAGACAGTAATACGTTTTTATTAATCTAATCTATTGGGTTTTACGTTTGACGTTTTCAAATTGTATTTGTGGTTAGCTTTAAATTAAATTAGCGTGCGGTTTACAATTTGACTAGGTTTTGTTTAACAGCTTTTTTTTAATGGGTGTAAAGTTTATAAAGGAAAACAAAAACTAATTATTTGATTACTCATGGTTAGTTAAACACCTAAACACATGTAATACGGTGTATACAATACATTCTTAATTTTGATTTTTGTTTTTTATTTTATGTTGCTTGACCTTGACAAACATCACAAACAAAAGTTTCGCTTTCATTTTTTCATTCTGTAAACTAATTTTTACTTTCGGGGTTCTCTTATATTATGTTGACTGAAATCTAATTAAAAACGAAATTCCTGCTTATCCCGCGGCGTATTTCGCAATTTCACATCTTTCGTTGGCCTTCGGAGCCTCTAAGTTAATTTTGTACGTAAGCTCTGCAATTTATTTGAGTGGATGCAGCTCATGCATTTCGTTCCAACAATGCTGCGTCATCATTCGACGGCGGGTGGAGGTGCCAGTATTGCGACAATATTCTGAAACTGAAAAGAAAAGCCAAATAGCTCGGTAAGCATGTGAAAATGTATAAAATTGTGTGCGAGAAAGTCTTTGATAAATGCAATATTTCTTTGAATTTCAATTGCCATAGCAAAGAACCCATTAATTACATGTCAAGTTGACTTTAAGTACCTAATGTGTGCGCGTAAGACCAAAGTTAAATAATGAAATAAAATCACAACTTTATAGGCTTCTCATCATATTTCCTATTGTAAATTTTTTATTACTCCTGGGATTCATATATAATTATCTTTGTTTTCCGGTTCACCGCAATAGAGCCTTTATCTAAACAAAAGCGCATTTATCTTTTCACACAAAAAGTAAATAGAAAAATGTTCAGGCTATAGATTTTTTAGTTATCATAAAAATTCCGTCCTCATTTCAATTCATTGTTTTTCAGATTATCCGCTTTAGGGACACCACCCTAAAGTCAAAAATAAATAGCCATAGGTATTAAATATTTTTTCCAAATCAAGAAGAACATTAATTATTTTACTAAATCCGTATTTGCTTATGTTTTTTTTCGGTCCCATTTGGGTGTCCGTTTCTATCCTTTTTGTATTTACCTGACAATGCTTTGATTTACAATGTCAGTCGTATCAGCATCCCAGCAGGGCGCACAAAAGTAGACTATAAATTCGGTACTTTGGGGTTTCCAATGGGATGCTCAACTGGCTTTGTGGCTTATTTGCGCGCCAATTTATTGGCCTAACCAAATGCTGAACAAATCCGATTTAAGGACATTGCAAAACGCAGCGAATCATTGGGTTTTTGTTGGCTAATTTAACAAAGAACGGCAGCACATATTCATTTCGTTTGGTTTATTCTTTATTTTCCCCGAAATATTGTGTTTCATGGCAATCTGAGCTAATCAATCATCCGTGTTCAAAAGCAAACAAAGCTTGGAAAAAGTGCCAATAAATTCAGACCAGCGGCATTTTCCAATGAAAACAATGTTTGTCTGTCGTGTTTGCATTTATTCTTTTATGATCTTTGCTCTGGGTAATTATGGTTATCCTTCAAACGCAATTGTATTATATTTAAGTGACTGTTTAAAATTCACCTCAAAATCAACTTTAATTCTTCCGGTTGACTTTCGACACATTTTGACTCTCTGGAAAATCAACAAAGGAGATCTATAAATAGCATTTGTCATTTTAGCTCCTTGAGAAAATTCCACCCTCATTGGCTTTTGCCTTAAAATTTTTTTGATTATAATATGTGGATATATGTGGCCTGGCAAGATTAATGATGACGTTCTTCGACTGTCCTTGACGCATGCCTAATGCTGGCTTGGCTTTTGTGTGACACGTTTTTATTCATTTTCCAGTAAGTTATTAAATAAATTATACAAACAACCACAAAGGAAACGACTACTCGCGTCAGCAAAAGACTTCCTACCGCCATTTTCAAATAGAAGCCTTCGAAATCCTAAGTGAATTGTTGTGTTGATTTGTTTTGTCAATGAATAGTCAGAATTGGCCAAATTTGTACGTATGCCTATATTTTGAGGCTTTCCACTCTGCCAGCCACTTGATATTCTGACCCAGCACAATCATTTCCTGGCCAAACTCATGCTTCATCTGAGATAAATCGTTATAAACGAGTCAATTTAACACAATGGTTTCTACTGTGTAAGGTCAAGCTTGAAGTAGATGATAGTCGTTAGTTTTCCTAGCTAAAGGGAGTGGGGCTTTTCCAAGTGGGTTTCCAAATAGTTACGTTTATTTGAGTTTCAAGTAGAAATATTTAATTTGAATGTTGTTTTTCTCAAATAGTTGATATATTTTAAATTGAAAAAGTAAACAAATATATATTTTTTAAATTTGCGTGATAGCTTAGTTACAAAAAATCTCCCTTTGTTTTGCTTATAAATAAAATTGCATTTAAGTTTTGATTTAAATTCAAATCTAAATCTATTTAAAAACCCTTCAAACAATTCATCCGATTTCATTCATCTTAAAGCCAACAAAGGTAACCAATAAACCTTAGCAGTAACATTTCTTGTTACTTTTTCATGCTTGAATGGAAAAATAAAGCGAGTGACACGGTCTTCTCCAGAGACAACCACTGATTGACTCGCCAAGGAAAAAGCCTGAGAAGTATAGGGATTGACTCCTTCGAAGAGGCAGCCTGAGGAAGCGTGACTGGATGTGTTGGTAATTTATGGCCAATAAGAAACACGGTAATGAGGCAGCGGGCGGATCTCGAGAGGCGCGGCAATTGCCGTTGCATTCAGCGCACGTACCACGCTGCGTATGAGTAATGCCGCGCAAAAAAAAAATGAAAATGTATTTGGGGAAACTAAGCTTTCGTACTTGCCGCAGGCCAAGATTAGGCGCGGAATGGCGGGGAATCTAATGTGCGAACGCAACGCTTTTCTCATTAACTGCCGATGTTTGAATTTCGGATTATCCGTACTGGAATACGTAGCTATCCAGCGAAAGCAATTTGAAATCGGAATTAGCAATAACCGATTAGTATGCTAGGTGGAAATTTTGTCGATAACATTTTGATAGTTTGTGATTTTCATAATTTAGGCTTACTTGTAAGTTTCTTTTAAGTGCAACTTCCTAGTGTCATTAGTTTACCACATAATTTTAATTATTAATCTAAAACTTTTTATTATTCATAATAAATACAGTTTTATAAAAAGTCATTGAGATTTATCTAGAAAAATTATCCATTTAATTAAGCATTAACTTAAATATTTTTTTTTACTTGTTATCCGGAAATATCTTATTTGGGGTACGAGCTGCAGGCTATTAGCCTTAAAAAAATAGGAAATAAAGGAGAAGAATGCACAAACAACAAACAGTAATCATTTTTAAAAAATCTCTTTCATTGCGACAGTGTTAAATGTAATTTAAAAACGTTGCAATTGTGCAAATCCCTCTTCTCCTCTTTTCTCAACGAGATACACAAACAAAACAAGGACACCTCATGTATTTGCATGGTGCCAATATTTGCACGGGGTACACTTCTTTATCCGCTTTGATCCTTTTTGACTCGCAGCTTCTACTAAAGAATTCTTGCCGCCAGCTGAAGCATTCGCTGTTCCTTTCACTTTTCCCTGGTTGTCACTTTAATTTACATTTGAATTTTAGTTTTGCCCTGGCTTTTTTCTTTAACAACTTGACAGGATCTGCGTGGTGCTGTTCTTGAAATTGACTTACATACCCTAGTTGCCATTTTTCCCGCCCCTAACAAATTGGCAAACACTTTTAATTAACAAGTGGAAAACCGTACTGTAAAATAAATATGCACCTTGACATTTTTATGGCTTTCAATATGCCACTAGAGATTCGAAGAAAAATGGCTGTTCAAAAATGCTCTTGGCTTTAGTAAAAAATTAAAAATTGATGACCCCCCAAAGGTAAGCCGGAAAATCGTAAAACTAAATTTTACGGCAGGTGAATGATGCTTGTAGAAAATGAGGAAATCCTGTTGTCCGCCTTTGGACCCAGTGGAAAACCCTACTCAGAGCCGTAAAAGAATGAATTTGAATTTACGTTCAATCCATATTAAGTCACAAAACTAAACTACATAGTCGGCAAAGTTTACATTGTTCAAAATTAATACGTATTTTAGAATAATATTCATGAATAATGTGCAAACAAGTTAAAGCCTCTGGGTAAAATATTCCTAAACCGGTTATGTCTCTTTCAACTTTATTTGAATATTGGCTTTTAATTGGTTAACCTTAAGAAATTTGTGAAGCTTTTATTAAATGCATGATGGAGTTTCAAGAGAGCCCTGAAGCGTAATGGAAAATCATTTAGCACTCGATTAGCATTTGCCCCAGTTTGTTATCTTGGTCTTGTCTGTAAAATGGCTTTGCATCGATGCAAAACATAACTTGTGCAGTTAAATGTACGATTTACATTCATAGCTTAAATGTTTCGTTCTTAGCTTAAAAACTAAAATTGACCGAACAAAAAAAAACGGAATTCCTTTTCCATTTGAGTACTTTTAATAGCTTTAAAAATATTTTATACTTTATTAAAAATATGGAAGAATTTAGGGTGCGAATTGAGTTCCTGCTTTTACTCCAGCTACTATTTCAATTGAACTTTTATCTTCTCTTTTGTTTAAAGATATTTATTTTTTCATAATTGTTAAAGAATTACGCTGCTTAGTTTCAATATTTTGTGACAATTTTTTTTCTGTGCACCTAACTAACTTGTTCCACTAACGGGCCCTTCGTGTTTGCTGTTGATTTTTCCTGGTGACAATGCTTACCGCTTTTCATTAACAGAAAACATGCTGATTTGTTTGCTTCCACTGTCCGAGCGTTTATAGAAAAAGTTTTTCCCGGATCCGGCGCAACAGCAACAAAACAGCAATTAATGTTCCGGCTTCTGGTAGAGGACAAATGCAATGCCGGCTGGGATTTAATTCCCAAGAAGAAAGTTGAGTGGTCGCTTTAATCCTTTAAAATCTCTGCTACTGACATCTGTTTGTGCCGGACGGCGCTGAGTTTATCTGGGTTTTTGTCAAGCCTGAGGAGTCAGCCAGAGATTTCAAGCATGAAAAATGTTTAGACTTCAGCTGCATAGTTTAAATGTCAAAGCTCCTCTAATCAGCAAGGCGTTCAAAATAATTGGTAGCTATCAAGCCAAAGGTTTCTGCTTACAATTTGTTATGCTTAGTTTAACATTTAAATATTATAACAAAATTATAAATAATTACAAAACTATTTATTGGAGCGCCCTGGGTATTTTTGTTTTCGAGTGCAGTTGTCGAGCATAGCAATAACCGCAACCATGTTGGCATTTTATTAAGGATTTAACCAGCCTTAACTTTGACCTCAAGTTTAGTAAGGACCAGCAAAGCTCTTCGTTTTGAGTTAGAGTTTGCAGGAAGAAGCCATTTAAAGTTTAAAAGGTTATTTTGCTGTGTGAATTTAATGCAATTATATCATAATCCTTTTGTTAATGCATCAAGGGTTCTTTTGGATAAACCAATTATATTTGTATGAAATTTTAGTCTCTATTAAGTCGTATATTATAACACACAAATCCAACTTAAATTTTTTATTCCACTTTTTTTAAAGTGTCTTAATTGGGATTATGGTTTTTAAAATAGGATTAGCTATATAAGCTGCATTTTCTCAAATTGTTAAGTGGTTTTCTGAGGATTAAATTCTCCACTATCCTGAAAGTTTGTGATTTTTGAATGTATCAAGGCGCCTTCTCCAAGACAACAAATTAAATTTTCAAGCTTTTTGGGCAAATAAAATCGCATTTGTCATATGAAATTTCCCCATCCGGCTTTGAATGCATTATGGACCCTTAATATTCGGGAAAATTCCCCCACTCACCTGTCACTTGGGTGTTTCCCGCCTCCCGTTGACCCGATGAAACCCTCCGGAAAATGCTTAATACGGCTTTGCTGTTAAATGTGGAAAAAATGACGAGTGGATGGGAAAAATGTATTTAAATTTTCATAAAAGCCAGTCAAATAAGCATGCGTTATTGGGGTAATTTGTACCGGATTACTTACCGGAAATTCTGTCCGCTGACGCAGTAAAGCACAAAATTGATCCCGAAATTTGTGATGAAGAAAGCGTGAAAAATATATTGCAGAGCAAGTGTTGAATTCTTATTTTTGGACGATTCTGTCTGTGGATAAGAATCACAAAAAACGTAAAGAGAAATAACATTACTAGGAATTTCATGTGCCAATTAGGAAGTTCTACGTTGCTATGGTAACTCCTGGCATTAACAGTTTGCCTTCAACCTTTGAGCACTTAATAAGGATATCGATACATTTGTTGCACCATTTTACATAACTCACTAATGGCTAAATGATTTCTGGAATAACACATTTTAGCTATTAGTTACGGTAAACACTTATTGTGACACTCGTTTTCTAAGAAATTCATGTGTAATGGACACGTGTCGTCCTTATTGACCTTTCAACCCGGAGTAGGAGGCCGGGCAATAATTTAGCTCTTGTCTGTCGTCCATCGTTTTCCACTCAATTAATTTTGCATCGCATCGAAGTCTGGGCTTGCCGCATTTTTAAGTTGTCATATGAACTGGGGTGAAAAATGAATTCCTTTGCCCTAACCGAATGATTATTCTAAATAGTGTGCATAGCTTGTCCAAAAATTTGATTTTTAAAGGCTTATATTATATAATATTTTTAGTCTTTCAATATAGTTTTAATTCGTATAACGGAAAATTAGGCACACAGAATTATAAGTAAATTCTTTAATTATTTAAACATCAACACAAATGTATGTGAATATAAAGTACACAATAATCAACTTATTTTATTAAAATTATAAAGAAATGTATATATTTTTGAGGGTTTCTAATTTCTGTTTACTTCTTGCCATATTTTTTTGTGCCGACTTTGACATGCTGCGCATACAAAAAAATCTGTCAAACCTTTGATGGCTTATGGCATATATTAAATTCTCCAATTATGTTCGTATATGTGAGGATTTTTTGCAGAGCATTGAGAAACGAATTGGAAAAAACGAAAGAGTAATAAACTGAGTAACATTAATAAAAACCAATCCAGAATGTATCTGTATACAAGCAAATTAAATTAAATGGTATTTATCGAATTGCTTTCTTTGAAACGTACGGGAAATTTTCAGTTAATTAACTCTTATTTAAATAAATGTGTATTGTAAAATCATGTTTATAGTGTTTTGTATTATCCAGTGTTTATTTTTGCAGTAATCTTTTTATGATTATCGTTGCCTCCGGTGCCTTGGGCATTTATTATAACATGAATCTGATTTTATTTTTACGATTTGCCTCCAAAGTGCACAAACTAATTAAAACCTAATTGACACCTACATGGCGTTCACCATGCCAACCAGACTGTGCTCACTTGGCGAGTATATTAAAATGTTTTCTCTTTTGATGTATGCTATTCCGGAATTTAACACGACAGTTAAGCTAACTGGGCGTAGGATTGAAATTAGGAGCTTGGCGTTTGCCCACAAAATGCAAAGCATCCGCAATAGTTAATGTTGGCATGGTTACTTTAAGACTGTTGTTCTGACCAGCTCAGCTATGAGTCGGATCCGGAATTGAGGAGAAGTCCTTCAACATCTGGCAGCTGAAGACTGATTAATAAACTTCTACAAGTTGTAGATAACTTGCAAAATTAAATATAATCCTATTTTCTCGGTGTATATATGCTCTAACTACATTATTTAACCACACCAAATTTACGAGCTGGTCAAGAGCTGCTGATCCAATTATTTGGGTCAACCCTAAATAAAGTCCTATCATTGTCCTGGCATAACAATACACCGTCTTTGTGCCTTGATATAATAGAAGGGGTTTCTACTTGACTGAATGACGGACAAGTGCTCGAAATGACCCAAGTTAGCCATTATGTATGTTTACATCACTTACCTCCCAATACGTCTCAATGCGCAGCAGGCAGGTTGGCAAATTCAGGCATACAAAAACCGTTGAGACAATGAGCAGCATTTTGGTTACCTTGATTTGCGATGAGTTTTGTACCTTGCGACGAGCTGGAAAAAGGATATAATTAAAATAAGGAAAAGAGTTAACGCGAGACGTCTTTCACACTCCCGCAGTCTTTATAATTAGTTGGAAATTATATGTAATAGTTGGCGAATTGTTTGGCAATTTGTCAGTGTCGCCAACTTGGATATGATTGCAGCTGTCAGAAAGTTTTACATAAAATTTTCCTTCTGCTTTCATCATGGTTTGTTTTGTTATTTTTAATGTCAAATGGCTTAAGAAGAACTTTCAGTCTTTGCTTGTACCAACTTTTCAGCAAATGCGACTATAACGAGTTCCTTAGTGAAGTGTCAGCAATGCGAAGCACTGCCTTTTTCCGAATAGACAGCCATCCCAGGTGTGTAGCACTCTCACCTGGTTTCTGTGTAATCTCACAATGGTGTTGGCAATTGTTAATTTGATGCTGATGCTGCTGTTGTGGCTGCTGTTGATCCTGCTCATCCGTCTGCCCAATGGCAACATTGTGCTGTCCGCTTGGATGCGTTCCTGTCGACTTCTGACGCTTCAGGGATGCCGAAATGCGGTACGATGCCACTGCAGAGGCAGCTCCGGAGGAGTTAGACGAGTTCGATGGCATGCTGTGCGATTGGGGCTTCCTGTGCAACAAAAAGCGTAAAATTCAATTTGATGCTTCCCAAAGGGAACAAATATAAAATATTCAGAACTAAAAATTTTGTTTTTAAAACAGAAAGCTATTTTTAAAGAGCCATTTTTTTTTCAGTTAGGTTTTACATGACCAATTTTGAACAATTATGAAATAGGTAAATTCGGCAAGATTATTTCGGTTTTAAATGAATATAATTTTCAATTAAAAGTCAAATATTAATATTACTGTAAACCTGATTCAATTTATATTTGTGTCTTAATTTCGAAGTGAATTGAATTCACGGATACTCAATTTTTATTTTTCCTTCTGTATGGGCATATTTAGCAATTGAAATGTAAGGTTTCCCAAGGGTGTTTCATTCAAATCACCTAAGTGGGTTCAAAGGTCGAACAGCGATTATCTAGAGGCCAATACTCACATTTTGTGCATGGTCAGCGTTCGGCGAACGGTGGCGAATTTCCAGACCGTGCAACCTGTACAGGTGTTCAGCACTGCGATGCTGGTGAAGGGCACCGCATAGACGACAATCGAGTCCCAGTAGTTGAAAAGGGCCAGTTGTTCCTGCAAATTGAGAGGACAGGTTTTTTTTATTATTATTACTGCGCTGGTTGCAATTCGATTGGGTTTGTGGTTCAGCCAACGTGGCGTATACGCAAACAGTATACTAAATTGAGTATACGCCACGTATTCGTAATTTGGTTCTACACCACCAACTTTCTTTAATCTTGTTTGCTCCAAATTCAATTTGGTTGGTTTTTATCCAGGAGTCGCCAAATCTCTGTCGCAAAAGTATTTAAACAAAATAGGGAAAAGAGTAGTCTTTTGCATGTCACGCAGAGGGCACTAATATTTGGCAAATCAAACTAAAGTTTAAAATTCATTTATTTTTGCGAAACGCAAGCGCAACTTAAAGCCTCAACAAACCTGAGAAAACTTTCTATGAGAGCAGAATTAGATTTAATTTTGCATAATCCGCTGGCGAGAAATTTAATGGAATTATTTTAAGCTGAACCGATAAGTTTACGCTCTCAACAACAAGAGCTGACCTTCTGGCCTGTTTCTTTAATCTCGGCATACTTCTCGGCATTTTCTGCTCGGCTGAACCCCTTTTTTCCCCGGGAGTCTTTGAAGGGGTAAACTATTTTCGCATCGTCTTGTGCATTTATATTCCTATTTCTTTGGGGTAAAAGCTTTCGAGCAGATAAATTCCTGGTTGCCTGCATACTTTCATGTCCGAAAACTTCAATCTGAAATGTTCCAGGACACTCGAATTAATCTCGATGAACAGATGTGGGTGGCCATTTGGCCTGGCTAATTTACGGCAAAACAATCTCATTTGTTTCAATCACAATTAGGCAAAACTGGAAGACCATAAGGGCAGTATCATATATTAAGGCCAGTTGGATTTCTATTATCAAACCAGCTGGCCATGCTGGAATTTAAGTCTGAATACTTTAAAGAAGGAGTGTAATTCTCACTCTATTTATGCAATCATCATCAGTGGGCTCGGCCGTAATTTCTGGTGGTTGTTTGCAATTTACATAATTTGAAGTGTTGGCTTTCATCAAAATCACAAGCATTGAAATTATGTTAATCATCGACTGAGAAAATCAAAATTGTTCATCAAGTAATTCAATACCCAGACTGACTTTATACCTATTCATATGAATTTGGGCCTAAAAATATTTCCGAAATCTAATTTAAATATTCTGTCATCATTTTTTTTACCATTTTAAATTTATTGTTTTGCTTATGTTTTCATTTTTTGTTTGTCATATACACATGAACAAACGAATTTGTAAAATTCTCATATAAATCGTAATCATATTAAATATTTTATGCCGATTTAAGAAGCAATGCGAAACTGTAATCTATTGTTAAAGCATTTTATTTGTGGACTGGCCATTTGAGTCATGGACTTTTGGTCAGTCAGTAAACACCTGAAACGCTCTGGAAAATCCCCCAATGGCTGTCATAACCGTAAAAGCTGTCCTTCTTCAACAAACCATTCAATTTATTTGCTTTTGCTATTTACTTTTAATGCCCATCCCAATTTTTTCTATGGCTGTGGCGCCTGTGTGTGTCAAGTGGATCAAAGTGTAATAGCTCGAAAATTTTCAATCAACTGACGATGATGATGTCTGCCTCTTTGATGCTTCTAATACACGAAATTGTTATGAAAGTATAATTAATTCTTGAGGAAATGTAATTCTTATTGGCTGTTATTCTTTAAAACGCTCTAAAGGGTTGGTGCTAAACTGAAACATGGAGCATTTTAAAGCAATCCGACTTTTTCTTTTGAAATGCGCTTTTAAATTTGAAAAAGTTTTCTTTATAACAAAAGTCTTTTCTTTGCGAGTTATCAACTTTAGTATGTAAGGCATGTTCGCATCGAAGAATATGTTGCATTTTTAAAGTTTTGCCAATTCAAAGCAAAGTTAAGTCCAGAGCTTTTGTAAATCTTACTCATGCCAATCGGAATGTATTGGTTGAATTTATTCCCATGCATATGGTATTTGCACTTTAGCATTTCTCGGGCACTTCCTGTGGCCTCAGACTTCCATCTCCCAGTTGGAGATTTGCATGAGCTTAGTCGATTTTAATTTGGCTTCACATCTGCTGCCTAGTCACATCAAAGGGCCCCTTCTTTATTGATGGCTGCCGGTCATAATATCGAAATTAATTAATAATCATGAAGAGCTTTAAATAGAATGCCATTTAGAGAATATACGTTAAATTTCATTCGCTTTTGTTGGGTCTCATTTCCAGCGAATGCTTAAATTCAGGTTATACTACGACCGTAATTTTTCTATTCATTAGACAAATGCCAGATACCCTTAAAGTCGACTTGCGCAGCTTTCCAAGAAGCATCTGGTCGCGTTTCCCGAGGGCGGCTTCTGCTATCTCTCATCCAGTGGGCTATTACCCAATGATTTGTTTCTTTCAATATGCCAACCGCCAAGTGCAAAATGTCTATTTACAGCTTAGAACCGATGTCTGTTTCAAAATTTATATGCTTCTCCCCCAGTTGCCATTTTGCAATATATTGTTCACCGCACGTTGCAGCTTCTGTTCCACCCACTTTCCTCCCCTTTACATTATTTGCCTTTCCGCCGCCTTGTTGCCAGCGGAATTCGTGCATAATTTCCTGGCCACTCGTCTTGTGCCATCTGTTAACTGGCATCGGCATCGTGGTTCCCATCGCTCAAACGAAATTTTTGTCAAACGAAATTGCTGACAATTCGCTTGTACACAAAGAAAACATTTCAAAATGTTTAAAGTATGGATGGGAGAGATTTTGTGTCCACAAAAGTAATTTCACCACTACTTATGGTGCTGCCAAAAAATGTCTTATATTTATACATATGTACTTGTACATATAATTTGATTTAACCATTTTGTCAATTTAAATTATTCTTTATTTAGATAATGAGAATTGATCAATTTTAAAAGTATTGTTTCATGCAATTAACTTTTATACTTTTGTTTCATTTCATTTCGAGTACTTTTATTTTATTGTTATAAAATAAACAGTTTAAATATCCTTTTATTTAAAAAGAGATTACTGATACTAACTTATGTATATCCCTATAAGGAAATGTTTTTTCATTATTTTTTCTCTGTGTAATCTTGGCTGGTTGAAAGCTCATTTTTTCGTTTCATTTTCGAGAACTTCACCCGCTCAACTCATCCATCATTCTACCAATCGAATCGAGAAATACACGATGGAGCGACACTTAACGCTCCATTGAGGCCAATTTGGCTAATAGGCTGGCTGGCTGGCTGCCTGGCAGAGCTGAGTTTCTCTTGCTAGACTAATTCACCTGGCGTTTTGTTTGCATTGCAATGCGTCCGCCCACACATTGTGAGGAATTAGAATTGAATTTCAGTCCCAAAAAGCGTCTACGGCTAAAGCAAAAGTAAACAGTTGAAAACCAAGTGAAATATGAGATTTATCGAGGCCTTAGAATTGGCATCGTCATCCTTAAGCTTACGGGACACACCCAGTCGGTCCACGTGCCTGGCGGTAGGATTCAGTTCCTTTTATTTTTTTATACCCTTGCAGAGGGTATTATAATTTTGGTCAAAAGTGTGCAACGCAGTGAAGGAGACTTCTCCGACCCTATAAAGTATATATATTCTTGATCAGGATCACCTCCTGAGTTGATATAGCCATGTCCGTCTGTCCGTCTGTCCGTCTGTCCGTCTGTCTGTCCGTCTGTCTGTCCGTCTGTCTGTTTCTACGCGAACTAGTCTCTCAGTTTTAAAGATATCGAATTCAAACTTTGCACACACCCTTCTTTCCTTTGCACGCAGTATATAAGTCGGAACGGCCGGGATCGGCCGACTATATCCTATAGCTGCCATATAACTGATTGATCGGAAATGCCATAACTCTGCTGTTTGTTAAGTTAGAAAGTTGGGACCTTCTATGGGTTTCATATTTGGCCAATCAATCCGACGTACCAAATTTCATAAGGATCGGCCGACTATATCCTATAGCTGCTATATAACTGATTGATCGGAAATGCCATAACTTTGGTGTTTGTGAAGTTAGGAAGTTAGGATTTTCTATGGGTTTTATATTTGGCCAATTAATCTGACCTACCAAATTTCATAAGGATCGGCCGACTATATCTTATAGCTGCCATATAACTGATTGATCGGAAATGCCATAACTTTGGTGTTTGTTAAGTTAGGAAGTTGGGACCTTCTATAAGTTTTATATTTGGCCAATCAATCCGACGTACCAAATTTCATAAGGATCGGCCGAATATATCCTATAGCTGCTATATAACTGAACGATTGGAAATGCCATAACTTTGGTGTTTTTAAAGTTAGGAAGCTGGGATTTTTTATGAGTATTAAGAATGCATCATATGAATAATTTTGGAGAATATAATTTGCAGAATATTCTGCAAGGGTATTTCAACTTCGGCTCCGCCCGAAGTTAGCTTTCCTTTCTTGTTTTTTACTACCTTGTCCTTACTGTTGTGTCCTGTTTGTGCTGCGGGCCCAGAAAAAATATTTGCCTTGGCTTACTAGTCAGCAATGTCTTTTTGTTTTTTAGTCATCCTTGTTTACTCAAGGTTCGGGGAGAGTACGATAGTGTTGCCTTTAAATTTGCGACGCAGTTAACGCTTTGAACTTTCAATAAAATCAGAATTTCTATCACCAATTTCTAGAATTAAAAGTTCTTTACAAAATTAAACAAATTATACATTCTCAAATCTTGGGATCTGTATTTTAAATAAAAAAAAGTTAAAAGTTTTTAATTTAAAGTTAATTATTCCAAATACCACATTATGGTGTACAATTATTCCAAATACCACATTATGGTGTACAATTTAAGATCTTATTTTAATTTATAATAAACTTTTGCAATATTAGGGAATGTAATTTTCCATCTAAAAATATTTTCTTTTTTGTATCTGGTTATTCTTTGTAGCCATTTTCGACTTTTTACGGTTTTTTTGGTTACGGTTTGGCCCATTCGTTAACCAATTTGTGACGGCCTTTTTTTCTTACCCAATAAATGGTTAATTTGCTCGCTTAACCCACACAGCGGTAGGCTATCCGCCTTTTGGGACCCAATTAATTGACTAATTGCTCTAGTTTTGGCCAAATTAGTGGCTCCTTCGTTTTGCGGCCTGGCGCATGATCCGCATATCCTGGCGGTATTTATTGGGCTCAATTGACAGAGTGTCAATGCCATGTCGAGCGAAAGTGACGAGGGATTCGCTAACTCAAGAGCTGTCAAGTCAAAGTTTACCCGGAACAGCTGTAAATGCCGCTGACAGATTCTCCCTATAATCCCTCATCCTCTGATCTTGTCTTTTACAATGCATCCCCCCCGAAAAGTTTTTCCCAAAAATTCATATACTTTCGAAAATTTAACAACAATGTTGCTGGCCATTTGCCAAGGCAAACATACAAAGCCATTCAAATTCCAATAGTAATATTAATGGCAGACAAAAATTCACAAATACCAAACTCCCACGCATGGGTTACCTTTTGAAGAGTCGAATAAAGGTGCGGAAAATGGCAAATAAATTTCCGTTGTGTCACTGGTTACCACTGGCAACCCAAATGAAAAATTCGAGGCTCTAGAAGAATGTGTTTGATAAAGTTAGAATTTGGTATGAGACAGGAATGAGACAGCTGCAACTAGCAAATACTACAAAAGCAAGTAGTAGTAAAGTAGTTTGCAGGAAAATACATAAGCATCTTTAAAGATTTATTTAAAGGCATGAACATGAATAAAACCGTACAAATGTTTTATGGCCAACGAATGCTTTACTTGCCTTTAGTGCTTCCCTTTTTTATACGCTTTTCACAGATCTAATTGGATTGCCAAGAATTGTTTTACAATTTTCGATTACTCAATGTTGTTTTAAATTATTTATTAATTCCGTTTGAAACAGTATGCAAATAAGTTTTCAAAGAACAAATACATTACAATACAAGCGTGTCAATTAAAAACTTTTTAGTCGAAGTCGATTACGTATATATTTTGTATAAAGAGCAATTATAACTTTATTTGATTATTTGATTGAATGGTGATACTAATTTGTAATTGTGTCTCACTTAAGAGCTCTTTTAAATCTATTGATCAGCTCTGTTCCGATTCTTAAATAAAGTACAACAAAATAATATTTTTAAAGATGGGTCCAAACTAAGAGTATGCAAAGTAAAAGTGCGTTAGGATGTTTGCTATTAATAAACAGATTTCCAATTTTACGAATACCATTCATACTGGCGTTTATTTTAGAGAATATATTTTCTAACCTATAGGTGGTCTTTATTTGTTTAGAAAACCGAAACACTAGAATAAATTTCCCTTTTTGTTCGATTTAGCCTACGAAATTTTGGCACATTATAAATTAGGAATAATATGTTGAATTCTTGCCTTTGGACATACTCACTTTGTATTCCGCATTGAGATCGCAGATGGTGGCGTTGAGGTTTTCCATAAACACTGGCTTGGCAATCACTATGTAGGGCATACAGTGCAGGCAGCCCACAAAGGTCAGGCAAAGGAGCACGATCTTTGCCCGGCGCACAGTGCACATGGTTTGGCGCTTCAGCGGATAGATGACGGCTATGAAGCGCTCCACGGTGAAGGCCACCACAAACCAAACGGAACAAAAACTGGCCAAGTAGCTGAAGAAGGTGAAAAACTGGCAAAAGTAGTTCCTGTTGTAGATGTTCACGTTGAAAAAGTTCAGCCACTGGGCAAAAAGTCCGGCCAGGAAGCAGGTATCACTAATGGCCAAAGCAGCCAGATAAAAGCTCGAGGATAATTTCCGTAACTTGGTCCTGAAGAAGACAAACACCGACAGGATGTTCCCAATGCTGCCCGTGCAGCAGACAACAGGGATATAGTACTGATGTACAAAATCCCCTATAAAAAAGGCTATCTTCAGCATCTCCTCTTCGCTTGGTGCCTTCTCCGAAGCCATTTCTGGTGCATAATCACTTGAATTATTATCCGTGGTATTTGAATCTCCAAAAGTTGTGGTAAATGCCGCTGCTGTGGTGGCTGATATATTGCCAGTGTTGTTGGATGTATAATCCATATCCATAGCTGCAGTTTAATTTTGTATTTGTAACACAATTTATATTCCAATTTTACGCTTCCATAACTTCACTATTTTATTTTTTTCTTGACACACGTTTTTCATTGATCTGCATAGGTCAAAGACAAAAATTAATTTCGTTGCCACCGGACAAACACCATTTAAATAGAAAGGTGTTAAGTTTATGTGTATTTTTGTTGGCAAACCAAACTAGTTCACCCAGCACATGTCAACAATCCAAAGTTTCGATTGGTTGCTCAATTTTTCACACGAATCCCTGTTTCCGCTTAACTTATTCTTAATTAAGAATTTTTTTCCAACTTCTTTGTCAAACTTTTCCTTTTGAAAACTTATTGAAACTTCCGATTGCTGCTCACCTAGGTGTTTTAAGTTCATTATCGGCCAACAAATTTTTGCCCTCAATTCGTAATGATGTAAACAAAGAGGAATCGCCAGGTAAATTTAAAAACTTTTGCCACACATAAAAAGTTTTTTCTGAAAACTTCTGAGGTTTCTTGTTTTCACAATCCAAAATTTATTTGCGGTCTAGTTGTATTTTTAAATTTTTTTTTGAAATAAAAAAAAACGGTGCGGATTGCCTTCTGAATGGAGGCAATATTTTTTCGATTAATTAGTAATTCTCGGAATAGAATTTGTTTTTCTTTATTCTAAGAGCTGCTGGTCCAAATGATAAAGCAACATTTTACTATCTCCCGCCGGTTTTCAAGTGCTCGGGTGAACTTGACTGTCTGTGAGTTGGTTTTTCGGTTGGTTCGTCCAACCAGCAGGACAATGAGCGCGCAACTAAGCCGAGACAATGGACGTGTCAGCCTTTTAAACCACTTTCTATTGAGTCTTGGAAGGCGCCAAGTGAAAGCTTTTTCCTGCCACTGCGCCGGCGTCGATTCATTCATAAAATCAACAGGTGACAAGGTCAGGGTTGGCAGGAAAAGCAACAAGTGGTAGTTGGTCCCGTCGAGGGATTAGCTCAGCAGGATTCGCAGAAGGAGAACGACGCCACTGGGTCGTAGACAATGGGCCGCTAAACAGCCACTGGGCCACGGAACTGTTGCGGTCACATTGTCATTGGGCGGTAATGAAAACAATAACAAACCAACGCGCTTTTCCAGACGCCGGAAAAGCTCTTTTCGTTGGCATTGGAAAGGCCAACGCCATGGGCGAAGGTTAAACTTTATTCACAGTCTCCTTTCGGGCTTGCTCGAGTGCGGAGCTTCGAAATGGCCACGCAGATTGGGGCACTGCATCATGGTTAGGATTGGCGAATGCTTTAAGTTTTACGAGTTTTTTATACTTTATTTTCTATTATTTCTTTTATTTTCAGAGGACGACAAGGTGGGCACCCTAGATGTTTTGCTTAGCAGTGCCTACTGCCGTTCCCAGCGCTTCCTATCCAAACAGTTGGCCCAGCTGCGTCCCGAACTTACCATGTCCATCTTCTCGGGTGAGTAACTAAAGCCCCTTTTCAGGTAATTTAAGTCTTTAAAGCAAAAAAAGCGAATCGCTTTAACCTGCTGCCAATTGCAGCTTTAATATGAAAATAATTTAAATTTGTATTGATACATTTTCCATTGCAGAAATCACCCATCGATTCCAGAGCGCACGGGAGGATGTGCGCGCCTTGCTGCTGCAGTGCCTCCTTCCATGGTTGCAGAATATGGAACTGGTGGCCACCAGTGTTCCGCCCGCCACGCCCCTTTCCTACATTATGGTAAGCGAATCATTTAAAAGCCTTCCGTTTTATTCCGGAGACGGATTGAACCTTTGCTCGTTTTTTCCCTTCGCAGTATTTTCCGGATTCTGGGACGCGGGGACGACGCGAGGGAACCGGGTCGACAGAGGCAACGGAAATGATTCTGAACAATCTCTTCTACATCACGGCGAAGGTATAATAGGGATTTGCTCATCGTTGCACATCGATTAAGCTTTAATTTTTAATTTTTTACCACTGCAGTTCTCGGACGCCCATCCACGCGACATTGAAGAGTTGTGGGGCACTCTCTGCCAGTTTTGGCCCAATAATCTGAAGGTTATCCTGCGCTACTTGGTCATCATGAGTGGCATGGCTCCCACTGAATTGCTCCCCTATGTAAGAATGCAAAGCGATAATTATCTTATGTAGTGGTTATGTATTCTGTAATCCCCTTTAATCAGGCCAAGCGAGTGGCTCTTTATCTGGTGCGGAGCTGTCCGGATCGGTTACTAGATGAACTCATGGCTGAGCTGCAAACTGTGGAGACGCTCAACTGTTTAATTGAGCGCACGGAAACGCCACCTTTTTATCGATTGACCAGCATGCGAAAGGCCTCTAGTCACAGTGCCGATGGTATGTGCATAAATAACACATTCCAGGCTTTGTTAAAATCTCTTAAATTTACTAAAAAAAATTTTTAAATGTATAATTATTTTTTAAATGAGAATTTATTGGTTTTAATAATTTGATCTAAATTTCGTTTTATTAATCTTTTGTAACAGGCCAAGCTGTAGGTGGCATTAATGACTCCAGAATCCAGGACTTGGCCGTCGAAAAGGGCACTATTCACACCAAGCGGCACAGCGGCGAGGATCCCATTAAAATTGGGTAAGTTCAAATTAAAAACAGAAAAGAAGCAAACTTCGTCAAGCCGAACATTATATACCCTTGCCACTGTTAGAAAAATTTATTTTTCTTTGTTTAAAAATAATGAAAACAATTAGAGAATTCAACTACAATCATTTTAAAATCGGATTTCTGTAAGAAAAGTTATAGGTTTAGAAGAGCAGTTTTTGGACACTTTTCTGCAAAGCCATTTTTCGAAAATTTGGATCATAAAAATGACTAAAAATCGACCCAAAAATACAAACCAAGATGAGTATACAGATTTTTAGAGAATTTGACCACAATGATTTAGAAATATGCCGCTTGGAAATCGGAAGTCTGTAAGAAAAGTTATGGGCTTAGAAGAGCAGGTTTTTGGTCACTTTTCAGCAAAGCCATTTTTCCAAAATTTGGAAAGGGGTTAAAAATGACTAAAAATCGATCCAAAAATACAAACCAAAATGAAGATACACATTTTTCGAGAATTAAATTACAATCATTTAGAAGTATGCCACTTTGAAATCAGATGTCTGTAAGAAAAGTTATGTGATATAGTCGTCGGATTTTTAGTAATGTAAATCCGTAATTTTTCCCTTTTTTCCGGATTGTTCCTATCCCAGCTATATGATATAGTATTCCGAACCGGCCCGTTCCGCCGTTTCGAATAAAATTATAATACCTTCTTGAAGGGTATTCAAATGCTACAAAATTAAGCTAATACCAAAATTAAAATATTTGCCGCAGAACCTGCAAATCGGACAGCGGTATTCGCGCCTATACCCAGGCAGCAGCTGCTGCTGCCGCCGCTGCAGTCACTCCAGGATCGAGTGGCAATCGTCCACCCCGAGGGGCCGATAAGATCCGTGCCGCCTCAGGACCGTCTATACTGCCCCGGCCGGAGGATATACTGATCAACGACCCGGAGTTGCGGCAGGAGGAGAATGTTGAGCTGCGCGGAACTTCGGATGCCACGGCAAATGCCCATCCGCATCCACTACCGATGCCAGAATACGGTGGCTATTTTGCACCGCTCACCGAGTTCTTACCCGATGTCAGTTTGCCTATCAGCGGATTTCACAGGTGAGTTTTTGAACAATATAGATTAATTCTCTCTACTGGTATTTATCAAAGTTAAACCATCTTGTGGGTTGCTTATAAGAGAACATACATTTTCTAGCATATAATTATAAGAAAATTATAATTTGATTCAGTTGGACAGAGTAAGCATCTGAGTTCGCTTGTGGAAATCTATATTTTTGTATCACCATTTAATACCCATGTCGACCCAGCTGTATTAATAAGACCAACAATTGCAGTTATTGAATGAATTTATTTAGAATAGCAAAGACTATACAGAGGAATCCCCCGTATGGTCATTTACTATTCCTCGGGAACTTAGTAGGAAATGCCGGTATGGTCGCGGATCCATCCCAGGTAGTCGGAGACGCGGGTGTAGCCGGAGGGACCGTTGTGGCAGCCGGTGGAAGCGAAGGTGATCACACCGACGAGACGAGCGTTGTCGTGTGTGACCAGGGGGCCACCGGAGTCGCCGCCGCACACCGACTTGCCGTCGGCGTGGCGGGTGCACATGTCGGTATCGGCAACCGAACCGTAGGCCTGATTGCACTCGCTGTTGCTGACGATCTGGACATCGATGCACTGCAGCCAATCAGCCAGGTTTCCATTGTCCATACCGCCCCATCCGCAGGCCACACACCAGGTGTCCTGGTAACGATCGTTCTGCTCATTCATGCTGGGCAGGGGGATCTTGTTGATCAGAGCGTTGAAGTCCACATAGGGAGTGCGGATCAAACCGATGTCACGACCGCCCTGGGCGGGCCAGTCGGGATGGCTGATGAAGTTGTCGCGGCGAACAGTTTGCCTGTAGGCGCCGTTCCAGCCCCAGTTGGAACCGTAATGGATTTCCACGTAGTCGGTGGTCAGGCAATGGGCGGCGGTCAGGATCCACTCGTTGGAGATGATGGTACCAGCACCAACAGCACCACTGTTGCTTCCATCGGTACGGATGAAGAGACCCACAATGTAGGGGGCCTTTCCCTCGGGAGCTGGGTAGCCGTTGACGATGCGACCCTCGGGACCCTCGGAAATGGTCACCCTGGGGAGCAGCTGGGTGCGGTTCAGACCGGTTGGGGAACCGGCGACCAAGGCCAAGGCCACGGAAAGAGTTAGCAGGAACAGTTTCATGACTGGGAAGAAACTTAGCATTGTGGTCGCTGCGACCTGCTTTTATACCATTCCCGATCGGCTAGTTTTTGATAAGACAGACTTCTTGCGAACAATCAACAAATCGTATCTCACCCATACTGATAGGAACCATTCATGCTTTGCACTTCAAATCGCAAGCCCCCCCTTCAAACACTTATTAAGGAATTAGCATCTCAGGGGGGTTCGGGCCACTTCACATAATTGTTATCAGGTCGGAAATGCAAAATATACTGGGGACCATAGGGCTCCATAAATCTAATGTACCCCATAAGTATCAGGTACAGATAAGAATCGGGCAACTGATCAATAAATATGTCCCTGATAGAACCACTGTCAGCTCACTAAAGTGAACTTAAACTTGTTTTGGCCAAGATGCCAGCAAAAACAAATGAAAACAAAAAGAGAGCCAATTTTGGAAGCCAAAGTTTATTTACCCTTACAGATATTTAAAAAATGTTATTCTATATAACGACGAAATAAGACTAAATAAAACTATGTCTATTTTACGTTACATTTGTCGAACGTTCTTATGGCAGCTATGTGATATAGTCGGCTGATTATTTATACCGTATTTCTGTTCAATATTACTATATATATGTACGAAGTTCTAATTTTTTAAAATTTATTTTTATGATTTTTTAAAATTTATTTTTATGATTGTTCCAATCGGAGCCATATGATAGTCGACCTATCCATCCTCGTTCCGATATACTACCTGTAATAGAAAGAAGACTTTACGGAAAGTTTCATCCAAATACCTTTAAAATTAGTTTTGCGTATTAACGGGCGGACGGACTGAAGGAGGGGAGGAATCAAGAATATATATACTTTTTAGGGTCGAAATGACTTTCTGACTGTGTTTTGACTGAAATTAGGATACCATATGTATGGGTATTACGAGCCATATATCTTTCTTTATCAAAATTTAAAAAGGGGAATTTTCCAGGTCTTGTACTTTATATTCTATTAATGCCTCCCTTATCTACTTCTATCATATTTGTTTTTAGTGCCCACTCCCGAGCACTCATATATTATTATTATTATTAATTTATTTAATTAAGCAGGTACTCCAAAATAAAGAAAAAGTGAAAAGCTTTTTAAAAAACGCTCGAAGTAATCTTAAAGATAAGGTACAAATATTATAATTTATACAGCTTGGGACAAAAAAAGTAAACAAAATGTCATTGAGATAAGAACATATACATTTATTTAGACACGGTGTACTAGGACAAGAGTTTACATTTTCATAATTAAATCCTTATCATAGTTATGATAATCGTCGATGGCTTAAAGTTGAAATATAGGTTCAAGGCGATTTGGCTGTTGATACTAATCAAGAATTAATGTACCTTACAGGACACTTTCTTGAAATATTATTTTTTACTACGATTGGTTAAAACCAGTTATTGGCATTACAATACTCATATAGTCAGTAGCAGGCTTTTTAAAGGTGAAATCATTATTAGATTTTTTAAACAATTTATTAAGATATTCAAAAGAATCCTTAAGAGTTTAGTAGGAGATGCCGGTGTGGTCGCGGATCCAGCCCAGGTAGTCTGAGACACGGGTGTAGCCAGATGGACCGCTGTGGCAGTCACCAGATCCGAAGGCGATTACGCCCACTAGGCGGGCATTGTCATGGGTAACCAGCGGACCACCGGAGTCGCCTCCGCATCCGGATTTGCCATCGGTCTGACGGGTGCACATATCGGTGGCGGCCACGCTGCCGTAGGACTGCTCACACTCGCTGTTGCTGATGATCTGAACGTCCATGCACTGCAGCCAATCGGCCAGGTTGCCATTGTCCATACCACCCCATCCGCAGGCCACACACCACGTGTCCACGAAGCGGTTGCTCTCTTCGTTTAAGCTGGGCAGAGCAACCTTATTGATCAAGTCGTTGAATCCCACAGAGGGTGTGCGGATCAGACCAATGTCACGACCGCCCTGGGCGGGCCAGTCGGGATGGCTGATGAAGTTGTCACGGCGCACGGATTGTCTGAAGGCGCCGTTCCAGGCATTGTTGGATCCGTAATGGATTTCCACGTAGTCGGTGGTCAGGCAATGGGCGGCGGTCAGGATCCAGTCGCTGGCAATAATGGTTCCAGCTCCGACGGCGGCACCGTTGCTACCATCGGTACGGATCAGCAGACCCACAATGTAGGGGGCCTTGCCCTCGGGAGCTGGGTAGCCGTTGACGATGCGTCCTTCTGGACCCTCGGAAATGGTCACCCTGGGGAGCAGCTGGGTGCGGTTCAGACCGGTTGGGGAACCGGCGACCAAGGCCAATGCCACGGAGAGAGTTAGCAGGAACAATTTCATGGCTGGGAAGAAACTTAGCCTTCTGTTCATGGCAACGTGCTTTTATACGATTCGAGAGCCAATCGATAACGAATCAGTCAAAAGTGCACCATATCGCAACCCCCCACGGAAGTGTAGCCCACTTTCATTCTGATTTATATATACAAATGTATGTACATATTAAAATGTGTGCTATCAAGTCAAGAGCTTTTCTTGTTAAAAGCAATCATAAATAAAATGGTTTTGACTAATCAAATTATATATTTAAAATGTGTACCTGTCATGAATGAAAACCATGTTACCAACGGTTTGTTGATAGGAACGTATTCTTATACTCCGGAGCTAATTTTAAAAAATTACAAGTGCAAATTCCCAAAAGTTGGTTAAATGAATCAGATTTACGTGAGAAGCCTTAGACAAGCCTAAAAGCTTTTAAATTTTAAAAGACGTTTTACTAGATTTCATAAGAAATCTATATATTACTTTGTAATGTGTATAGATTATAAAAATAAACTGGGAAAGTTCACTCAAAAATTTTTGGTATAACTTTTTGTTCTTTAAATACTTCATCACTAATTAACACCTATTTGTTTGCTGCTCGTTACGGATATATATTTACATAAGTACAATTACATTGCAATAGATATGTCTGAATTAAAGGTTCAGAATATATAGGTTCGACACAATCTTAGATTTCGATTTATCCTTGGTCGATTTTTCCAGTTAGTAGTAGGCGATTCCTGACTTTTCGCGGATCCAGTCCAAGTGATCGGTGACACGGGTGTAGCCAGAGGGACCGCTCTTGCAGCCGCCGGAAGCAAAGACAATCACTCCCACCTGAATCGGGTTGTCGTGTGTGACCAGTGCTCCTCCAGAGTCGCCGCCGCATACGGACTTTCCATCGGTGGCCCGGGTGCACATATCGGTGGAGGCCACCGATCCATAGGATCTGGCACATTCGCTGTTGCTGATCACCTGGACGTCCATGCACTGTAGCCAGTCGGCCAGCCTGCCATTAGCCATTCCTCCCCAGCCACAGGCGACGCACCACCAGTTCTCGAAGCGCTGGCTCTGTTGGCTAAATTTCGGCAGCGAGATCTTGTTGATCCGGTTGGTGAAGCCCACGTACGGGGTGCGAACCAGTCCGATGTCATGGCCGGCGCTGTTTCCAAATCCGGGGTGTCGGAAGAAGTTGTCCTTATTCACAGTGTGCTGGATCACACCGTTCCAGGCTCGATTTGAGCCGTAGTGGATGGTCACGGACTCGGTGGTCAGGCAGTGGGCGGCGGTCAGGACCCAAGTGTTGGCGATAACGGACCCTCCACCCACGGCTCCGTTGTTCATCCGGAGACCCACGGCGTAGGGCGCCTTTCCCTCGTAGGCCGCATATCCGTTTACAATGATGTCGTCGGGAGCATCATGATGGGCTGCCGTGCGATTGGGATGCCTGTGGGCACAGGCTGTGGCCACAAAGAGAACCAACAATGCTAACTTCATGGTAAGGTTGCAAATTGAAAGTAGATCGTGTTGACTCCCAGCTTTTATAGAAGACCATTTTCAATAGCGGATTTAATAATGGGGTAATTAGTTTCCCAACTCTAAAGAATTATCAGTGCTCTCGAAACTTAATGAGTCCCGTTATCAACTCAGATTTTCTTGCGGGTGTCTCTTAGGTCATTAAAAAGCGAAGTCAGGTGAGTTGTCAATAGTATATTGTTTGCTATATACTGAATCATTTTGCTATTTGTCAAGTATAAACATCTCGTGGATACCAAGAATATATATAAGCGGAGTCTCCGGATTGACCGTCTTGTTGTTAATAACATATATATATTTACACAAGAATAATTATAATTGAATGATTAATCAAAATATATAGTTGTTACAATTTAATAAGAATTTGGCTTTGGTAGTTCCTGTAAGTTATTAGTAGGCGATTCCTGACGTTTCCTTGATCCACTCCAAGTGATCGGAGACGCGGGTGTAGCCAGAGGGCAAGCTCTTGCAACCGACGGAACCAAAGGCAATCACTCCCACCTGAATGGGGTTATCGTGTGTGACCAGTGCTCCGCCGGAGTCGCCACCACACGTGGATTTTCCATCGATGGCCCGGGTGCACATATTCGTGGAGGCCACCGATCTATAGGACTTGCCGCATTCTCCGTTGCTAATGACCTGTATGTCCATGCACTGCAGCCAGTCGGCCAGTTCGCCATTGGCCATTCCTCCCCAGCCACAGGCCACGCACCACCAGTTCTCGAAGCGCTCGCCCTGCTGGCTGAAGTTGGGCAGCGCGATCTTGTTGATCAGGTTGGAGAAGTCCACGTGGGGGGTGCGAATCAGCCCGATGTCATGACCAGCGCTGTTTCCAAATCCGGGGTGCCGGAAAAAGTTATCCTTATTAACTGTGTGCTGAACCTGACCGTTCCACGGCCGATTTGAGCCGTAGTGGATGGTCAGGGAGTCGGTGGTCAAGCAGTGGGCGGCGGTCAGAACCCAGGTGTTGCCAATAACGGACCCTGCGCCCACGGCTCCATTGTTCAAGCGGAGACCCACGGCGTAAGGAGCCTTTCCCTCGCTGGCCGCATATCCGTTCACAATCCTTTCTTGGGTACCATCAGGATGGAGTGCCGTGCGATTGGAACTCGAACGAGCACAGGCTGTAGCCACACACAATATCAATAGTACAAGCTTCATTGTCATGTTGGAAATTAAATTTGTATCGGTTTGGTTTCGCGTTTTTATAGATGAAATGATTGACAGCTGGGGTAATTCATTTTAACTCAGATTTTCTTGCGGGTGTCTCTTAGGTCAATAAAAAAAGGTAAGAATAACAGTGTATATTCTCGCTAAGGAATTAAAGTCAAGTGAGTTGTCAATAGTATATTGTTTGCTATATACTGAATCATTTTGCTATTTGTCAAGTGTAAACATCTCGTGGATACCAAGAATATATATAAGCGGAGTCTCCGGATTGGCCGTCTTGTTGGTAATAACATATATATATTTACACAAGAATAATTATAATTGAATGATTAATCTAAATAAATAGTTGTTAAACAGATTTGATTACAATTTGGCTTTGGTAGTTCCTTTAAGTTATTAGTAGGCGATTCCTGACGTTTCCTTGATCCACTCCAAGTGATCGGATACGCGGGTGTAGCCAGAGGGCAAGCTCTTGCAACCGGCGGAACCAAAGGCAATCACTCCCACCTGAATGGGGTTATCGTGTGTGACCAGTGCTCCGCCGGAGTCGCCACCACACGTGGATTTTCCATCGATGGCCCGGGTGCACATATCCGTGGAGGCCACCGATCCGTAGGACTTGCCGCATTCTCCGTTGCTAATGACCTGTATGTCCATGCACTGCAGCCAGTCGGCCAGTTCGCCATTGGCCATTCCTCCCCAGCCACAGGCCACACACCACCAGTTCTCGAAGCGCTCGCCCTGCTGGCTGAAGTTGGGCAGCGCGATCTTGTTGATCAAGTTGGAGAAGTCCACGTGGGGGGTGCGAATCAGCCCGATGTCATGACCAGCACTGTTTCCAAATCCGGGGTGCCGGAAAAAGTTATCCTTATTAACTGTGTGCTGAACCTGACCGTTCCAAGGCCGATTTGAGCCGTAGTGGATGGTCAGGGAGTCGGTGGTCAAGCAGTGGGCGGCGGTCAAAACCCAGGTGTTGCCAATAACGGACCCTGCGCCCACGGCTCCGTTGTTCAACCGGAGACCCACGGCGTAAGGCGCCTTTCCCTCGTAGGCCGGATAACCGTTTACAATCCTTTCTTGGGGACCATCAGGATGGATTGCCGTGCGATTGGAACTCGTGCGAGCACAGGCTGTGGCCACAAACAATATCAATAGTACAAGCTTCATTGTCATGTTGGAAATTAAATTTTTATCGGTTTGGTTTCGCGCTTTTATAGATGAAATGATTGGCAAACGAATTGACAGCTGGGGTAATTCATTTCCCAACGGGGGAGAGTTATCTGTGCTTTCCACACTTTATAAAGCCCATATCAGCACCGATATTGTTGCTTGTTGGGCAATTAACAAAGAATTAAAATATTGCTTTATCAGCTAATTTTAATTTTCCAAATCTACTTGAATAAAAAGTTTAAAAATAAATAAAACCCTTAAAAAATTAATACTTTCTTTAATGAGATTTATAAATAATAATGCATTTTCCATTCCCCTGCAGATGCAACGTGGCCGTGATGCTGCTCACGGACATTGTGGTGGACGGAATTCCGGGCATGGACTGGACCCTGCACCTGCCGCTGATGCTCCACATCCTGTTCCTGGGACTGGACCACACGCGCATCATTGTGCGGGAGCACTGCAAGCAGCTGTGCGTCAATCTGCTGATTGTGCTGGCGGAGCACAACGATCACCTGACGGTGGCACGCATCCTGCTGAACAGCGAGACCAGTAAACTGGATCTGGGAATCACGGTTCCTGCTCTGCCGGTGATTGATAATAATTTCACGGAGCTGCACCAGCAGTTCGACAGCTATCTGCTGCATGTGAGTCCCCAGGCAGCGGCCTATGCCCTGCAACACAATCTCTCCAGCTCGACGATCATAGCGGCGCATCAGCAGAATCTATCGCAAACGCCGCAGAATCAAGTGCAGTCGGGATCCCAGAACGGGCAGAGTACCACGCCTCCTGGCTTGACAGCCACTCCTGCTGCCCTGCAAATAAACCCGAATAACTCGGAGAACTCGGAGGTGCCGATGATTCACCCCGATGAGCATGCTCCTCCACAGCCAGGTCCCAGTATGCCCATTGCTCATGTGATCAAGAGCCTGCTAAAGTTCCTCGCCCAGGACACTTGCCAGCCACTGTGGAACTACGAGGATATCACGGCCAAAGTGTGGGCCGTAAAATCTGCCGAGCAACTGAGTTGCTTCCTCAAACACATGGTCAAGGTGTTTGCGGATAGTTATCCCCAGGCTCGGATCGCTGAGCGCTGGGCACAGACTGCTCTTCAATTGGGATTATCCTGCTCATCGCGCCATTATGCAGGACGCTGTCTGCAGATCTTCCGGGCCTTGAATGTGCCCATCAACTCAAGGATGCTGTCGGATATACTCTCCAGATTGGTGGAAACGGTGGCGGAGCAGGGTGAGGACATGCAAGGATATGTTACGGAACTGCTGCTCACTCTAGAGGCGGCTGTGGATAGCTTGGACTCGGATTTCCGACCCCTGGACGTGATGAAGGATATATTCAAGAGCACACCAAATCTGAACAATAAGGACGGAGGTCCGAACTCCATTCTTCCCGGAAAGAAATCACCATCTGGCATGACACCGCAATCCTCGAACTATTCGATACCCAGCCATGGAAGGAGCACTAGTTACTCGGTATCTTACTGCGGTCGGAAGGCCAACAACTCACCCTGTGACAAGCAGGTGGAGCTGAGAAACCGATCCTCAGGAATCGACTTGGAGCGCAGCGTCGTCTGCAAGTTTGGTGTGGGTGGCGGTGGCGTTGGAGCTGGATCAGCTTTATCCCGTTCCCGCAGCGCCCAGAGCCTAAAAATGCTGGGTGATACGGCCACGCAGGACGACAAGATGACCATATTGGCACAGCTCTTCTGGCTTTCCGTTTCCCTGCTAGAATCTGACTACGAGCACGAGTTTATGTTGGCGCTTCGTCTGCTGACCAGGGTTTTGCACCGTCTGCCTTTGGATCGCCCAGATGCACGGGACAAGGTTGAGAAGTTGCAGCAGCAGTTGAAGTGGACGGCCTATCCGGGTGTGCATGCACTGCTCCTGAAGGTAAGTTACTGACATTCAAATAAGATATCTAGACATCAATGTTTCTTTCTTCTCTTTCTTTAGGGCTGCACCCACAGTGCCACCTATGAACCAACTATAACCCTTCTCTCCCAGTTTGCCCCTTTGCTGACCCTGCCTGTTTGTGATCCCACTCAGAGCTGCGCCTTCCCCATGAACGTCATCGCCCTTCTGCCCTACATGTTGTTGCACTATGAGGACGCCAACGAGATATGCATTCGCAGTGCTGAGAACATTGCCCAAGTGTCCACGGAACTGGGTGCAAAGCTAGAAAACCTAGGCACCGTGATGACGCTCTACAGCCGAAAGACTTTTTGCAAGGAGTCGTTCCAGTGGACCAAGTGCGTGGTCAAATATCTCCATGACACCTATGCGCACATGGGCCTCCATATGGTGGCGTTCCTCATCGAGGTCTTGGAGAAGGGACCGCAGCAGGTTCAGGTGCCCGTGTTAAATGTGATCCACTGCATGCTGCATTACGTGGATTTGTCAGCGCCGCAGGCTCAGACCATCAATGCAGATTTGCTGAGGGCCATTGGAAAGTATCTTGATGTAAGTTGAAAATAAATAATTAACATCGGGTTTTCCATTTCGCAAAGTCGTCTAAAATCGTCTAGACAAATAAAGCTATCTGGTTGAAACTTTAATTCAGTAGCGATTATTATGTCGTATTTCTGCCGAACAAATGATAAGGAAAATAAAAACAGAATGACTAAAGTAATAAAATCATTTTAATAAACAAAAAACAATTAATTTATTGCTTTCTTTTATTGGTTAAAATCTAATCTGAATATTCGTCCGCGTCCCAATTTTGATTATTGTTGGTAGGGTATAAAATGTATCATTAAAAGAAAGACATGTTCTAATCATTACTTTTATTTATCGCAATATTTATGGTAATCAAAAGTAAATGGATACAATTTGATTATCGTATAAAAGCTAGGCATTGAAATATTTAACTTATTTGAAGATTTTATTAATTCATTTGTTTTCGGTGCTTCTAGACGGTGAACTGGAAGGACTCGCTGAAGATCCTGAAGCTGATCGTGACCAGGAGCTCCTCCCTACAGGTGGTACCGCCTAGCGACGGCAGCAGCGCCGGCTTATCGTTCTCTTTCTATGGCGCATATCCGGACTCGGATATGTTCTGTAAAAAGGAACTGGCCGGTCGCACCATGGAGTTCACCTTTGACGTTTCCCAAACGCCTCTGATCGGTCGTCGTATCCTGCTGAAAACGGAGGAGCCTGTGGCCGCCGGTGCCGTCTCCACCACCGGCAATTCCTCGTTGAATTCCACTCTCACGAATGCCACCACAGTTACGGTGGCGCCCAGTTCTGTGCAACAGCAGTCCAATACCCAGCTGCAGCAGCAGCGAGCCCACACCAATGTGGCGGCCATGGCAGCCGCAGCAGCTGCCCAGCACCAACAGCAGCAGCACGCCATCGGAGCTGGGAGCAGTGTGGTCGGAACACCGAACTCGCCGCGACGGAGTGCCAGCCTCTCGCCGGCTGACACGGTGCCACTGAGTGGATGGAAACGACCCTGGATGTCGCAGTGTCGTGTGCGTGAGTGCCTGGTCAATCTGCTGACCACCTGCGGGCAGCGTGTTGGTCTGCCCAAATCGCCATCGGTAAGTGATGCCCACCAAGATCCCCTCAGCCGGCCGCTTGTACATAGCCAGGTGCATGCCTTAGGCTCCCCTAGAGCTCTCCTCTTCTCATGCATTTTTGCAATTATTTACCTCTAACTCTTTTTCTTTCATGTAAACAATACCAAATACCAATACCAAATCCAATACCAAACCAAAAACTAACACGCATTATCATCATTAACCAATCAATCCGATACCAAAATCGAAACATGTCTAGGACGATTTCATAAACTCAATTTGCTCAAAGGTAAAGGACACGTTTCTATGTGCCGCGTCTAGTTTTGCTTTTGTGTGATTTAGGTTCTAGCATGTAGTAGCTTTACAGACAAAAATGTAATAATTTTGAACTTGATATTTACAGATCTAAAATGTTCTTTTATTTTGTTATCAATGTTCAACAAATTGAAATGAAATATTAAATAAGATATTTGATATGTTGATGTCAAGTTCTTTTTGATATTAAGATTATTATGATCATTGATCATCATTTTTAGTTGGCTTCACATTCCAGTCACACAAAGATACCGCCATTTGCTTTCCTATTCCTTTGTTCCGTTTGCATGTTGAATGTTTTGTTTCAATCTGTACTTTTCGTTTATACTCTTTATCTGAACACATTTAGTCGTTGAGCACGTCACTACTAACCGGATCGATTGCGACCAGACAAAGCGTAAGCTTTATCTCTATTACTCTTCTATATTAATCATCTGAATGTGTTATGTCTTTATCTTGTAAATTTAACTAATCCTTTAACGTGTACCCATAGGTGATCTTCAGCCAATCTTCGGATCTGATGGAGCGTCAGTCCTCGGCCGCTTCTTCTACGGAAGAGACCTCGGGTCCTCAGGGAGATCTAAGCAGCGGTTCAAGACGCGACGATGGGCAGCCCGATTTCACCGTCTTCAAGGACTTTGACTTTCTGGAGTACGAGGACAGTATTGCCGGCGAGTCCACGGACAACTTTAATTGGGGCGTGCGACGTCATCAGCTTTTTGAAGGCGATGAGGACCGTTTGAATTGTGGCAGTGGCATTGGTGGCTCCATCAAGGGGGGTCACTCATCCGCGCTGGAGGACAGCTTCAGCGACAAGACTCCTATTTTGAGCAAGAGAAAACGACAGATTCCCGACGATTCTTCGGATGAGGAGGCTGAATCCGAGTCGCCTTTGGATGAGGATCACCGCCAGTCGTTCTTGAAGTCTGGATACAGTGTAGTGCCTCCCACTTCGCTAAGTCTGCGGGAACGAAGGCGTCGCAACTCGGTGTCGCGAAGCGATACCAGTGGATCCAGTGCTGGAGATTTGGGTGACCTCACACCCTGCAATGCCTCGCCACATTTACCCGGCATCATTCGATTTGCCGCCATTCGCGATGAAGCGGAGGAGAACTGGCGTCGTCAGCTGCAGGCCATGTTGGTCAATCAACCCTCGGCCCACACCTCGGAACTACTGCAGCAGCTATATAGGCTGGTCAAAGAGCTCACTTTCAAGACCATCAACATTTCCAAGGAAGCGAAGAAGTTCTTCACCGGTATTGGCTCACAGCTAGGGAATAGGATCTCCCTCTTCACGGATCTGCTGAGTTCTCGGGCGGATCCTCCCCAGGTTTGGTGCAGCGAACTGCAGACAACTACTCCCAAGCTCTTTGAGACGCTGCGCTTCAATGTTTTGGAGGTGCAGGAGCATCTGGAGACCTTTTTCGACCGAAAGGATCAAGTTTTGGAGGTACAGTAAATCAACATCATACAATCTGATACATTTGTTTGAATAAATTGTTTTATTTCTAGTGCCTGGATGCAGTGAAGACCAGCTGTAAACTGTCGCTCTTCAATGAGGCGGATGTTGCTGCTTCTGGTCTGGAGTTGCCCACCTCCTCCAGCATTGCCTACATGCCCTTCGATCCAGCCTCCACTGAGGTGGTTCTGGATCTGGGCCGCTCCCTTTACAAGCTGATGTTCCAACTGTTGCTGCTCATCGAATCCAATCACAAGATATCCTCGAATGTGGTGAATCATTTCCGTATCAACGAAGACGTGAGTGAACCGTTTAATTTAAAATTAGTTTGAGTCCTAATCTAATTGATTATTTGAAGATGCATGACATATCCGATCTCTATGCCCTGGTTCGCGATGCCCTGGAGCGCTACACCAGCGAGGCCGAACTGGACTGCTTGGAGTCCTCCACCTCAACGGAGGGAGAGCATACCCCAACGCCTTCTCCTGGCTTGCCGATGACGCACGAGGAGTTTGAGGCCGCTCTCACCGAACACATCGATCTGCAGCGATGGCCCAGCGCCATAGCCCATGTGCGTCAGTATCGACGAATTTCGACGCTGAACGCCAGCGGTGACCAAAACCTGACCATCTTTTGCTATAGCGGCCTGGACAATGGCCAGAAGTGCGATGAGATGTCCGTGATACTAAACGCTTACGCGCATGGCATTATGAAGGATCGCACAGGTTTGTCCTTAAGAAAAAACTAATTTTCTTTAGAATAGTTAGGAAACGCAAGTACACACCAAACTAACAATTTCTACTTCTACAGCAGAGGCCTTCATAGTATCCAAATCCGACTCGGAGCTGTTCGAGATTTATGCGATTCTCTCGGAAAATTTATATCACGTATCCAGCGCATTGACTAACATGGAGATCAGCATGAAAAGCTATTCGGCTGGCAGTGTTTCGGGAAATTTGCATCGTAGCGAACAGGACATTGTGACAAATCTTTAAAGTAATCTGTAGACTAAGTTAATCGCAGATTTAAGCTCCCTTTTATAAGTAATCTTGTAGTATCTAAGCTAAGGGATCATTATTATTGTGTGCAAACGAATGAGTGTTAGGTATGATCCAAATATATTTATCAATTACAGCACAATAAGCTCAATTTAAAAATTTATCATTTTACCTTTCTTGTGGTAAACCACTGACTGTTGGTAAAACAACAACATTTATTAATTAATATTTACATTCAAAGAAGCCATTCAACTTAAAACGATTTAAAACGATCCAAGAAAATGGTGACTGGCTGCCAGCTAGGCAAATAGATTTTTAAGTGCATTTCGTTGCTGTCGGTTGTACTGGGCCAGGAGCTGTTTGGTGCTGTTCAATTCATTCAGGATCTGCTTGTTCTCCGGTAGGAGATTGTGGGCTCGCTTAAGGTCGTTTATGGCCTCCTCGTAGTTGCGCAAACCACGCTGGGCCTGACCGCGTCGATAGAAAGCCTTGCTGCAGCTGGGATCCAGACGAATGGCCTCAGTGCAATCGTTTCTGGCACTCACATAGTTACCCAATTTCAGGTCCACGGCGGCTGAATTTATATTGTTCACCACCGAGAATCCATCGATCTTGAGTAGATCTGTGTCGACAAGGTGCTTTTTAAACGGGTTCAGCTGCTGCCAGCCAAACTGTTTGCTAAGGTAGTGATAGTAGCGATTGGCCTTGCGATACTTGGCTCGCGCTAAATGATAGCGGCCTAGCTGATAAAAGTGATTGCCCGATTGGCGAATGCCCGTTAGCAGCTCCACCGCCGCATCTGCCTTTAATAGGGGTAGTAAAATTGGGTCAACAATGCATTTAATAATGGTGATGGTTATCTTGACTTACTGTGAACTTGTCGAACTTGCGCGTCCAGTCTTGCGGGTAGGCCGGCAGCTTGTCAGCAGTCTCGTCATTGCACTCCATACCCCAATCCTCGCCCGGGGCCACCTCCCCACAGTCCCGTATCACTATCTCCGTCGTGGGATCGCCCTCGTCATTGCAGTTTTGTTCCATTTCTGCTATTATACCCAGGCCGCGTAGAACACGACCTACGACAACGTTTATTCCATTTAGATTCTCGCAGCCCACGGCCGAGATAAAAAACTGTGAGTTGGTGGAGTTGGGCTTGCCGTAGTTGGCCATGCTGACCACGCCCTCATCGTTGTGCTGGGGGAGATTTATCAGTTATATCATGGGTGTAAAATATATATTCGTATGGGGTTATTTTTAACGATTTTTAGTCACTGCAAAAGGTAGTTTAACCACCCTACTACGGGGTTGTAAATATGTCTATCGTATCAAAAGATACATTTATAAATTATCTTTAATCTAGAGATACATCTCTATAACAAGCAATCAAATATGACAAACAATTACTTAAAAAGCTGTTCAAGAGTATGATATTGTTAGGGGTATATATAAATTATATATATATATAACAGCTTGAACAGCTTTTAAAGTAATTATATATATAATTTATATATACCCCTAACAATATCATACTTTTGATATATATATATATATCTAAACGGGACCTCAACAGCCGTTGCTATCTATCCAAAGTCTTTTCGGAACCAAAACTCCTTTTAAAGTGATCTTCAATCTTCTTTGTAAAAGGACCTACTGTTAGTTCAAAGTTCTCGTCCTCGAATACTGGACCGTAGATGCTCTCGCCGCTGGTTCCATCGTTCTTGACAACATCTCCGCTCTGGACGGCGAAGACTCGTTTGATTTTGTGGAATCGAGTGCCCTTGTAGTGGAGTGGTTTGCCCAAGGTGCCCACACCTCGCTCACCCGTGCAGAGGGCACGGAAATTTTCCGCTGTCTTCGGCACAACATCCTTGCGCAGTTCAATTATCATGCGACCCGCTGCGTGAGATTTTATAGACGATTTAACAGGTTGGTATGGCAATGGCCTCAATCTCGGTCCAGTTTGCTTACCATCCTCCTTGCCAATGGAAATTTCCAGAAAAACCAGTGGATTCGTAGCCTTCACAGGTCGGAGCAGCTTGCGTTCTTCCATTTTTGCCCCTTTCGGGCGGGCTTTGAGTTATGTGACTTATCAATGCCCGCCAACTAGAGCTCCGAATTATCACCCGATTTCTTGCAAATAAAATTGTTTACCTTATTTTTGTGGTGTGGCTGTGGGTGGTAAATATCAAAACACCTGCAGCTGACAGGTTGTTGTCTAAGCTATTGCCCAATCGCTCTTGCTGTAGATTACGATTTTACACAGAAATGTAGAAAATTAAAATAACGGTAAAATGTTATAAAAAGTCAATTTATTCCAATAAGAAGGGTTTTTGACTTGATTAAATGCTTTTCTTTTACATATAATTTAATCTTTAAGAAAATTCTGTAAATGTTCATTTAATTTTTCTATTCCATTTCGTTATGAAGACAAATAAAGTCATGAGTATAAATAAGGCAAAAAGTGAACAAATGTTTCAACAAAGGTTCTTTGATTATGTCTTTATTCGATTAAGTTTAAATTGGCGAATATTTAATTTTCAAACTGAACAAAATGTTGCATTTTTTTGTCAGTACTGATTGTCAAAGCGGTAGATGTTTAAGATACTTTAAAGTTTCTGTAAGCACAGGCTTTTTAAATAGACAAGTCAAGGTGATGCCTTCCTATTCCTGTTATTGTTGTCACTCGTTCCTACAAATCTGACTTAATTTCATTATTAGGCTTCCTTGTGGGCTTTGTACCTATACACCTTCGATGAGTTCTAAATTTTTAATGCTTTTGAGACACGCCCAACCAATTTTGATAATTATTTGTGTCCTCCATCGAGTTGCACAATAACCAGGACATATAGCAAATTATTCTAAAGGAACCATGTAATTTGGGCCACTAATTGAGTCCCAAAAGCCATTGCGAATGCCATAAAAGCGTAGGATAACCCTTTTCTTCAAACAGTCTTGGAATAAACTATAAGGAATGCAGGACCTACTAGATCAGGAGCTCGAACGCATCGACAAGCTGCCCAAATTGGGACTTTTTTGGGTGGAGTACAGTGCCTATGCTCTGGGGGTTAATATTGCACCCAGAAAGCGCAGCTCGAAATACTGTCGATTGTAAGCAATACTTTATTATGTTCGGATTTATTTAGTAATTTATCTTCTTCTGGTCTAGAACACGTATTGCCGTATTGATAATTAACTTGAGTATCATCTACAGCCTTGTGGCTTTCATTAAGGAACACTACATGATCTCCTTTGAGACCTACGTTGAGGTATGCATCGGTTTTTGTTTAGAATATATAGTACATTAACTTTTTCTTTCTTTTCAGGCAGTTTTACTCACCTTTCAACTGAGTGTTGGTGTGGTTAAAATGTTTCACTTTCAGAGTAAGGTGGAATCCTGTTCCCAGTTGGTGTTTTCAACGGAGGCAGGACAGGTCCTTAAGTCACTGGGACTCTTTGACTTGGGTAAGGTTGCACACTCTTTAGTAAGTATTAATTTTTCATAAAAACCTTTTGCAGAGTTGCCCAAAAAAAAGGAGCTACTAAACTCATTGAGCTTAATATTGCTCAACAACTGGCTGATCATCGATCGACAGGTGATGTTCTTCTACAAGATCGTCTGCATGCCTGTGTTGTACTACACAATGAGACCCTATTTCCAATACATCTTCGACTGCTATATCATTAAGGATACCTGTGAAATGACTCTGAGTAAGTATATTATGGGATATAGTTTTGATTTTCCTTTTTCGCTGAGTTAACCTTATTTCAGCTTACCCAGCAATTGTTCCTTATGTGCAACTGGGAAAGTATGAATTTCCTTCCTATGTGATTCGCTTCTTTCTACTGCAATCTGGTCCTCTTTGGTGCTTTTTCGGTAGGTTCTTATTTTGGTTCATTAATTCGCAATTAATTTAAGATATTTCTCTGGTAGCCGTGTTTGGTTTTAACAGCCTTTTTGTGGTGCTCACTAGATATGAGTCTGGTCTTATACAAGTTTTAGGGTTTCTGGTTCAGAATTCAACCTCCGATAAGCTGGTTCCCAAGGACCAGAGAGTAAAATATCTTAGATGTTGCGTTAGACTCTTTGCTCGCATCTCAAGGTAATTGGCTACTCGTAATATACTATCTTTTTAACTGCTTTTTTTTTTAGCCATCATTACCAAATAGAAAATCTCTTTAAATACATTATTCTTGTTCAGTGCTGCGTAAGCAGTATCTTGATCTGCATGCTGCTTTACAAAATCAGCACAGTGTTGGTAGGCTTATTTAATTAGCTTTATAATAAATTGATCAGATTCATACTTATATTATATTGCTAGGAAGTTGGTTGGGTGTGGATGGGTATGATTATGGTGTACTTTGTGACCATAGCTTTGGAGATCACCTTGTACAACGTGAGCGCACAAAAAGTGGAGTCGCAGGTGAGATCTTTGGATATCACATTAAATTGTTATTCTTAGAAAATATACCATTCCAGAGTGAACTGCTGTTCTATGATTGGTACAACTGTAAATGGTATAATGAGTCCAAGGAATTCAAGTTTATGATCAAAATGATGTTGCTTTTCACACGACGAACTTTTGTTTTGAGCGTGGGCGGATTTACAAGTCTCTCCCACAAATTCCTGGTGCAGGTGAAATGTTTAAAAATATTATGATTAAATATTTAAACAAATATTCGTTAACCCACTTTTAGGTGTTCCGACTGAGCGCCAATTTCTTTCTGCTACTGCGAAACATGAACAACAAATAGATTAAAGTTGGCTTATAAAAAATTACAACGTTGGAAAAGTTATATTTTGAAGAAAAACTCTTTAAGCGACTTATACACAAAGATACATGGTAATTGTATTGGCACATTAAACGTAGATGACAATTATGTTAATATATAGGTGTTTAGAATAGATTTTAGGTGGAGCTACGGCAGAGATAGAAAAATGCGATTGGATTATCGGATTGGAAAGTGTTTTGCTTTAGTGGTTCTTTAACATATAATACAGTCCGTGGCTGGCTTGAAACTGGTGAAGCACAGTTGGCAGTTTATTCTCAATGTGGGCTTGGGGCATCAGGAACCCTTTGTATCATTTTTGCATATGGCATATGGTATGCGAACGATGATGCGTTAAAGCTTAACTTGGCTCAGTTGATCTCTTTTTCGGAACCTTCTCTGGTCACTAAACAGAATATTTCGGCTAAGGCACTAAAATTACATAATTTCATTCAACGGCTACGTTCTATATCGTAAATCTGATTTGTTCGTCTCGTTCTGATCCTCGTCCTCGAACTTAGTGTTAATTGAAGTAGTTGTTATTGGGAGTGGGCTGGTGGAACTCTACGGTTCCAGGCGATTGCGACTGAAGCAATTGTCGGGCAGAACATTGGATATAAGGCCAATATTTTTCACCTCCTCGGTGAGTTCCTTCAGCTCGGCGTCGTACTTGTCGATCAGATTCTTTTGAATCAGGCGTTGCTCCCTATACTTTTCAATGCGTCCCGTGAGATTCACATTATTGATCTCATCCTCCACAATGGCCAACCGATTCTCTGTGATTTAAATTGAATATTGTATGAATAGGACTCGCTATTAAGTTAGTATAAATTCTAGGACCTACCCAATTTTTCCAAATCGGCTGTGTTGATGTCCTTTAAATTTTCCAGCTCTTCCTTGATGGACGTCAGTTCGGTATTGGCCTTCTCAATCTGCTTCTGGGCCTCCTGGGTATCGGCCTTGGCCTGACCCACCTTCCGCTTGGCATCGTCCACCAGGTTGTCGTCTTTGGTCGAGTTCTCCTCCAGATTGATGATGTCGATCTCGGTGACCTTTACCCTGTGATTAAGCTGGTCGGCCTCTTCCCGCAGATTTCGGGCAGCCACCTTGGTCTCATTGGCCTTGCGGCGGATTAGTTCGGCATCCTGTTAAGAAATTAAGGAAAGAAGGTACGCTTTAGTCGAGTGCCACTGTAGAAAATACCCCAAAACTCTCTATTCTTGATGTTATATACTTTTTAACCAATAAGGAAGTAAAAATTTCCTGGGAGTATCTTAATCGGAAAAGAATTTAACTAATGACTTACCTTCGAGGCCTGTTCAGCGTACTTCAACTGCGCCTCCTGGGCGTTCTTCTTGGCTTCGTTGGCGTTCTTATTTGCCCCATCCAGAGCCTCCTCCGCCTGACTGATCAGGGTCTCCGCATTCTGGATCTCCTTCTCGATGTTGGGCACAGTCTGCAGGGCCTGGGCAGCACTCTCCGAAGAGCGCTGCACATCGGACTGGAATCCGGCCAGCTTTTTGTAGGTTTCGTTTGCCTCCTTCAGTGTGTTATCGCCCTGCTCCACCGCCTTGGTGGCCTTATCGTGGGCGGCCTTGGCCCGCTGCAGCAGCTCAATGTCCTCCTGCTGCTGCTTATCAGCTCTGTTTTAAAGGAGTTTATAAGTAGATAAGTTAATAAGCATTTTACAAGAAGAAACCCAGGTGAACCCACCTCTCGAGCAACGTTTCCGTAAGTTCGTGCTCCGATTCGAAGTTCGCAAAGAGCTCGCCATTGCTGTTGGACAATTCATTGATCTGATTGAGCAGCTTATCCGCCCGCTCGTTGGCCGCCACTGCTTCCTTCTTCAGTTGATTAATATCGATGTCTGGTTGGGTCTGACGGTTCACCTCATTCAATAGGGTCAAGGCGGTCTCATACACCTCGTTGGCCTTGGTCAGAGCCTTCTTGGAGGACTTGACCACTGTGGCCAGGGATTGCTTTACACTGTTCAGCTCCAGACCCACCTCGGAACGCAGCTCAGTGCTGATCTTCTGCTGCAGATCGATGGCACTCTTGGCCAGCTGGTGGGCCTTCTCCACGGCATCCATGGCATCCTTGGCGTTCTTCAGATCGAACTGAGCCTCCGACTCGAGTCGGTCGGCCAGGGCTCGTGCCTCCCGCGAGATGTCTGAGATCTGCTCGGACTGCTGGCCAAACTCAGCGGACTTCTCCTTGGCTCGAGCCAAAGCCTGGGCTCCCTCATCGTTCAGGAGATCGAGTGCATCCTGCAGTTCCTTCTTCGCCTTCTCGGTGATCTCGTCCAGAACAGTGTAGTTCTGGCGCGCCTTCTCGATCTCGGCATTGGCATCCAACTGGTACTTATCCGCACTCTGCAGGTGCTCCCTTACGGTGTCCAGGTGCTTGTGCAGATCATCGATCACCTCGGCATAGGTCTGACCACCTTCACCGGAGTTATCCTGAGCATCCTGGGCCAGAACGGCCACCTTCTCCTGAACCGCCCGCAGCTTGGCCTCGAACTCCTCGTCATTGGTGACTGGGGTGCGGGCGATCTCGTCCAGGGTTTGACTGAGATTGGCCAACTTGGCGCGATGCAGATCGGCAGCATCCTGGACGAGATTGTAGCAATCCGGGCAGTCGATGCAACCCCGATGCCGGTCGTACTTGTTCTCCTTGCAGCGATCGCAACGACGTCCTTCGACATTGTCGTTGCAGGGACACTGGCCATTCTGGTCGCACTGGAATCCCTTGGAGCCGCTCTCGTCGCACTCGCACTGCTTGCATCCCTCGCCGGAGAAGCCGTAGTAGTAGTTGGCGCACTGGTCGCACCGCTGACCCACGACGCCGGGTCGGCAGTGGCACTGGCCGGAGTACCGCTCGCAGGTGGAGTTGTAGCTGCCCACCGGATCGCAGAGGCAGTTCTCGCATCCATTGCCCGATCGGATGTTGAAGTACCCGGGCTGGCACTCGCCACAATCCCGGCCAATCACATTCGGCTTGCACTGACACTGGCCGGTGACCTGGTCGCAACGCGTGATGCTGTGCGCATCCTGCTCCGTGCCAGCCTCAAAGCAACTGCAGCGATCACAGTGTCCATGGGGCAGGGCCAGGGGATCGCCAAAGTGTCCCGACAAACACTGATCGCAGTGCTCACCGGCCGTATTGTGGATGCACTTCAGGCACTCGCCCGTCGTCCTGTTGCAATTGCCCACCGCATTGGGATCCACATTGCCATTGCAATCGCAACTCTTGCAGGTTTGCACGGGGCCCAGGAGTCCAGTGGGATCTCCGAAGAAGCCATCGCTACACTGCTCGCAACGGGCACCGAAATAGCCCTTTGGACACTCCGTGCATATGACCGTGTCCTCGTTGATCTGCAGGCAGGCGCCATCGTTGGGACAGGGACACCGCTTGCAGTCGTTGGGAGTGCCGCCTAGAGCATTGCCGTAGAATCCCTTGGCGCACTGATCGCAGTTATCTCCGTAGGTGTTGTGCTGGCAGATGCACCTGCCCGTCTCCGAGTCACAAATGTCCGCGTGTCCGTGACAATCGCAGGGGATGCAGTTCATGAAGGGTCCTCCGTGGGCGGGCTTGTGCCGATAGCCCGGGGCACAGGACTCACAGAACTGGCCCAGGTAGCCCTCCGGACAGGTGCACTGTTCGATCCAGGTGGCCGGATGGCCGGCGGCTCCGCGATGCGCCGTCTGCAGCTCCACATCGTCCAGGATGGCCTCACCCTGCACCGAGTAGGTGGCCCTAATCTTAATTGCCGTCAGGTTGGACAGGATCGAGAGGAAACCGCGAGCCGTCTGGCTGGGTTGCCACTGGTAATCGTGGTGCTCGTGCAGCCGGAAGGTGTACTCCTTCACTCCCTGATCGGGTATTCCATTGCCCTGGGCGAAGATGGGCAGCGAGATGCGGCTGCCGGCGCCCTCCAAGATCACATCGCTGACTCCCGTATTGGCCACCTGACCAACCAGTTGCAGCTTGAACTTCAGATCCCTGTTGTAGGAGGCGCGCTGATCACCGAGGAATCGATCCGGTGCCTGGAAGTACACGTGCTCATTGCCCTGGGCGGTGGTTCCTATGCTGCGACTGTACTGGTTGTACTTAATGTCGACCTCGCGCTGGTTCAGATCAGCGGCCGTCCAGCGCTCCTTGAACTTATTGAAGTTGGAGGTCACCGAGACGATGGAGTAGCCCGGTGCACTCTGGCACTCGGAGGTGTGGCCATAGCAGAAACATGGTGTGCAGCCAAAGCGATTGTTTTGGTCCAAGGTGAAGAAGCCCGGCTTGCATCTATTAAGGAAAGATGGGAGATTAAAGTGGTTTTCATGTGGTTTCAAATACTTCAAATAATTATTGTTTGAAATTTCTTAAGTTTTTTTTTTCTTTAATATGCTTTTCATTTGAAATTCCTCAAATTATAAATTTTATCTTAAGTTCGCAGACCACTAATTTTGAATAGCAAGTAAAATTGTAAAGTATAATTTTGATTGCAAAAACTTGAAACAAGCAGGTGGAATGCAGACATTTTGTTTAACTGAAATCTAAAGATATTGTACTATTATAAAAAAAGAGCAATCTATGGTTCAATAAAAATAAATAAATTTTTTCGTGGAAAATCAGACTATTTTATTTAGCTTTTATGTGTAATTTATGTGCAAGGCTTTTTAAGTGTTTGAAGTTAGGGGCTTAAAACCAGTTTTATAAAGCAAAACTACTAAACTTGTATAAGTACTGTCATTAAGTAAAAGTGTAAAAAAATATTAGCTATTAAAACGTTTTGTAAATAGCGATTTGTAAAAAATGCTAGGCTGAGTGACCTAAGCTTTAGAATAATTTATGTATTTATCTTTTATAGTAGTCTCTCCCATTCAATTTAAAATGCACTATAATGTGTATACCCCTTAAGATTAAAATACTCACTCATTGCAGCGCCTGCCCTCGACGTTCTCCTTGCAGTAACAGATTCCGGATTCGGGATCGCAGGCGGGGGTGTTCTGATGGGATCCACGTGCGTCGCATCCGCAGGGCTGGCATCCGAGGGGTCCGAACTGGAAGAAGTTGTTGTCGCAGCGGTCGCACTTGTCGCCGGTGACTCCCGGCTTGCACTGACACTTGCCATGGCTGTTGCACTGCAGCGATCTGGAGCCCACGGGATCGCAGCCGCAGTTGACACAATGGGCATCTTCGCGCATATAGAAGTTTTCCTTGCAGCGTTCGCAGTTGGGACCATCGCGATTCTCCCTGCAGTCCAAGCAATGACCTCCATGACCCGTCAGGTTGAACAGTTCCGCGTCGAAGAAGCACTTGTCGGCCAAATTATTGCAGTTGCAGGCTGTGAAAAGAGAGTGAATTTCAGTGGGATTCTCTTTAGTCTTTCCCCCACACTATTTATACAGTTTATGCGATACCAATTCGGGACTCCTGGCCCTATGAGATTGGTTTCCAGACTGTAGTCATTCGACCAGCCCTGGACAAAGGCCAGTAGTAGAAGGAAAACCGCAGGCAAGCAAGGCACAAACATGACTGATGCTCCGACTGGACTCCTCTCAACTGGTGCTGCCTCTAACGGCAAAGTGGTCTGACCTTATATGGAAACTCTAGACTGGACACTGTCACCAGCTGATTGAAAACCTGAACATCTCTCTTACTTACATCTTAAGGTAATTGTAATTATGAACAACAAGTTTGGCAAACGTTGCCAATTGTATTAAAAGTCGAAAATAATATGTCAGATTTGGGATAAGCACTATATTTTAAGTACATATTAACGTTTTGTCTTATCTTTTCCCTTTGCATACGAATTTTTGAAAAACTTTACTTTATAACACACTAGTTTGTTCTATAAACGTAAAATAGCTTGCACTTAAAAACTTATTAAACGTGATCTTATTAATAATTTTAAATGCTAATTCTTCTCATAGAAAATAATTAAGAAAGCATCAAAATAGGTATTTAAGTGAAATTAAAACTCAGTATAAATTTATAAATATAATATTTCATTAAATTTTCTTAATTATTTACTATTTTCCTATTAAATGCAAGCAAGCAAAAATCTATGATCATAAATTGGTAGGTTATCTATAGGTGACGTTCCAAAAACAATTTATAAACAAATCGCAGGCTTAACGTGAAAAATATTCCCAAAATTTAAAAATATTTTTGATAATAGAATTAGATTGCACCTACCTTTGCACTCGTTGACTTCCGTTGAGAGAGACCTCTTCCATTTTTGATCGTTGTAGAGCGGCAGGCAGCGTTCGCAGTCTGTTCCATCGGTGTTGTGGCGACACTCGCAGACCAGCTTCCTCTCACCATTCGGTCCCGGGCTCGGAATACACTTGCTGGCATGCCCATTGCACCTGCAACGGGCGCCCACGGAAATGTCACTGATGGCATAGAAGTACGACTTCAGCACCATCTCATCCCCGAAGACTTCATCGCCGAAGGTGTTCAGGCGGTCCAGGGTAATGCGGATGTCCGTGGCCGTGACCCAGTCCTGCAGCTCCTCGCTGCGCTCAAAGTTGGTGCCACTGGGACGACCCTCCAGCGTGGAGAAGGCAATCACTCCGTCCCTCAGTGGCGAGATGTCACTGAACTCGCTGGTGCAGAAGGCCTGGGCCTCACTCTCACCCTTGCGAATGGGTCGGGAATCGGGCATGAAGTAGGTGTCCCGGCAGATGGCACTGTAGTACTGGTACGGAATCCAAGGTCCGTTCTCCGATGTCCTCTTGGATATCGTAAAGGATTCGGGACGCGGCGAGCGGAACAGAATGCGCACGTACGTTATGTCGAAGGATTTTCCTGAAGTAATAAATACATATATATTTCAGACATATTCTAAAAAATTTATTCGTCTTTATTTGAACTTACCCAGGTGCAAAGTCAGATTCATGTAGTTCGGTTGCTGGATGCCCTCGTGCATGGTCTCCGACTGCCAATAGGTGACCCTGTCGGGATCGTGTAAGTCCGTCAGGTAGGCAGGATGATGATCGCCGTATCTTAAACAGGTATACCATATTGTTAACCATAAAAATAAGTTTCTTAAGGTATTTAACTCACTTGCACAAGTCGCAGTTTTTATGGTTTGTGTTCATGGTTTGTATGCAGAATTGGGTGATGTTATGCTCACCACAAGTATTCGTTACCTCGAAAGGAAGTTCATAGGCAGCATTGACGAACTCAGGCAGACATTTCTAAAGATGAATTAAAGTTTTTAAATTATTAGATGTTTTCTGTATCCCACGTTTAACCATGAAATCGAAATTTAATAATAACATCTAAGCTTTGTTTATTAAATTTCATTGACTTTTTAATATAATTTTTTTGTTATATATAGATTATTATGTGTTTTATAAACTTAAAAAAATTTAAATAAAAATTATAATTTAAAGAAGCAGATATGGTATATTAACATCAAAAAGCGAATACTTAAATATTGTTATTATTATTTTGACAACATAATAAAGGTTCAAAAGTCCCCCTAGTTATTTCTATTCCCCCAAACTGTCGCTTTATTGCTCAATTAGTTCGCATCTCTCACTCGAATTGACCCAACCCAAAAGCTGAGTGCCCAACCGCTAATATTTAAATTCTCTTCAATTGTTTTGTGGACAAACAAAGCGAATTGAGCTCCGGATGCCCCCTTACCTGCGGTCTTCCATACTGATCGTAGCACTCCAGGGCCGGCAAAAAGGTGGTTGTGCGCAGTTCGTGTCCTCCGGCGGAGTTGATGGGTGCCCGCTGGACGCCCAGGATAATGGTGGGACAGCTGGCGACCAGGACACCGATCAGCAGCAGTCGAGCGATGGAGGAGCCATTGAGGCTCCACCGGCTGGGTTTCATTGTGATTTTCGTTGGGCGGCTTTTTGGCTACAGGTGGGTGTTGTCACTAGGATTGTGGACAAGTTCTAAAACTATATCGTTTTCTGGGTGGGTTTTCTTCAAGATTCCTTCGTCTACTGTCGCTCTCTGCAATTCATTACGAAATCTTTCCTATTGGTGGTGCCTGAGCGACTTCAGATGCTGGAAAATGCATGAAATTATGAATCAGTTTAGATACCAAACCCAGAAACATGTGTGGCACATATTGCGGCGGCGAGGAAGACCATGTTCCGGGGCCGATTTTTAATTAGTTCGCCAACCAAATCAGTCGAAAAATAAACTTTACTGGCCGGTCCCAGGCCGGCAATGAGTTCATTTGCTTTTCGGGTAAACAAAACGAAAACTCGAAAGGCAAAACTGCAAATGAAAATTTCAAACAACAAGCAGCCGTGAGCAGAGACATAAATAAACTCTCGAGCATGAGTTCCAGCGGCAGTAGAGTTAAGTATATGTGGTTGTACTGCCCACCATGTGTATTTGCTATTCGGGGACCTGAAGTAATTCTATGCGATGATTTCATCTACTCCCCTACTCATTCTCATTCTCGATTTTGAGCTGCAACAATTACGGCGGCGGCTGTCTTTTAATAATGAGGGATTCTAAGTCATAGTCTACACTGCACTAATTGCAAGGTTAGATTAATTTAGGCTTGCAGATCTTGTGTGCCTTTTTTCTATGAATTCAGTTAAGCAGAGGCACTAATAAGCAAATATTTGTACAGTGTTTTTGCCCGAAGATGATATCACATCCTCTGAAAAAGAATGCAATACGAGAGAAAACTTTAATACAGGAAAATTCCAGTTCTCGTGGGTGAGATGCGGAACTTGAGACCCCATTCAGCTGAAAGGGAAATAAATACTCCTCTGGAATTATATTTAGGGAAGGAAACATCATATACAGATGTATCTCATTCATAATTTGAATTCCTAGAAGCGGCGCTCGTTCTATTCCAAATGTATTATATGCTCGAAATCACAGTCCGGATCAGGGTTTCATTATTATTATCTGTATAGACACACACACAATTCACAACCGAGATTTCTTCGTCTATTTATTGCTTTCATATAAATTCTATTTATATGTATATTTCATTTATTTCCTTTTCTATCAGCACCGACTGAACGAAATCTGTTGTCAGGCTGTCCGACTGGCAGTTGAACCCTTTGCGCAGAGTTCATCGGAGGCCAAGACACAGCCAAGACACTGATACTGTACTACACACCCTGGACTGGAGACACATACTAACTATAACTATATGGTCGGCGGAACGAACATCCGCTCCATTCAGATTTGAGAATCCCATACGCCAGGCAATATGGGTCTTGAGCCGCGGCGAGATACGCGCCCGTTGAACACGAGTTCCTTGGCGATAAGAATTTGGGGCTATGAACTAGCTGATATCACACTCTATATATAAAGACTACAGCTCTGTGCCGAGTTCGTATTTATTTTCTTGGGCTGAAATGCGTTTTTGTTTGCACCTTTTGGCCTGTATCTTTATTGCTCGGTTTGTTTTTATCCACTGTTTCAGCCGCACGCACACTCACACACACAGCAGGTAGAGGGAAATCGCAGGAAAGCACTCAAAAGTCACTCAGATACTTTTACGAACTCCGTTTCGTTGTATCTTATAGATGCACACAGGGCGCAGCAACTGCGTTATTTTCGTTTATTTATCGGCTATTTATATGGTAGATACATTTTCCGCTGCAACGGGGTCTGTAACACATGGCACTTTTGCGGTGATTTCCAAAATATTCCCTACTATTATTCATAGGACTGGCACTTTTCCGAACACACACAAGTGTTGTGTGCACACTTTTCTGCCCTGTTGCATTTCTGCTGATTCGCGTTTTTAAATCCCAGTGGATTGTGTTGCCGCGGGGCTTTCGTGTAATTGTATCGGCACCTCGAAGGCAAGAACCTCACGGATAAACAGTCTTTGCTTTCCGCCTGGTTAACAACAAGTCGAAAAACAGAAAAATAAAAGGTGACCCGAGAAAAACTTGAGACTCCGCTGCACCACACTAGAGTGGTTTCCACTGGATCTAGTGGCACCGCACCACTTACTTCGCCGCTCAGAAGACAACCGCTAACGAGGACGTCCAATGCTCAACTGACTCTCGAGGAATGCGAACCAGCCGATCCATCCGATCGCTCGTTGAGTGAAACTCTGCGCTCAGTATCTGTATCTGCTGCTTTGGGTTTTGGTTCCCTATAGTATATTGTATCTGCACTTGTGAGAGAGGAGCAGACGGATCTGGTTGGAGTGTTTGTGACTGGGAGCTGGGAGTTGTAGTAAGAAAAGCTCTCGAGTCACGAAAATCTTCCTCATTGAAGTACTTCGGTTTGATTGCCTCGCTCTTTTCGTACGAATTCCATTAATTGCTCATTTAGGCGGGCAAATATTTAAACTGCGTTCGTCTTATATGATACGTCTCGAAATAAAATTCGTCAAGATCTGTCTCGGAAGCTGCTCTCTGCTCTACTTTCCGCTAGTTTGTTGCGATTGGAGTTAGCAGGTTATCGCTGGCAAGCTGATAAGGAGGTTAATGTACCACAATCGTCGCAGCACTTTCAGTTTCATTCAAGAGACTATACTGGCATTTAAGGGCATTTAAAGTTCCTTGGGATTGTTTTATGTGTCATGTTTCTGAATTTATTTAAAAGACAATATTTTAATTTTAAATTTACATATTTTTAAGACATTTCATAATAATACTTTTTGCTTTGAATGAGTTTGTTAAAAATGTTTTATTTATTTTAAAATTGTTGTGTTTGGCTCAGAGAGTTTTTGTGTGCTTATACTATTTTACGAAATAAATTTGAATTTTCTTTTGAAAATAAAAACTTAAATTAAAACGATTGGCGCCATCCAAATGAGGTCATTTTTGGAACCTGCGACTGCTTGCACTGCTTGCACAAGCATTAGCCAACACTATTTTTGGCGCGTATTTAAATTAAAATCCAATTTCCTTCAAATCAACAATTTACTGTGAAATACCATTTATTAATTAATATAAGCCCCCAGAATAAAACACGTTTAGTTTATGTTATTAATATAGAGTTGTTTATTACAATAGTTTCTTATGGAAAAAAACTAAATATGACTATGTTGGCTGTTGACACATCGGCTCGAATATAGACGTTCTTTTTGCAGTGTTCGCAGTTGGTACCATCGCGATTCTCCCTGCAGTTCAAGCAATTAAAAAATAAATGTATTAATTACTATAAATCCCCAGAATAAAAAGCATATACATTTTGTGCAATATAGAATGATTTATTATAATAGTTTCTTATGGAAATAAACTAATGTATTAAATATCATTATGTTATATAGACCGAGAGATTTTCCAAAATGCTGAAGAACAAGATTCAAGCTAAGTAGTTAGTAAGTTTGTTAGTTAGAGTAGGAAGAATGCTAATTTCTGTAGTTAAGAAGACAATCTGGCGTTGAAGGCACTTCTTCAGCAGGCCTATCATTTCCCCTGCTCTTTCTCAATGTCAATTTTAATTATATTGACCGTGGGCCCCGGCGAAGTACTTCGCGATTCGGGCAGTCCATTTTGGGGAGCAGCTGCATCCACAATGCACTCGTCGCTGCCGGTGGTGCTAATCGTGATGGTGGGTATGTTATCCGACCAAATGGAACTCTGCGAGTCCTGTCGCATGGTGCGTCGTCGATGGGAATCGCTGCGCTTGGGGAATGTGATGGGTCCGGGCATGTCCAGTTCCTCCAGATCGTCCATTGTGGCCGTTGGAGCAGTGGCCGATGTGGGCACCACTGGGGGCTTCGGTGGTTTCGTGGGCGGACGAGAGGAAGTGCTACTGCCAAAGTGTAGTGGTGCACTGGGCGTGGGCGATTCCGGCTCTGGAGTGGGTGGCATTTCCAGGGCCGTGGAGCTGGACACGCTGGACAATACTGACGGAGGTGGTGGCGGTGTGTAGGCCAAGTAAGTGGGCGTGGTGGGACCCGGCGACTCATCCGAACCCTGCTCCACATCGTCTTTCTTGAGATTGACTGCCTCGCGAACCAGGGCCAATAGGTTGCCAATCTTTTTGCGTCCCTGTCGCGAAAGGACAGACAACTGCCGCTGGTGGTGACCCTGACCCTGACTCTGACCTTGACCTTGGCTGGGCGTGGGTGAGGGCAGGCTCCTCTCCTGCTCCTCCCCGCCACACAACTCGCTGTTCAGATGTTCTGACGCCGGAGTTGCAGGCACATCCGTGCTCTTCTCCACACTTCGCTCATCGAACTTGAAAACTTCGGGCTCAGGCTTGGCCACCGCATTATTTGACTTGAATTTGTTTTTGCGGAACTTGAATTTGCCCAGGCTACCACCGCCACCACCACTTTCCTTGGATGTCGGCAAGGGTTTATCTTCGACCTCCTGCGGCGGCTTTTTTTCGTCAACTATGTGGAATTTGCTCTTGGCCAGCGGGGGAGTTTCTGGTGTGGATTCCTCGGGTGGAGAAGGAGTCGTCTCCGCTTCCTTGTCTTTCGGAACGGGTGTTTGCGGTGGTTCTGGTGTGGTGGGCTCCTCCTCCGCATCCGCCTCCGCCTGCTCCTTGTTTCTCCTTAGCAAGCTGGCGCGGCGCTCGCTGACAATCCTTGAATTTGTATCCGGATCATGTTCATTGTCCTTGGGCGATTCATAGGGTGGCGGCTGCGGCTGCTTGTGTTTGGTGTCCTTTTTCTCTTTCATGCTGCACCTATCCTTGCGCTCGTGTTTCTCGACTTTGAAGCGGCTCCTGGGATGGGTCTCCTTCACCGGGAAATTGCCAGTTGCCGACGCGCTGGTCCCGGCCACAATGGATCCGGCCCGTGCCCGCTCCTGCTTGGCAATCTGAACGATGTCCACCAGGGAGGGTTTGCGGGTGCGTCGGATCTGCTGCAATCGCGACAGACCGAAGCGCTTGTCCTTGGCCTCCTCGTCGTGGGGCAGTGAGTCCTGGTGTTCCGTATCCGTGTCATCGTCATCCCGCCGCACAAACGAGTCCTCATCCGAGGTGGCGGAGCCCTTGCGCAGTGCCTTCTTCATGATGCGTGAGATTAGCTCTGAATGGGAACGAAACAAATGACTTGTGACCTGACAGTCTCACTCCACACTTGGCTTACCTTTCCGGGCCTGATTTTTGTACTCCTCCGTGTCGAAATCCGGCGGTTGGGTGGGTGTAACCGGGGAGCTGGCCTCCAGGACCTTGCGCCAGCGATTTGTCAGCGCGGTGGCTGTAGGTTCCGCCTGCTTGACCTCCGGCACCTTGAAGATCTTCTTGCGCTCCTCCTCGCGTTCCTTCTGCAGTTGGGTGCGCAAATCCTGATTGGCCTCGCGCAGAGCGCCTGTCAGGGAAACCAGGTAGTAGATGATGAGGATGAGCAGCAGCAGCAGTGGAATCACAGTGCTCGACGAGGTCATGTAGTCCAGGGGTTCGTGGAGTTGTCTGCAAAGTTTACATCATGATAATGTAGTTTTATATTTATCGCAAGAACTCACTTAGGCAGAGCATTTCTCGTTGTGTTGGTGATAAACTCAGCTATCCTGTTGTACTCCGAGAAGGGTCCACAATGCCAGGAAGGACGCAGCCAGACAATGGCATACCCCACGGGCAAAACACAAAGGAACAACATGGTCAACAGCAGCGACAGGTAGAAGTTGTTCGATTTGGAGGCCCTGCAAAGAATGCGGATTACAAGGACTAACCATCACCAGGTGAGGACAGGACCACTCACTTGAACACCACCTCGTGCGGCACATTGCAGGTGAGCACTATCCACGAACGGAAGTACATCATGATCATCAATTTGACCAGGTTGATGAGCACCAGGCCCGGCGAGAAGAATATGCCCATCCACACCTGGCCCTGGTTATTAATCAACGTCAGGATGTTCTCGGCTATCTTGAAGTCGCCGTACTGCGGTGCAAACGAAAACAAAGCCTCGCATTAGTCACACCGGATAGAGGATGGTGGATGGTGGACACCGGATGGAGTCGTCGGCTCACCTGGGGAAAGGTCTTCTCCATGTCCCAGCACCAGTTTTGATTGACATACCGCACGAAGAGGGCGCGCAGAAAGTCAATGCACAGGGGCGCCACAATGGACATCAGCTTTTTGGGGAGGCATTGTGGATTGGGATGAGATAATGGTTGGAAAGTGGGGTTTAGTAAGCGCTTTGTAATGAACTCGGTAGCCGGATGCTGGCGCTTAAAAGTTGCCACACGTAACCCGGGTCGTCGTTGCATCTTTGTTGTCCCAACTATACTCCCCCCTCACTATTCTGTGTGGTCCAAATTCATGCACGAACACGTGCCCCAAGTTCGAATCCAAAACCGAACGAGATGGAGATTGCAAACCCAAACCGCACATGACCAAACCCAATTCCCCATTGCCAGCATTTTGTTATGCGTAAAGCATAAATGCGTTTAAGCCACGGCCCGTAAACTTGCCTAATTTATGTGCTTAAATCGTTTAATAGAGATTATGTACGCCATGTCGGGGGGCATAATCAAATTGGATACGAGACCCATGTCTTTCTTTTTTTTTCGGCCATTTTTGAACCAGCGGCCTACACACAGTTTACACGAATGTCGGACAAATGTTAAGTACGAAATAAAAGGGGCAAGTAATCCCCAAATTGAGATGCCTTTGAAAAGTCTGAGCGGTAGTCTACGACCAGTAGGGTTATTGACTTGGCCGACTATCTACGCCGTGTTCTTATCGCAAAAGCGCCTGACTGACCTTGAAAACTTTAGCAATTCCATGAATTTGTTTACGATTAGACTAAAAGTTCACAGCCCAATGGGATGCCAATCGACACTCGATGTGGCAAATGGCCAAATAAAAGTTGGCATTCGAGGGCCAAAGTTCACAATCATGCTTATGGCTTATGTAAATTTGTGACTGGAAATCGAAGAGCGTCCCAAGTTCCTGTTCCGGCTACCAGCTGCGTTTCACATCAGTTGGAAAGGACTCCCGAGAGCGATTATTATGATAAAATGCCTTTCGTTTTCCTTCCATTTCGCCTTCTCTTTTTCGAATCGCTTGGCCTTTTAAGTCAAGTGGATTTTGGTTTGTTAGACGAGCGCAAAAATTTGATTTTCAAAATCCCCATGACCCGGCAAAGGACCAAAAAAAAAATAAAGGAAGACAAAAAGAGTGTTCAGTGCAGAAGCGGAAGACAAATTTTGCGTTAAATTTTCCGGACAATTTAGCTAAACGGGCTTTCACGCCCAGAAAGCTCATGGCTGCTACTCCGTTTTGAGTTCAATCATATTTAAGGCTAAATAGATTTTGATACAGAAGCAGTAGCTTCCGAGCTGGAAGCCCAGGGAAATTGATAGCAGCTCATGGTGATAAATTTGCTTTTAAACTGCGGCAACTTTGGCATCAGAAAAGGGGGATGGCACCGCACTCACCCCGTCGAAGACGATGACTTTGGAGAGCTCCTGGCCCAGAGAAGTTTCCCAGCACATGGTAGTCAAATTGGTTTGTATTTTCTTAATCGCCAGCTGCACCTCCTTGAGACGCTTTTGTTTCTGCTCCAATGGACTGAGTTTCACGGTGGTTAGCTGCTTGGAGTCGCTACTTTGGGTGGTGCTCTCTGGATTTTCGGTGGTGCTGCCGAAGATGTCGTCCTTGGGGCAAATGGTAATCACACAATCGTCTAGCGCCTCGCTGTCCTCGTCGTAATAGCTGGTACTCCCGGTCTCCGATATATCCACATTGCCTAGGTAGTAAGTGGTCCTTACTGATTCCTCTGTGGACTCATCTTCTTCGGTGGTGCTGCTACTACTGCTGCTTTCATAGGTGGAGCTCTCTGGACTTGTTGATTCCGTGGAACTCTCCGTAGTGGATGCATCCTCTTGAGGAGCATTAGTAGTAGTTTGGTATCTTCTTCTGGGTCTTTCAGTAGTTGTGGTAGTAGTACTTGTAGATGTGCTTTGCCTGCTTCTAAAACGCCTGAGATTTTCCCACTCTTCTTTGCTGAGAATCCCATTCAGCGGCCTTTTTGTTGTGGTGGTGCTTGGAATGGTTGGTCTAAAGGGTGTCCAATTTCCGGTCCACCGACTGGGTGTGGCATTTCCCGCCTCAGTGGTTTCTCCCGCTTGACTAGGTGAGACTGAGGAATCATTGCGATGCCGCTTGCTGTACTTACTAGAACGCCAAAGAGGTGGATCACCAACTGCTCTTTTACTGCGCTTTTTTGACTCCTCCTCATCCACTTGCTCTAAAACTTTGGCCAGTGGATCGTTAACCTGCTCTGTGCCATCCTGGTCATCGAAATCTTCCATATCAAAGGGTTCCGAAAAGTTATCTGTTATATCGGAGTAGCTGTTATTTTCAGGAGCATCTGATGTTGCACCCGAGGCAGAGGCCAGTGGTTCATCACTGCCGTAGTCGTAGGATCCCTCATCATTTCCCGTGGTGTAGGAAAAGTTATCTTCTGGCTTCGGTGATTTAGTGGTTGTGGTTGTAATCATTTTTGTGGTGCTGCTGGGTGGTAAAATAGTGGTGTTCGTAGTGGTTGCTGCTGTGCTTGAAGTTGCAATATAAGTTGTTGAGTTTGGAACAGCATTATTTGTTGTAGAACTTGGAATTGCAACATTAGATGTTGAGTTGGGAACATTAGTTGTTGAATTGGGAATATTAATATTCGTTGGTGACTCGGAAGTTGAAACACTCGTTGGTGACTTGGATGTTGAGATACTTGTTGGTGACTTGGATGTTGAGATACTTGTTGGTGACTTGGATGTTGAGATACTTGTTGGTGACTCGGAAGTTAAGATATTAGTTGGAGATTTTGTAGTGTCCGGAATTGCATTAGTAATTTTGGCAGTGGTTGTTAATAAAGTGGTTGCTGCGAGTGCCTCTGTGGTTGTAGTGGCTCTTTCAGTCGTTGTGGTTGTTTCAGTGTCCGTTGTCGAGGGCGGTAAGGTGGTCCAAGGTGATGTGGTGGTCGTAGTAGTTGCCTCCGTCGTTGTCCAAGTACTCAAAGTGGTGGGTGTTGTGGTGGGCCATGTTGTGGGCAAAGTTGGTGGCACCATAGTTGGCGTTGTCAGATTTAAAACCATCAGGGTGGTGGCCAAGTTCTTAGCATTGAAGATGGTGCGTGGTTTTGAGCATTTCACAGTCATGTTATAGCACTTGAGACGCTGCACGGTGGTGGAGATCAAAGCGGCAGCAGCTGTGGTGGTGAAGATACCATCGGTGGAGTTGCCACTATCCTCATCAAATAGACCTTCCGATGTACTATCACTATAAAGAGAAGGAGACGGGGTCATGGCTCTTAGAGCCTCAATTGAACTCAGCAGATTCTTCAGCTCCATGGTATTGGTTTCATTTTCCATCTTTAGCAGTTGCAACGGTCTTTCTTTACTGTTGATCTTGTAGATGAAGGAGAACATCAGCGAGTACAAGTTCAACATGTTCAGGATCATAATTCTGCAAAGGAAGAACGTTTCAGATGTATCCAATTATTTGTAATGATTATTTTACCGTGCCAATTGCAATCGTAGCTGCTGTCTGGGATGCCAGTTCTCGAACAGACCCAGTGCCTCGAATATCATGGGCAGGAAGAAGGAGAGCAGGGTCATGGTCACGTTCACCGCATTGCGACTCAGCCAGTTGTCGTGCTTGGCCAAATCCTCGGAGCTTTAAATAAAAGGGATGACACAGAAAGGAATACATTAAAACGGGGAAAAACAAATGGCAAGGGCAACGATTTCAGTTCAATATTTAATATCGTGTTATAGCATTCCTTTTATCTGTAACCAAAGCTTTAAGTGAGTGCTGAGTATTAAAGATTAAATAGCATACTTTAAAGTAAACAATCAAATTATTATCTTAGATTTTAATGTATAATTTTTTATGTGCATCAAAAGAAATTCAAGAGTAATGATTACTGTTGAATGGTTAATATCGAGTTAAAATAATGCTTTTTCTGTATTTGAAGCTTCAATTGAGTCATGAATATTCAAGACAAGCGTATTTTAAATTAAGTTATGATTTGTTTGAGCTTTATATCCCTTTTTCCCAATCCACTTACTGATTGACCAGCAGCACGACCGTGGCACCCGACAAACCCAGCAGTCCCATCACCAGGATATTGACCAGTATCCTCTGGAGTATCACCCGCCAGCTGAAACGACACGGCACATCGATTATGGTAAGTAAATAGCTTCAGTTGGCCGCGACTTACTTGCGATTATCCTTCTTCTTCTCGGCCTCCTCGAGCAGGGCCTCCTTGAAGCCAACCACCACGGATGCGATGCGATTGTGGGCCGTTTCCGCGTGTCCTGTGGGAGATGGAAAAGTTGTGACGGCAGCTTGTTTGTGGAACTGGCCGGGCCACTTACCAATCATAAAGTCCCAGCCGGTAAAGAGCTTCCAGGAGAAGACGCACTCGTCGTCCTTCGAGGAAAGTTTCGAGTTGCGCGAGTTTTCCGCCATTCTGTCGATGGATCGAGAAAAGTTTTAGTCTGGTTTTCCATGTACCAGTGCCTCTGTCTCCTAACAGGCCATAATTTGTGCTCAAATCCCGACAATCCCCGTTTTGAATCCCAGATAGCATTGCGATTGGAATAATTCACGAACGCCGAGCACGTGCTGCGCAAAAGTGGCGAGCGGAAAGGTCAGTGCCGGCTGCTCACTGTTGACATTGCTACTTTGTTCAATTACGAAATCAACATAATGCCGACAAAGCCATTAAAGCAAGCCGCCCAACGGTCAAAATGGCGTTTTGCCGTTGCCGTTGCCATTTCCGTTTCCGTTTCCAGCCCCGCCCCCTTTTGCACGTGTTTTTGGCCGTGTGCGTGCGTAAATCATAATGGCCAATGCTTTTCCCCTTCCGAAGAAGCAGAAAGTTTGGTTTTTTTTCGGCCCCCGAGACACGCCTCGTGGCAAGATTTGTATTATTTAATCAGCGCTTCAGTGTTGTTTAATTAATTAACGAGCATTCTGACATTTAGTTTGCTTTTTGCGGCTTCGATGACCAGGGATTTAATGAAGTGCCTACCCAACACATTGGGACCCATGACCCCCGGAATCCTATGACCCTTATTTACTTGTGAGTCTCTAGCCCTCCCCCCTCATACTCACTTTCTCAGCGTCGCCACAAAGCTGTAGATATAGACCAGAACGGCGGTGAGGAAATAGGCTAAGGGCAGCTTATATCCGGACGTGCTAATGCCGGATGTGCTTGAATAGTATCTGGGGAAAGACAACAAGGGGAAATGTGGTATGAGGATATTGCCAGCAATTAATATAGTTCTCTTCCCCCAGTTGGGTATTACAATTAAATAATTCCATGAAAATATTATAGCTTCATAACCCTAATAAGGTCGTTCTCCGTTGAAAAGGCTACATAAAACCAAACAGGTTTAGTTTTTTCAATAGTGGCTAGCTTTAATTTCACAGGGACTGTTTTCTGCTCGTCTAATCACATTGAAATATTTGCTACTCATATCTTACTCTATCAGCTTTAGTAAAAGGTCGAACATGGACGTTTGTATTTTGAAACTCACAGCAAAATGATTTGACACAGTTTGTATATCCTTATTGGGAGAAATGTATTGAAATTTTATATACAAATCAGAAAGATAATGAATGTTTAAAATATAGGTTGTAACTATTTTTATACAACATATAAGTTGTTTCATTTAATTTTCAAGAACAGCCCACAAGATTCGATTTTTTAACATTGAAATCTTAGTCTCTTTTCTTACTCACTTAAGAACACAAATAAAATGTATGCATACATGTGCATAAAACAAATTTGATGTATCTGGGTTTAGGGGTCTTCCAATAACTTACCCGTAAAACATAGGTGAATATTTTATGTATCCTTCGAACTCCCAGAAAGTGAAAAGATTGCCGGCCACTCGAGCCTCCGGGTCGGACATCCTTTTCCTCGGATCCGTTTCGCCGTGCTTCGTGGCAAAGTACTGGGGCAAAGCCAAGCGGAAACATAAATGTGCAAAACAAATTGGCTGCTTTTGAGGACACTCACCTCCGGGCCAATGACAAAGGCGACCAGCGGAATGGCTATCATGATATTGACCCACATAAGCCAGCGCAGGAATGTAAAGTAGGAGGCCACGCCGGAGCCGAAGTGCGACTCGATTTCCTTGATGCGCAGCTCCCAGGGAATGAGGACGGTGAGGAAGCTGGTCGTCTCCCGCTTCCAGTGCCTCCATCTCTAGCAGAACGGGATGGGAAATGGATTTACTCCGTGAGTTATGTCTCGGAGGAATTGCAGTCTGCAAGTTCGTATTTTAATTGGTTTTCCCCCCAGAGCGAGAATGCCCCATGCACCGAAGCCCACATAACTCCGTGAATTATGCGAGTGCAGATTTATTGAATGTCCGTCCCGGCCGGAAAGTGGCCCATAAATTGTGTAAACATAAATATTTTTTGCATGACTTGGGGCGTTCGCCCTGGGCCCGTTGCATTTCGCATTCTGCAGGCGGCGTTTCCGGCTGGGAGGAAAGGGTTTTAAGGGGTACTAAAAATCACTTACTGCCGCCATTAAAATTTTAAACCTCGCCCACAAGTCCCGGGTGCTGCGTGACATGGCGAATCGCTCCTGGAGCGCGCCCTCGTGGCGTGCCACATATGTTTTGGCCTGTCAACACATCCAAGGGCCAGATCCGAAAGTCCAAACATCATTAAAAATGCCAGGGCGTTGCGCAAGATGGGAGATAAAGAGTGTGTGTGTGTTTGTGGTGTGAATGAAATCGAAAAGTTTGGCTCAGGATTTGATGAGTGTTCTGGGAGGAGGTTGTAGGTCGTAACATTTTCAACGACCTGACAAGCGGCGTGAAAACGAACGCGCCCAGTTTTCAGGCCCACCACCATCACCTCCTCATCCAAATCCACGCCCATCTTAAAGACATGGCATTTCACCCACCTGCCGCACCAACTTGAGCTTCTTGCGGATGGGCCATGGCTGTAGCTTCACCGACTGTATGACCTCCTTGTGCAGGCGGATGTTCTCAAAGATTTGCTCTTGCGTGGACTCCTGATTGGTGCCCTCCTCTGCGAAGTGGGACGAAAGCAAAGGCAAAGCTAAAACAGATTACACATACGCCCAGTATGCCAGTCAGTACGCCACGCCATGCCATCATTTCGATGGCCGCACGTAGCATGAAAAATTACGGGAAAACAGGCCCCCAGACGTTGATTAGCCGCCACTGGAGGACCCGCCTCCCATCTCGTCCGCTCGTTAACTAAGCGAAATCTGTTTTGGACACTTATGTGCCGGCCCACTTGCCTGAACTTGTCGTATAGACACTGGAGCGCCGCCGCTCCACACTATCCAGCACGTGATCCATGGGACTGGATGCCCGCCGCGAACTCCGGCTGCCGCGCTTGCCCCGATATCCACGCACACTGGCACGTCTCTGCATTATTGCCGATACGGAAATTGAGTAGTCCTCCTCGTCATCAACGTCAACGCCGCCGCCGCCGCCGCCATCCTCGAATCCAATCCCTGGCGGATGCTGGCCGAACTGGGGTTCGTGGTGGCTGCTCTCGGCGTCGCTGCTTTGGTTTTGCAGTGGAAAATCTGTATGGGAGAGTGTAAGATATCAAGGGAAAAGGTTTTACACTTACATAGTTTTCTACGTACTTATAAAGAAAACCAAGAACACAAATATGATACCTTTGAATTTTAAAAAAAGCTTTCTTTACTGTACGTATTTTCTCTTAACTTTCAAATTTATGCTTTAAAGTTTGACCGTGCTTAAATGTTTGCCCTTTCAATATTTATATTAATATTTAGGTACACCTTTTTGCAATTGAATTGTAATAATCTATAAAAAGATGTGATTAATTTGTAACTTTTAGATTCATATTGTTCTTTAGGAAAAAAGATTTCCACATAAAGTCTTATTTTATTTTTACTGCATAGATTCCTATGGCTTTGATTTCAGTTAAAGTTATGTTTAGTTTCTTAAATTGTATAGAAACTAATTAAATTCAAAGGCAAGCTGAAAGTTTTTTCATAAAGTGCCTGGACATACCGTTCAGTTCGTAAGATCTGTGGTCCTCCTGTGATGCAGCTCTTTAAAGTATATGAATGAAAAGGAGCAGAGAGAGCAAGTTAGAGTTCCGTGGTCCTTAATTATTTTTCGCGCTGGGTCCACTCACCTTCTGCCCCTTTGTCCTTTGTAGAATTCCCTCTTGGCATCGGCGCTGCTCTGCATTTGCCAGCCACCTCTATTCAAGTCGCATGGCGGTGCCCAGGTCACAGATAGTTGATGGGGCGAAGTGACTCCCGAGTTGTTCTACGAATTGATGGTGGAAGCTTAACTCAACTTATTTTCAAGTGCTGTTCCGGGACAGCTAATTACTCCAATCACACTGGTAACTGGTAGCACTCTTTTGCGTGCAGCGAAACTTTCACTCTTAATTGCTTATTTATTAATTACACTTGTAGTTATTTGGGATTTATAAATTTATGGGTAGCTTTTCTTGTGCTCTCAAAGAAAATCCTTTTTTAATGGACAAGTTACTAGGTTGTGCTCCTGATTTAGCTAGTTTGCCGACGTAGCGCTTTGGAGCAGCCTTGTGCGCAGACTGAACGGCTTAGATGGCTGACCAGGCCAGCAAGGCGCAAAAGACCATCATCACTACCAGCAAGGACCTCACACAGACAGGTGGAACGAGCGAGCCAGCGAGCGAAAGTTAAATTTTTCTAATAATGAATGAATATGAATGAAGAACGGACAGAGGGAGGACTAGGACCACACGACCCACCCATTGGGCAACTTATCAAAGCCAAAACGTGCCCAAAACCCACACACACACACACACACACACACATCAAGTGGGGCCAAGGAATTTACACGGACATGCGCCAGGACATTGTGGTCGGAGGAGGGAGGGGTGATCTAGGAGGAAACGGGAGCCAGGACCCAGGACCTGACTTCCTCGCCCAGTTGGAACGAAGACGAATGAGTGTAAAAATCGCCAGCGGCATGTGATAACAACGCCGTATCCGGGCGTAACCAGCCAGGACTTCGAATGTCCATTTAGATGGCGTCGTGGGCGAGTGTGAATGTGGGCGTTTTGAGTGCCAGGGAATGTGTGTGTATAGCTTTTGATATTGAGTCACCTTGTATTCTTGGCCTGGCCATGTAAATGAAAATCAAACATGCAAGGGTTGATAAAAGAAAATCGCGAAATTCTAGGGTTTTCCCCGGCTTTCCCTCCTTAATTTTTTTTTTTGTATGTCAGGGGAGCGCCCACTATTGAAATATGTTTCGGTGCTCTCTGCGCCGTGTTTTCTGCTTCTGTTTCTGCTTCGCTTTCACTTTCACTTTCTCTGATTTCACTTTCGTCCCTTTTAATTAAATGGATTTCTCGGCTGGCTTTAATTAACATCAAATTTATCTCTTCGCCACCGCGCACGTGTAGCATAATGTCCGGCGATTATGGGTTCATTACCCGCTGTGCCAGTGGCCTAGGCCCAAATTCGAGTCTTGAGCCAAAGTTCAATGCCGCAATGGCTTCGGATGACCCAAAAAATCACCCACGCCCCATTGTGTAGGCCTACTAAGTGGCTTTCCATGTTCGGCTGCAGTTTTCGCGATTTAACCATAAATCTTGCCACCACAAACATGGCCAACGCCTTTGGCCCGCAGATCGAAATGTGGGTCAACTATACACAATATATTAATTTTTTAGTCACATGGAAAGTAGAACCGAAATAAACAAAAATCTAAGGATCATCAATTGATGCGGCACACGTTGCTCTCGCTCTTCGATCGCCTCCACTTGCTGCGCAACTCGTGGCGGGGCATCCTCATGGCCTGGACCTCCGAGGAGCAGGTGTCCGTGGTGCTGGCCAAGTGGAGACGGGCCGATCCGAAGCTGTCCAGGCTGGTGGAGCGATGACAGATGCGGACATTGGGCATGGTGCGCTTCCGGATGCAGCCGGCATTCTCCCAATTATTCTGGATGATCTCGCGGGCAAATTGGGCCTTGACCCGTTGCTTGTGGTGGCGATTCCAGAGCGGTCCATGGGGGCAGTTCTCCCGGGTCCAGCGACGGGCCTCCCGACAGCCCATATAGGAACTCTCTTTGCTGAACGTCTTCGTGTCCAGCATGAAGCCACGATTGCCCAGCAGCCCGAAGCCGAAGTCAAAAACATTGCGTCCCAAGTTGAGAGGATTGGCTCCATCCTTGGACTTAAACTTATTCGGACCGACGGGATCCAGAGGTCCCTTGGTCTCCTGGTAGAAGCGACGATCCATCGCAGTGCAATACGGCCAGGAGTCGAAGCAAAGCGAGCCATGATCCATCACCTCAAAGTCCACGGGCAGTGAATCGTTAAACTTCATTTGATCAATCGTCTTCAGCCTGCCATGCCTGTGGGTCACATGGTAGGTGATTCCCGAGGGATCTGGTATTTGAATGGTGCCCCTGCCGTGGAAGCGATTGTTGAGGAATTCTCCCGTGTAGCGTGTGCCATCCGGATACAAATAGACCCCAAATTCCTGCATGCCCAATTCATTGCTGGTCCCAGCATATCTGGCTCCAGTCAATAGGATATCCACTTGCGTTATGGACGTTTTCGGCGTCCTCTGGGCCATTTTCACTTTAACAACTTTTGTATTTGGTGCACCGAAAAGATAAGTACAAAAATAATGTGAGACCTTCAAGTCTTGTGAATGCTGAGTGATTATTCCTGGCAATGAAAATAGTGCATATTTTCGATTTGTATTTTTGAAGGACTACTAAGATTTGATTTATTATTTCTGTTCAGAAGCTTGAAACGCATTAAAGGAGACATTACATATTCTTGATCCGCAACACCAGACGAATTAATATAGCCATGCCCAACTGTTTCTATATTGTTCTAAATGCTAGAGACTTGAAACTTTCGCCATCGTCATTTTATATAAGAACGGCGAACAAATTTAACTAAAATTTCGGATTTTTGATCAAAACCTTTTTAAATATCTGTCACATGAATTCGTTATAAAATTTGCAATCGAGTGGCATTCACAGCTAAAAAATTTCATTTTGGTCGGCTTTTCGCCAAAAATGACAATGTAACCCCTTATGAAAAAAGCCGAAATCCGGAGATCCGGAAAAATGCACTTTTATTTCACAGTTCAAAAATTAAAAATATAAACTCTCTCATCGTTAAAAATAAAAGCAGGTTCGCTATCCATTTATTTACCACAATCTAATTGAGATGCAAAAGATTTTACAAAATTAATGTGCAGGTAAGGGGCATTTTTATTTAACTTTTCTATAGACTTCTAGTAGGAGATGCCTGTCCTTTGACGGATCCAATCCAGAGCGCTGGTGATCCTGGCAAATCCAGCAGGCAAGCCCAAGGTGCAACCGTTGGAGGCCACAAAAGCGGAGATTCCCACCAGAGTGGATCCCTGTTTGGTGACCAGTGGACTGCCGGCGTCGCCGAAGCAAGTGGACCTTCCATTGGGAGTGCGGGTGCAGAGAATCTGGTCAGAGACCGTGGTGGACCCATAGAAAGAGGTGCACTCGGAGTTAGTCATTATCTGGAGGTCCACGCACTGCAGCCAGTCGGTTAGTCCATTGTTGAAGGTCGTGACACCCCATCCACAGACACCTGCCCACCAGTTTTCGTACCGCTGGGATCGATTGCTCAGCGAAGGCAGGGCAACCCGGTTGACCCGATTGCTGAATCCAATTCGGGGGATTCGGACCAGAGCAAGATGCTGGCTTCCGGTCACATACTCGCTGGAGCCCACCGTCACCGTGAACTGGGCCTGACTCAGCTTCGTGGCTCCAAAGTAAATGGTCACCCCCGAACTGCCGACCAAACATTGAGCGGAGGTGAGGATCCAGGTGTCGCCAATGATGGTACCACTGCACCAGATGTTGCTCTGTCCAAATGCCATGCCCACTACATAAGGCGCCTGTCCTTCGTAGGCCGGGCTTCCATTGGTGATAATGTGATCGGGATCTCCTGTTTTCTCCGTAGTAGCTGATGCGATGGCTACTGCCCATGCCAAGAAAATTACCAACAGCTTCATGATTCCAAATAAAAGTGGTTGCTGTTCGGATTCAGTAAATGGCTTTATTATATAGTAATTCCCTAGGGTGGGTAATTAGGAAAAGTTAACTTTTTGCACATTAGCGCGATTTGTTTTGGTTATCTTGGGACTTAAGGAAACTTACTAATTAAAGTTGCCAGTGTGTCTTAATACATATTATTTAGGTAAATTATACAAAAAACTATTATAGCCATTAGCTGGAACCATTTAGTGGGTACTCTAAAAATAAAATGTTTTACTCTATTTATTTATTTATTATTTTTACTTATACAGTTACCGATTTGACTGATTATTAACTAATTTGTTGTTTGTAAATAACTGAAACAAAGCCATGATGGAAAACCATCGTTTGTTGCGTAATAAAAACAAATGAAGAAAGTAAATAATTGATTCCAGGTTGATTTGTGAGAATTATTTTTGACCGTTTTTAGCATTTTTCATATGGGGTTTTAGCATAATTTTGCTCTAAAAGCAACAAAATAAGACGCACAGCTTAATAAATGACTTTTTTGTGTAGCTGAGGACCTAAACTATTTATTCCAGGTTGATTAGGAAACATTAATTTTTTGACCGATTTTTTTTGGCAAAAAACCGACCAAAATGAAAGTTTTAAGCTGTGAATGCCACTCCATTGGAAATTTTATAACGAATTCAACGAGGTATGGCATTCCAACATGTGATCATTATTTCCCAGGGTTTTGATCAAAAAACCGAAATAAAAGTGCATTTTTCCGGACCTCCGGATTTCGGCTTTTTTCATAAGGGGTTACATTGCCATTTTTGGCGAAAAACCGACCTAAATGAAATTTTTTAGTTGTGAATGCCACTCGATTGGAAATTTTATAACGAATTCAGCGAGGTATGGCATTCCAACTTGTGATCATTATTTCCCAGGGTTTTGATCAAAAAACCGAAATAAAAGTGCATTTTTCCGGATCTCCGGATTACGGCTTTTTTCATAAGGGGTTACATTGCCATTTTTGGCGAAAAACCGACCTAAATGAAATTTTTAGTTGTGAATGCCACTCGATTGGAAATTTTATAACGAATTCGACGAGGTATGGCATTCCAACATGTGATCATTATTTCCCAGGGTTTTGATCAAAAAACCGAAATAAAAGTGCATTTTTCCGGACCTCCGGATTTCGGCTTTTTTCATAAGGGGTTACATTGCCATTTTTGGCGAAAAACCGACCTAAATGAAATTTTTAGTTGTGAATGCCACTCGATTGGAAATTTTATAACGAATTCGACGAGGTATGGCATTCCAATATGTGATCATTATTTCCCAGGGTTTTGATCAAAAAACTGAAATAAAAGTGCATTTTTCCGGATGTCCGGAATTCGGCTTTTTCATAAGGGGTTACATTGCCATTTTTGGCGAAAAACCGACCAAAATGAAAGTTTTAAGCTGTGAATGCCACTCGATTGGAAATTTTATAACGAATTCAACGAGGTATGGCATTCCAACATGTGATCATTATTTCCCAGGGTTTTGATCAAAAAACCGAAATAAAAGTGCATTTTTCCGGATCTCCGGATTTCGGCTTTTTTCATAAGGGGTTACATTGCCATTTTTGGCGAAAAACCGACCTAAATGAAATTTTTTAGTTGTGAATGCCACTCGATTGGAAATTTTATAACGAATTCAGCGAGGTATGGCATTCCAAAATGTGATCATTATTTCCCAGGGTTTTGATCAAAAAACCGAAATAAAAGTGCATTTTTCCGGATGTCCGGATTTCGGCTTTTTTCATAAGGGGTTACATTGTCATTTTTGGCGAAAAACCGACCAAAATGAAAGTTTTAAGCTGTGAATGCCACTCGATTGGAAATTTTATAACGAATTCAACGAGGTATGGCATTCCAACATGTGATCATTATTTCCCAGGGTTCTGATCAAAAAACCGAAATAAAAGTGCATTTTTCCGGATCTCCGGATTTCGGCTTTTTTCATAAGGGGTTACATTGTCATTTTTGGCGAAAAACCGACCAAAATGAAATTTTTTAGCTGTGAATGCCACTCGATTGGAAATTTTATAACGAATTCGACGAGGTATGGCATTCCAACATGTGATCATTATTTCCCAGGGTTCTGATCACAAAACCGAAATAAAAGTGCATTTTTCCGGATCTCCGGATTTCGGCTTTTTTCATAAGGGGTTACATTGTCATTTTTGGCGAAAAACCGACCAAAATGAAAGTTTTAAGCTGTGAATGCCACTCGATTGGAAATTTTATAACGAATTCGACGAGGTATGGCATTCCAACATGTGATCATTATTTCCCAGGGTTTTGATCAAAAAACCGAAATAAAAGTGAATTTTTCCGGATCTCCGGATTTCGGCTTTTTTCATAAGGGGTTACATTGTCATTTTTGGCGAAAAACCGACCAAAATGAAATTTTTTAGCTGTGAATGCCACTCGATTGGAAATTTTATAACGAATTCAACGAGGTATGGCATTCCAACATGTGATCATTATTTCCCAGGGTTTTGATCAAAAAAACGAAATAAAAGTGCATTTTTCCGGATGTCCGGATTTCGGCTTTTTTCATAAGGGGTTACGAATGCCACTCGATTGGAAATTTTATAACGAATTCAACGAGGTATGGCATTCCAACATGTGATCATTATTTCCCAGGGTTCTGATCAAAAAACCGAAATAAAAGTGCATTTTTCCGGATCTCCGGATTTCGGCTTTTTTCATAAGGGGTTACATTGTCATTTTTGGCGAAAAACCGACCAAAATGAAATTTTTTAGCTGTGAATGCCACTCGATTGGAAATTTTATAACGAATTCGACGAGGTATGGCATTCCAACATGTGATCATTATTTCCCAGGGTTTTGATCAAAAAACCGAAATAAAAGTGAATTTTTCCGCATCTCCCGATTTCGTCTTTTTATTTATGAAAGTTCGACTGGATTCTTGTATTTTAATTTACATCGCTTGCCAAGTTAATTCATTCATATTTATTGGGTTTACTTCTGAGCTCGTGGCTATAATTACTACAGAGCAACAACTAAAATTTTTAATTGGAAACGACGTACATTAAAACACATTGATCTAAGGGATCTACAATTCAAATATGGAACGCGTCATGTCCATGTAACTATTGTGGCGTATCAGATTGGACTGCACCACGTTGATGTTGTCCGCCGGTCGCTTCTGCATCATGGTGTGGGCCGATCGATAGGCATCCGTAACGTTAATGGGCAGTGATTGCTCCCCGAAACTCTCCGACTGGCAACTGGAGGCACCTCCCGATTCCGGATTGCGCACATCCGAGGTACTCGTCCATTCGCGGGGTCCCGTAATCTTCTCCATTTTGGCGCAGGGATGGAGCTTCTGGTACTCCTGCTGATCCCGCTGCCGTTTGTCCAGCATCCTGGCGTAGGCACGCACACACATCTCCGTTTCGTAGGCGGGATCGTCATTGCGCACTGAACGCAGTGGAGCGGTCTGCAGTGGCTCCTCCGGATGACCCCGCTGCTTGGTCAGTTTATGATAGTACCGCTCCCGATGCACCTCCCCATTGGGCGCATAGATGGCAGTGCGGCGCATCTGCGTGCGCTCCGTGGCCAAATTGTTTGCTATAATGTGTCGGCAAAAGCTCGACGCCGGCTCACTTAGATGTGCGGTGCGAGCCTTCCGGCAATGCCGCTTGATCCAGTCCTTATCCCGCTTGCAGCCCACATACATGGTACCGCGGAAGGGACCCGGGCGGTCCGTCAACCAGCAGGTCTTACTGTTGAACAGGCCCTCCTCCACATCATAGCAATGCGGCGGAATATCGCGCGGCAGCATTTTGGCCGTTATGAAAGCGGTGGGTCCCACCGGCTGTTGGCCATAACGACGCTCGGAATGATAGCGCCGATCGCTGGGCGTCAGGTAGTCCCAATCATCGCACTCCAGCTTCGAACCGGCGAACCGGCCCTCGACATGCAGGCCGTCGGAGAACCACATGTCCTCCACCGTCACCAGACGACCATGCTCGAACTCACCCTTGACCGTAAAGCGGTACGGTTGGGCCAGCCGCAAGTGCCCATAGCCGTGGAACTGACCCTGGTGGAACCGGCCGCGGTACTCGCTCCCATCCGGATAGCGATAGCTACCGAATCCGTCCATCACATTCACCAGCTTGTCCCAGGCACCCTCATAGCTGCTGCGTGTGATGAAGTGCCTCTGCTGGGTCTCCGCGGTCAAATAAGACATTTTCGTCCGTATCTAGAGCTGGGTGGAGCTCGTTTTTAGGCAGAGAAATTTTGTGTATAGTCGAAGCAACCAAACAAACTCGAACGTGCCAACTGACAAACTCCAGCTGACCCACTCGAACTCGCCTGGCTTGTTGAGATTACGCATCAGCTTTATGACTAAATAAATGTTTGCCCCCCAAGCCACACACTCGACCCATCCCCATGCCAAACTGGTCGAGTGCAGAGTGTCCAGGGTGTGTCCACCGCATCCACTCGGTTTCGGCCATTGTCGCATGTCTGGCCTAATGAACACTGGGATACCCTTGTGCCCTGCGAAGTTTGCTGTGTGATTTGCTACCTGCTACTTAAACAGCCAAGTGATTTAACTTGTTTATTAACTCCCATAAAGGAGAAACCACTAGCCATCTGAGATTTTGCATGCTTAGCTCGAGCTTACCATATTGAGTAATTAGGCTAAAGTTTAACCGAGAAACCACTCTTTTGATAAGTTTACTTAATTAGGAACCTTTACTGGCAACAACAGATTTGAATCAAGGCGTGTTACAATTAGGTTACAGGCGAAAATCACTCCTCATTGTCGTAAAACTTATTTTCGAAACTTAAGTAAAACGAGGACCGCACATTAGTAAAGTTATTTTTTTGGCAACAGTTTTCCCTAATAAATATAAAGCTTTAAGACTTGGAAACAAAACTTTATGCTAAAAATATTTATTTAAATTAATTAAATTATATCTAATAAGAAAGGCATTCTTCCACCTGTTAGATACTTATAATAATAAGAATAGTATTTTATGTAAAACAAGAGGATGTCAAAAAGGGCATCACAAATTCTTACAAATTTGTAAGAATTTGTAAGTTTAAGGGTCTACAAATGAGCTCTAAAGTGTATGTTCTCCATTTTAAAGTCTTTCTCAACGCCAAATGCTTAAAACAACATTTTTTGGTTTTCGAATAAATTTATTGCACACAAAAATCTACCATATTTTACCGTAAAGAGTAAGGTTTTTTTTGTCCCACTCTAATGTCCATCCATTCTAATTAAAATATTTTATTACCTATTACCAGACACACAGAACGTATGAATTATGTCTGCCTAACAGTGTATATATAAAAGATATAAACTAAAAAAGCTGTATTCATTTATTTTTGTTTAAAACCTACTTTTTAGCTTTTCCAGGGAAAAACACGGGTCTTATTAAGCAAAGCAATTATTTTTTTGGATTAGTTTTTATAATTCTTTTCTGGAACCCCAACAAGCGCATTTTAAGTTCGCCTTGACTTAAGAAATCCTTCACCTGGCTACTGGTGGGGGCTAAAAATGATTTTAACGGCCAACTGGTGCTCGCTGCATTGCTTGACCGGGCCAAAAGCGACCGCCAGTTAAGTGCGATTGATGTTTATGGCCATTGGCAGTGGCAGTGGCAGCAATTGCTGCAGCTGGGTGCTGTCCCGTCCCATTCCCGGGATGCCTCGGGCTCCGTGGCCCATGTCGTTGGCCTGGCCAAATCGTAAGCACTCCCCGGCGGGCCGTAAATCATGCTCACTTACCTCACTGTTGGCGCCAGTGGCCACGTTGCTGTTGTTGCCATTGCTGCTGCTGCTGGCCACGCATCGGAAATCGACGGAACCACCTGATGAGCGTCGCGGTTTGCCGATGTCGAGGCGCAGAATTCCCGGCTTGGGGCGACGGGGAGCTGGGGCCGGCGGGCTCTGCACCCAGTCGGCGTTACTAAACCCCGGAGCTCCAGCGTCAGCTCCAGCTCCCGCTCCTGCTCCAGATGGCCCCGCCGCTTCGTTGGCCTCGTTCTGCATGGCCAAAACCGAGCCAAACAACACACACTCACACACACACACACAGAGAGACTGGGAAAACGCGATTATTCACCGCGCACACGTCCGCCGTGCAGCGCCAGCGCGAACTGACTACATCCGTGTCCTGGCCAGGACTTGGAAGCAACAATTACGCGCGCAGCCACGGGCACTGAAAATAAAATGTGAATTAAACGCGCCACCCACGCGATAAGTGTCAATGGATGTGAGTGTGTGTGTGTGTCGGTTTTTCCCATGTCCTGCCAGTTCGCCAGAGGATGACGTTGGACAGGACACGCGGCACTTTCAACTGTTTCTCCTGGCTGTCACCGACTGGTCTCACATGACACAAAGTGAACTTCCTGCTTTCAGGGTCATCGCGGCCTACCTCTGTGTAATTATGTCTGCCGCTGCCCCAAAAAGTGTCAACAGCTCGGCCCCGAAAAACAAAATATCGCATGTCCCGTTCGCCATGTGAGAAAGCGCCATTTTTCATTTTCACTTTCACTTTTCATTTTTATATTTTTCGCCTTTCCATTAGTGCGTTGCGTTGGCTTGTGTCCTTAATTATGAGCGCAGAAAAGGTGCCTTCACTTTGTTTTCTAATTGTGATACCCAGCATTGATGGGGTATCTTAGTTTTTTGGTCGGGAAACTAATTTAGAAAAAATTTATTATGAATTTGTATAAAATCTGTGTAAGTGGTTTGTTTAGAAAATAAATGAAGAACGTATATTTCTTTAAGGAGTTTTTTTTTAAGGGCTCTAACTTTTCTTGACTCGCAAAAAAATATATAAAACCCCAAAAAAGAAAGTTTATGCACGTATTTTTGCAAGTTTTCCAACATGGAATTTTATATTTTTGACCTAGTAGTAAAACTACCTCTTTTTCTGGGTTTTTTCCTTTGAATTGGCTGTTAACAGCACTTGTTGTATTGAAAAATGGGTGTATTACCCTAGCCAATTGCTAGCAATAAATATGTTTACGCTAGCAGCGAATTTTCAATGGAAAACTCCCCATAAATACTTACGAAAGCTGAAAATATGTGTTCTGCCCAGTGGGGGGTACCTCCAATTCGAGCCAATGCCGACTGCGTAGATGGTATCTCCACCACGACGCTCCCACTTGGCCAGAATGCGCTTGTTAGCTGGCAGGGCCATTCCACACAAGAGGAGCCAGCCAAGCCCACCTGCTGGGCTGTGCTGCTCCTCCTGCGGCATGTCCTCGCATATCCTGCATGTCCTGCCCCTGCTGGTATGCAATGCCTTTCTATTACATGCAAAGCGCGTTAAATTAATTGAACTGTAAAGTGTCAGCAGCAGCGGCGGCAGTGGAAATGGCAGGAGCTGGATAAGGACATGTGGCCCAGCATGTTGCATTTAATTTTTATTATTTTCACTTTATTCTATTGCGCTGAACCAGAGCAACTAATATTAATTTAGCTTGGGGTAAAAGTAGCTTATGAAAAAGTTTTCCTATTTGTCGCAAATGTTTGTGGAATGCATGGTTGTGTGTGATGTATGCATGTATTTGTGTATCCTGGCTTATGCTTAGTGCAAATTTCAGTTTCAGTCTCAAAAATCGTTTGCATAAATTAACTAAAAACCATTTTACGTAAATTAATTTTTGTTTTTTTTTACTTGCATCTATAAATTTCGTGTCTAAATTGCAAATGTCATAAAATCGTTAGGAGAATCGTCTTTTCATTGTGATGCCAGGCAGTAAACGGAAGAGCTACCAAATAAAGCAATAAAAACTCGACAGAGTTTGATGATGATTGAATGCCATTTGGCCGGTTTTAACTCCACTCAAATTTGAATTGCAAAATTTCGCCTACCCTCCGATGATTGTCACAGTGTTTCGCAGATGTCTCTGCATATTCAACTAAGCTTAAGATATCTGGTTTTACTATCCCTAACTTAACCCATCAAAGTTGATGTACTATCTGCTGGGTGTACGACACCTTCGTTGCTTTCTAACTAAAGTAGTACCTAGCTACCTTACCAACCCCGCATTTTATAGCCAACGAATCCCCATAAATTTCAAGTAAATCGCTTATACGCCACGTATGCCGCAAGCTCGGTTTGCACTTGCCACAGCAGCTGACTTAAATTTATAGAGTTACCCAAGCCAAAAAAAAAAAGGGGAAAGGAAAGGGACTGCCAAGCGTAAAAGTAAAATCGATTTATGCATAAAAACGGTGAAGCCGGCAAAAATTTATGAATAACAAACATTTGATCTTTTTGGTCCTGGCTGCAGGAAAAGCTCCTTCCTGCGTTTCCTGCTTTTTGTGTTGTCTTTAGTCCCATCTCTACTGCTGCTGCTGCTGTGGTACTTGCCTTGTTGTTTGCTTAGCTTAATAACCAGTTTTTCTCGTACACGAAAAGTTGGTCAAGTTAAGCAGTGAATGCTCTTTTGGCTTCTGGCAGTGGGTGTTTGTAGGTGGGCTACGTGGCGTATGATTAATGTGCGTGGTTTGTTCGCTTAATGAATTGGCTGGCTGCCGCTTGGCCAAATACTTCCATTTCGTTAATACTTAAATACACATTGAGCTTACGTTTTATGCTCGCTAATTGACTTATGTCTGTATGCCTGTTGCATGGCATCTCAATGAGCATGTCGTTCGTTCCGCTTCGTTTGGGTTAATTTGGTCCTTTAGTCTATTGGTTGTTCGTACTGGCTAGCTATGCCTACGCAAATATATCAAAGCTACACTTAGGGCTATGCTAAAAACTCACTTAACAGCTAATAAACGCACACATTACGCAAATGCGAGGCTGGCCCGCCGTCCTCAGAACGTTGTCACTTTGCCCAGCCGCATGCCGAGCAATTTACGACGCTTTTTGGCGCTCAGCTTTGTCCAAATGGTGCTGCTGCCCTCCACCAGCAGAAATTCGTCGCATAAATCATCCGTCTCCTTGGCAATGCCGCCGTAGAAATGATCCTCCTGATACTTCTCGGAGCGCGAGTCGCCGGAAACGAAGCCGCTCTCCGGTCGCGACAAGGAGGCGGTGTGCCAGGGCAGTTGTTGGAACCATCTCGCCACTTTCGCCGTCGACGATAGCTGCGGGAAATGGGAAATGGGAAATCGGTGGGTGTGGGAGCGTTAAGCGGGTGAGTTGGGGAATACGTAAAGTCAGTGTGTAAATTTATGCAAATGAGTTATGTGCGCAAATTGCTGCCCACCAGCGAAATCCGTAGGCAACGTGGGGACAGAAAGAAAAAAAAAACAAACCGGAAACCAACTACCGAGTAGAGTGAAAAATGGCGACACTTGTTTTTGCTGCTGTTTTCTTATGCCACGGCATCGTTTTTCATTTATCCAGGGGGAAGTTCATACACTGGCCACCACTGGGCCCAAGGGGCGGATGCTTAATGCGCTTAAAAGTATGCTGCATGTTTTTGTCGGAAAAGTCATTAGGGAAATTGCCCAGCCTGGCGTTAACTTTCAATTATTAACGACAATGCATAAACCGGATCGAAAAAGTCGCCAAGGAATTTTACATAATTATGCGATTTTTATTATTATTTCTGTTGTCTGCCGTTCATTTTTGCTGCCTGTATTCCATATTCAAACGAATATTTGAAATTGTAATTTACAAATAACTCTGTGACCTGGCAACTAATTAATTCATTTCACATAATTATTGCTCTTTTGCGGGGAAAGCCTATGCGGGTCACGCATAAATTGAATTAAAATACAACAATTTACAAAAATAACAGTATCGAACTTAACCAGTTTTAGACTAGACTCATTAGCTTAAACACTAGGTGTATAGATATAGATTTCATTTAGGGGAGAGAAAATACTTTCAAACGATTATTGTGAACTTGAGTAAGTTTCTTCGTTGCTGATATGCTAAGATTATGTTTCACAAATACTTTTACTTAAGGTTTGCTGCTGGCTGCTGAAGCTAACCCAACATCAAAGGGTTATAAACTTTGACTTTGGCACACTTTGAGCTAGATAAATAATGCTAAATAGATATATTTTACACTTAAATAGGGTTTGAGCTGGGCAAATAATTGGCACATTAAACGCCAGCAATGCTAGGACACCTAAAATGCATAACTAAAGTAGGGTTTTTTTCTCCTAAATTAATACTGTTCCACCCACTCATTCACTCGATCCTCACGCTCACTATCTCTATGACCTGGTCCACTGGGAGATTTGAACTCCTCTCATTTGGTGGTGTGCCTGGCCCAGGTGGTCCTCTGCACCTGGCTCATCATCTGGCTGCGATTGGGCACCTTCTCGCTGGTGCTCCTTGTGATAAAACTGGGCGTGGCCGATAGCTTCCGCTGGTGACCCGCCTCGTCGGTGACCCTCAACAAAACCGTATTGAATCGCGTCTCCCGACTGCTGCTGCTGTTGCTGTTGCTATTATTGTTGTGGCTCTGGTGGCCATTGCTGCTCCCGGGACTTATGTTGTTATTGCTGCTCCTCAAACGTGGCGAGGAGGGCGAGTCCAGGGTGGAGGAACTCCGACTGGTATCCCTTGTACTGGTGGATCCCCCACAGGCCAGGCCAGCCAAATTGCCATTCGAGACCGCTGCCTTCAGCTGCTCCTCCAAATTGTTCAGATTCTGCTCGATGCTCAGGCGAATGTCCTCGTTCAAGGACGAACTGCCGGCAAAGGAGTTGCGATTCATGGTGCCCAAAGGAGAGGGCGTCAGTGCACCCGTTGCCGCAGGTGAGGTGAGGAAATTGAAACCTCCAGCTCCACCAGCATTGTTGTTGGGCGTGGCTGGAGTGCAGGACAGGGGATTCACATAGAAGAAGGAGTTGTGCGGCGAGGCCGAGGGCGTTGGCTGTCCCTGTCCAGGATTAGCATTTAAATTCAGGGACTGCAGGCGGTTCAGCAGCTCCTGGTTCACTTGAAACAGATCCTTGGACAAAGCATCCTGTTGCTGTTGCTGCTGCTGTTGCTGCAACTGATTGCTGATGGTTTGCAACGCACTCATCGACGGATACGGACTACTGCCGCCCGCCACGGGAGGGGGCGTGGCTGGATTCGGTACCGCCGGCGTTTGTTGTTGCTGCTGTTGCTGTTGCAAATTCTGGAGGTGCTGGCTCTGCTGATTCAGACCACTCAACTGGTGACTCAGCGAGGTCAACTGCTGATTAATGTTGCCCAGATTGCTGATCTGCTGATTGATCGTGGCCAGGTTGTTGTTGTTGCTGGTGGCCTGCAGCAGCAGTTGCAGCTGCGATTGCTAATCGAAGGGGTGAAAGGTCACAGGGCATTAAGTACATGAGCACTCTCAATCAATAATATTAACGAGAACGCACAACGCACAACGAAAAGGGGCAACTATATAAACACTCGTGCAAAAACAAACGGCAGCCAAGAAAAACACAAATAAAACATGCAAAAAGGACGCACAGCTGGGATGGGTTCGAAATCAGCGCAAATTTACGATCGCATAACTCAAAAGCTTATAGAGCGTAGATGATGGGCCCGTGGGCACTCACCTGCGGCGCCATTCCGATGTTGGCCGACGTGAGTCCGGCACTCTGCTGCTCGTTGTAGGCCCCCAAGGAGGCCAGGTGCTCCAGGAGCTCCCGGTTCTGCTGCAGCAGTTGTTGGGTGCGCGCCTGGAATATAATAGTATTCCAAAATTATCATTATTATCCCCTTCAAGAGGTGGTTATCCCCCCAGACACCCACCTGCGCCTCGATGCGCGCATTGGTCTCCGAAATGAGCTGCTCCCGCACCATCATCAGTTGACCCAGAGCCTGGCGCGTTTGCAGAGCCTGTGCCTCCAGCTGATCCTTCAGCTGGGTGATCTCAGAACGCGGCGAAGAGGGAGAGCCTGGCGACTTGTCGTCCACATCGCACTGGAAATACAAAGATAAAATTAAAATTTTTCAAGTGATTATTATTCATTCACATCATTAACATTCAGGTGTGTTATTTATTGGTAAGGAATGAGATTTTTTCTTTAAGGCAGGCTTGCACCTTGTGAAGTCAAAAAAATCAAATTTTTTTTTTGCAGTTTCGGATACATACATGTTTTAATTTTACTCTCCTAAAATTTCAAGTCGAAATCTCTTGAATTACGAAAGTTATCGGCCGTTTGGTGGACCGGTGTCAAGCGCGTTGCCATTATAGTGAAAATTTTCAAACGCGTTTTTCTCGAAACCATGTTTTCCGAGTTGGCGGAAGTCGTACAAGCCGCAAAAATTGAGCAATCGTCATGAAATTTTTTATACATGTTCCTCAGAAGTATGTGCATGGTATAGACTAGGATCTTTTGAAAATATTAAAAATTGTTTATTTAAAAAAATAATGAGTAACGAAAAAATGAGGAAAAAACCGATTTTTTTTTCAAAAGCTCATAATTTTTGCATTTTTTATGTTTTTTCAAATATCCTAGTTCAAGCCATGCGAGCAAGTGTACAGATTAAGAATATATTCGTTTTTTGCGTTTCAGATTATTTCTTAAAATTCCAAAAAATCCGCCATGAGGACGAGTTTTTCGCGGACATGCCGCCATTGTTCGGTACTCCCCCTCCCCCTTCGCTTGGATCGCACTCAAAAAAATTGTGTAGCTTCAATAAACTGTACCCTACAACTGGCTAAAATTTTATTCCCACACCTACCATACTTTCCAAGAAATAAATTCCAGAAAAAAATCAGGTTTTGGGCGCCAACAAGGTGCAAGCCTGCCTTAAGGTGAAACCCGCTATCTAAAAGACAGAAAGCTAAAATTTTAAAATTAAAAATATATCCTATAAAAAACAAAAAGATATTTAAAACATTTAAAATATCTATTCTTATTTTAAGTAGACAACATTTTAAAAAATCTAGTGTAAAAGACCTATAGCTTTCAATCTTAAAAAATAATACAAGAAAACATTTATTTATTTCTTCTTATTCTTAAGGTAAGGTCAGACTCTCTATTAATTTAGCTTATTTTCTGTGAGAGCCAAGACTGTTCAAAGAAAATGTGTTTTTCAAAATATAATAAACATTTTTATATTTTCTACGAAAACTTATGGCTATTCTAGACACTTTCTGCTAAATTATTTATGAGCCTGAACTTTCGATTAATAGTCACATTTCACTTTCACATTCTTGTGTCCAATAAAAAATTAATATTTGTCCCGTGCTTTCCCCATAAAAAAATAACATGAGAATGTTTTATTGTGAAGAGGCTATTAAATTGACATAATTAAATTTAAACTGGGCTATTTTACTCTTTACAAACGGGATTCCTTTATTTTATTCACCTTTCAGCCTTGACAGTATTCGGGGGCAAATGAAAAGTTATTGAATCTGAATATTATTGTTTTTATTTCAGCTTGTTTACCCTCTCCTGACCGCATTGTTAGGTAAACAAATGCGAAATATTATTTTATACATTATGACCTAAACAGAAACGCCAGCAATGGGCCACATTGTATTTGATTTCATTTCAGAGATTTTGGCTCATTAAAATTCGGCAGCGCCGGCATTTTAATTGCCCTGCCAGGATATGGCTGTGATTTTGCTTATTATTAGCGGCCCATTTTGCAGAATGATTATGATGGACATAAGTTACTCACCAGCAGGCTGTTCGATTTGCGTAGACTCGAATGCGATGGCATTAGCTCCAAGTGGCTCGGTCTCTGCGGCTGCGTGTGGCTCAGATCGGGCGTTATGGCCAAGTGCTCTAAAAATAGTAGAGAAATGGTGGAATTGTGAATTGAATGGCCGGCTAGGTGAACATGTGGGCCGTGTAAGGCCCGCCCTCCCATTTGTCAAGGTCGCGGGACACCCACGCGGCCCACCTGGTGGTCTAGTGCCCCACGATCTGTTTTGGCGGCCACTTTCGCGCTTAATTTCCCATTAATTACAGCGTCTAGAGTTCAATATTTGTTTTGATTATGCTGTCTGTCCAATAAATAATGAAACAATTATCTACAGCCTCGCGCGATCGCTATGAAGATGATGATTATGGGTATTGGATAATGAGGATGGGGCGAACGAAGTTCACTTCTGTATTCGGCTGCCGTTTCAATTTGATTAGTTGGAAAATATTTGAGAAAATTTGTTCCAAGAACTTGGCGAACGTTTATATAAAGGTATATACATAGAAGTCGGTAAAATTTTGCGGTTCGGTTTCGTTTCGCACCTGGGGCACGTGTTAATTGGCGATGAATTGCTACAAGCGTTGTAAAAATCCTTCACAGCATGTAAATTAATTTGCCGTTTCAGATGGTTTTTAACACCGAACATTTTGGCAAGTAATTAATGGAATTCGCTGGCATATTCCCTGCAAATATTAAAGAAGAATTTCCACCCTCGCAAACACATGTTTCTTGGTTTAAATTTAGATACCATCTTTTGTAGAATTTTTACAGTCCAAATGACCCATTTCGAGGAATACATCATAATCAATTAGAGAGCAGTTCGAAAAGGCCCGACAAAACAGCTGCAAAGCGGTTCTGTGACATGGAACAACAATTAGTAATCCAAATGTTCAGATTTTACTTATAGCCAATCTATATTATATTGTGATTTGGGTATATTTTGCAAATATCCTAGCCAAAGATAATATACGATGTGTTGATTAACGTAATGGCGTGCTTATTACGTATACGACCTGTGGTCGCGGCAGGCCAAAAACAACAAGCAAACTTTGTAATTTTAGTTTTACTTGTTCTACGGTAAATACTAGATTTGGTGAAACGTAGGTTACAAACTACCAGAACACTATTAAAATGTTGGTGTTTTTAAATGTAAGCTATTTTTGAGTCATGTAAATTTTGTAAACTATTTTTGAGTCAGATTTTAAGTTTAAGTAGACTTGTTCTTTGTGGTAGAGAATTTAACAATTCAACACATTTGAAAAATGAAATTAATAAACTATAGGACCATATTTCGCTATATTTATTTTCAGGACTTGTACTTATATTGCTTATTGTTTTTTTTTCATATTTTATTAGTCATTGCTAATGGATCTTTTTTTGTTGGACTAAATAGGCCCTCCCAACTTGTGGCATAAATTTAGTAGTCTAGGCTAGGGTATTCAACTTTGCACCCCGTCTAACTAATCTTTTCGATCTCAGAGGAATGGCACCCAGACATAGACAAACACACGTGTTCATAATTCATTATGTCAGTGCCGAATCGCTGGTTTTGGCTACTTAAAAGTCAACCAGCGCAGACGGAGAATTACTATATAGCGAATATTACAAGACTGCAGAGCGTGAGGATGAGATATTGAAATAAATAAATTATTTTTGGCACACGACTTCAGGGAACGCCCACATACTCTGTTGGCCACCACGTGAGAGTTCCATGGTCTCTAGTGTCGCCTGGCAACAAATTCGGTTTCAGTTTTCCCGGATCCAATGACTCGGTGATGCCATGGTTATGATGGAAGTATCAGCAAATAATCCATCCCCGATAAGTAGCTACCTTGTGCGCCACCTATTTTCCACCCCACTTGGGCGTTATTTATATTTATATTCTCAGAATTTCTTGCGAATGATGTCGCTGGATGGTTTTAGACAAAAGATTGCAAAAAGAATTGCTTTTTTTCGTGAGGTTTTCAATATTATTTTTTCAGCTTATTTTTGGCAGCAGCAACGCGTTGATGACGTCAAACTACGCCTTGCCTGTGTAAGAGTGTGTGAGGGGAGGGAGGGGGGTGTGGAGGTGATGAGGAGGGGGGTTGGCAAGATGGAAAACCGCATGAAGATTATTGAAAATTGAAGCAATATGTGGAAATTGCTTAACAGCGTCGAAGTGTATGTCGAAAGCTCCTGCTTCTGTTCTTGGTTCTTTTATTTTCGTATTTTATTTTATTTTTTAATATTTTTTCTTCTCATATGCGCAGTCATCTTTTATATTGTACTTTTTACTTTAGCAGGGGTTATTGCCAATCGCCTGTTCAGTGCGTATGTACACTCGTGTATACACAGTATATATATATGTATTATGTCTGCAGTTGCAGTTTGTATATTTACGGAAATAAAGTGAAGAAAACACTGGGAAATGTTAAACAAAATATACAAAATGCACCATCATTTTGAAAAAATAAACTATAACTTAATGAACTTCTTCGGATTTTCAAGTAAAATCATTTCCATGATAATTTAACTTTGGTATGTTTCCTATTGTGGTTAATTTAAAGACTTAACCATGAAATGCTCTCACTTCCCTTGGCAACCTCCATCCCCGGAGAATAAAATGCAATTTAAATGCAAATGCCTCGCTCGCCGCATCGAACTGAATTTGAAATTAAGGAGCAATCATTTGCATGGGAATGCAGAAATGAATAGGAAACTAATGCGACCATCGTCCAGGCTGCAGGCTCCAGAGATTCACCCAGGAAGCGGATGACTGCGATGACAGCCAGAGCTTTTCATTTATTTATTGGCCAGGCAACGAACGACTTTTCCCATTTTTCACCCATTTTTCACCCAAACACCCATCCATTTCACTGAATTATTTTCCGACACTCACCTTTCTTGGGCGTCTCGTTGTCGCCAACGCCACCACGTTCGCCATCTTCGCTGAGCTGCTGTTCGCTGATCTGCTCCACGTCCAGCAGCTCCGAGGAGGATATGTCGGAGCGTTCGTCATTGGGTTCCAGGGAATTCTTATGAAGATTAAATTTGTGGCACACTTCAAAGGCTTGTCCCACGGTGCGAACGATGCGCATGGCCTGAGACTGCAACGGACGGAGAGAGACAGAGGGATTAATTTAATTGTATTATGGATGGCATACAGCGTTCCCCATTAAGACATAACCCAACCCCCGCTCCCCCTCTTCATCAACCAATACCATTGACAGCAATTAAGCCGCCGCTGCGCGTATTACGCATACGCCCCTTTGTCGCATTGAACCCACCTCCGGATCGCTCGTTGCACAGCCGCAGGAAATTGCATCCTTTGTGCGGTTATTGCATAAATTATCACAGTCCGCACCCGCTAAGACCCCCCTGCTTCGCTCCAGTGGGGAACTGCGACGCCTCTGTCTCGCCTGCCGCTGTTCGGTGAGGATGAGTGGCAGCATTTGGTCGCCGGCTATGATGGGTTCGCGGAAGGATAACTTCTTTCGCGGCTTGTCGGTCTTGGGTCGCTCCAGCATTATGCTTCCATTACCGCTATAGCCGCCCCCTCCACCACCACCCCCTCCACTGCTCAGGCTGGAGCTGCTGTGCTGATCGCTGAGACTCTTGCGCCGCTGCAGCTGATGACGCTGCTCGGATCGCTGGTGGAGGAGATGTGCACGTCGCAGGGCCTCCGGCGATGCCTCATAGTGATCCCCGGGTAAACGCTTGAACTTCAGGCGTGCCTTCAAAACATCTCCATTGGTTTGGGCAGCAGATGTGGAGGAGTTACTGGCCTTATGACTTGACTTGGCCACCGGCTGCTCCTTCTTTATAATATACACCGTGTTCTCGTCATCATTGAACAGTATGTGCTTGGGCTTGTGGTCTATATAGGTGTCATCTAGGAAACGAGCTGGCTGACCAACAGGACCCCCGCCTCCTGTCACAGGGGCCATTTCGCGCTCTACGCAACCAATGAGTTCACGGATATCCAAACTCTTGTTCCGCGACAAGAGCTTTTGTTTCTTCTTGTGCGATGGAACTGGAGATTGTGGTGGCTTGTCCTTCAGTTGGAGATGCTTATCCCCCACCAGGATATCCCGGATGAGGCCACCACCGCTGCGGAAGATGTTCTTGTGATAATGCACCTCCGAGGGCTTTTCAACAGGCGCCACCGAGGAAACGGTGGCCTGCTGATCCGCCTGCTGATTCTGCTGATTTTGCTGGACCTTGGCCATGTTGACCTTGCTGCGACTCCGCGTCCAGGGCAGAAAGTCGAAGGCCTTGGTTATGGGACTACGGGGAACGTGGGCGGAGCTGTCCGCGAGATGCGGATGGCGCTGCTTGTGCGGAGCGGCCATGACGAGGGTCTTCTCGTGCTTCATGGCCACAACAGCAGCTGGGCAGAGTTCGGTGATCCGCGAAATGTATCCACAGTCCGCAATCCACAAGGTCGTTAGCTCGCCAATTTGTCACTGCTCACTAAGTTCAATGCTGTTCAGTGGTGTTTTCACTTTTCAATCGGCCAATTAGTTGGCTATTAATTTCATAATTGCTTAGGGTTCTGTGGGTCGCTCCCTTGATCCAGGTTGTTCACACACCGCCGATGCGCCATTTTTCACACCTGCGAGGTGCTATATTTATTGTTTATGTTTCTCTTTGGCCCCTAGGCTGTTGTTTTTGATTCTGTTTCTTTTGCGTGTTCATTTATTTGTGTATTAAATTATTTGCAACTTTTCATGTTGCCTACATATCGGAAAAGAAATATTTTTGTTGGTTATTTTCCGAACATTTCTGCCGCATGCATGCCACAGATTTCTCATTTTCAGGCCAACCCCTCGACCAAAAAAAAAGAACACTGTCAATATGATGTGGGTATTGTTATGGTTAGCCAGCAAGCGAACTTTATGTCAATCATCAGGCGAATGATTTGCATTGGTTTTCTGTCAATGAGTCAGAGTCCTAGTTGCATTTTTATAAGCATTGAAATTTTGAAGGGGTATTATTTATAAATGTTTCGAAAAGAATATTGAACTCTTATTTTATTTTCCATCCACGTTTATATATAAAAACTTGTATTGACTTAAAATACTCTGAGCCTTCTAAAGACGTAATAAAATACCACATGATAAGTAAGACATCAATCTAGTAATTTATCTCAAAGAATTTAATTTATAAAGATGATAGCCTTAATGGATTCTTGTAGGATTGGGAGAATCATTTATGAAAAAGCTCATGCAGTCATCAAAGTTTATTTTCACAAATTTGCTGAACACTCTACTATTACTAATTAAGTCTAGGCTACTGGCCAAATAACTTTGCGGTTTCCCCTTTCAGAAGACTCTCGAGCAGAACTTGGCCAGCACTCAAGCACTTTGAAGGGCTACTTCAGTGGCGGCAGGTTGAGCACTCGCCTGAACGACATTAACAACACATCAATTTGAATTATTTTGACAAGCAATGACAGCACTTGTTGCGCAAGTTGGCAAACAAAACAGAGAGTGAAGCGAAGCATGCTTACAACATGTTCAATATTTGAATACTCCGGGATTCTAGACTAACTCGGCCATTTAACAGTTCTTTTTAAGGTATATTCACAAGAGGTGTCAAAACGTCTCACTTTGCCGTTTTATCAGCATTGCGTATACGCCGCGTGTGCTGGGAAAATCCGTCTTAGCCAAGGTGCCAACTGATTGTCTATCTCCACTGAGTTCGCACATATATCTCCCCAGTGGGACTTGTGCAATTTCACATAAATCAAATTGAGAACTATAAAAAGTAAACGGATAAAGTGTGTGGCAACTTACATTCGTTACAACAAAGCCAAAATGAAAACTTAAATAAATAAAAACGAAAGAAAATAAAAGAAAATTGCGTGGCATTTCGTGGAAAACTACTTGAAAATTGATGGCGTTAAGAATGACTTTGTTAGCTTTGTTTTATGTATTTATTTGAATTTTAATTTCCATTTTACTCTGCACAGCAATCAAATCCGTCAGTTTGTTTGTTTTGCCCGCGCTGTCTGTCATAAGGGAAAATTTTTACAGAAAAATCTTTGTGTCTGGTCTGGCTTTTTAGCACCGTTTTAATGGCACTGCCATTGCCATTGCCCCTGCCCCCGATCTCTGCCTCCATCTGGCCGACTGGCCGGTGTTTACTTGGGCCATAAGTCGTCGGTGGTCACGATGCCACAGCTGCAGGCACATGCCACCGCATATGCCACTTCCGCAGCTGCAGTTAACCACAGTTTAACACAGGGAAAACTGCAACTCGTAAATTCTGCACATTGTCACGTGGTCAGGATGGTTGTTGCCTCATACGCCCCTGTTATTCTGCCCCCGCGCTAATGAACTTCTCATTAGTCATGCAGGCTGCGGCACTTGAAAATTTAATTTACATACTGGCCAGAAAACCCATAGTATACCCGAAAATACGCATAGAATATAAACTTGAGTATTTTTAATTTGCCTCTCGAACAAAGCGAAACACCTGCCCGCACTACCTGTGTCTTTTCCCACAGACTCTCCCCGAACGTTGTTCGATTTTAGAAATACTTTAAAGTAGGCTATTAAAATAATGGATCTATTTTGGCTTGAAATGCAAAAAAATAAAAACAGAAACGAAGCAAAACAAAGCGAAACGAAACGAAACGACGAGGGCAGCCATTTTTGGGAATATGAAAATGGAAAAGAGGGGTGAAAGAACAAGGTACGTTGCGGTTTTCCCCGAGGCATTAGCTTTGCCAATTCCACAGACAACAGGTAAATTAGAAATATTTCCCCATTCCCTATTCAAAACTTGAGAACAAAGTTATGTTCATGAAAATATTTGTACCTATACTTTATGTTTATTTGAGATTTTTCAGCTGTCAAATTTGCCTTAGCTTGTTTATTGTACCAATACGAAATATAGATATAAATAAATAAGCTTAGCAGAAAAGAATCGTAAATATTTCAACCAAAATATCACGTGTGCGTTAAACTTATTGACCATAATTCTATTTATTTATACGAGTCTCCTCATTTCCTTGTACTACCTGTGGTGCGAGTAGCTCATTAACAACTAATATGCATAAACAGTAAATTTTGGAAAAGTGTACGTCACTGAACTAAGTTTGGATATGAATGAATTCGCGTTGCCTTAAGCCAGCACAGAAATATACTTTCACTTAATGGTACACTCTAATTTTTGTTTTAGTAAAGTCGTATTACTGTCCGCACTTTGCAAACTTTTTTCAAGTGGCCTGTGCTGCGGCTTTTCTCTGGTAATTAATTTTCCAGTCAATTTTCTGCTCTCGTGGCTCATTATTCAATCCTTAGCATTGTTTAAAAGTATTATTTGTGTTCTTTTTGCTGGCCACAAGCGTTTAATGGCGTCAGCAGTCCAAATGGTAGAAAAAACCAATGACAAAACACTTTTGGGACTTTATTCCTAGCAACGATTTCTTTCTTTCACAATTTGAAATATTTAATTTTACGGCTCGCTGGGATTGGATGATCTATGGGTACGTTAAAATATTTTTCTTAAAGCTGTGACATGTCATTGCCTGAATTTATTTCTCTTGTATCGGATGATGTTGTGTTTTATTTATTCAAGGGGATGTTTTGCAGGTGGCAGAAATATCGGTTTGAATTAATTAATTCTTTTGTTGTTAGTTGTTTTTTTATAAACACTTCACTTCACTGACATTCACGCACTCATTGCATAATTTTGAATATTTAGATATGAAGTTTTTAAATCACTACACGTCTGCAAAGGCGCGCCGTCTAGAACGCACTGGACAAAGACCGAAATGAGAGAGAAGATCGCCGATCGATAGATCTTCTCGTAGCCGGCTAAATGGAAAAGCTTTTCCCAGAGCTTTTCCGCTCAGCTGTTGGCCCGATCGTTGGCTACATGCTGCGTTTGTTTTGGTTTTGCTTTGGCTTTGCCGTTCCAACGAGGCCCATATATCGAAACGATCAACGAAACCCCCTGAGGCCGGTACAACGCGGCGTATGTGTGATTGCAGCTACTCTTGTGACGTCATTGCTTTGTGTTTCGCGGAAGTAAACAATGGGGCTCCTCGCTTCTTTCGACCATTTTCCGTTGCTCCTGCTTAGCCATTAATCATACACTTTTCATCGCTTTGTCGGGCCGTGTTTGTGTTCATTCAGCTTCCAAATTGCGTTGCATTTGGATGCTACTTGAATAACAAATGCCTGGTATATCTAAGCCTCAGGTGCAACGGAGCTTTTTTTCTGACGCACGCGGCGTATGCGCGATTTTAGACACGTGCAGGCGACGTGTGGCTGATAATGCCCCTGTAGCCATCCCCCTCCCACCTCCTGGCCTTAATTTCTTGTGTCACTTGTCAGCCATTTCGACAGCCAAAAAAACATCGACTGCCCTCTGATGTATTGGAATTTTTCCCCAGAAACCCGCTTGTTAATTAGAAAAGAAAAAATAGAAATGCCAACTTGACATTGTCTACAGACTGAAGTTGAAGGCCAGCCGATTATACCAAGAAATTTGCGTGGTTTGTACTCTCAAGAAATAAATTTGGAACATTTCTGACTTGGAATTAATCAAAAACCGCATTCGGTACGAAATCAAAGCAAATGCATTTCCCCCAGGCGAACGACCACAAAGTAAAATCTGATTTATTTATTTGGCAAATCTCGGCAATAGCTTAATGAGGGGCGATGTCGCCCCGCGAACGGGAAAATCTATGCCGATCCACTGGCCATATAACACGGAAATGGACGCGCCGGCTGGCCAACCCGACTGATGGACAGTTGCGCCTTACTTATCGCCGGGTTTGTTTAGATCCCAGTGCGCTGTAATGGCCAATGAAAAATTGGTCTAGACTGGAACAGATTGACAATGAAAAATAACCACGAAATCATTGGTTCAATAAATAGAAACCGAATGGGAGAATTAACAGGGAAAGTGACTCAGCTTCTTGTAAAGCAAACTTAAAAGTTTTGCATTTAGACGAGAGTTTTAGCAAATTAAATCAAATTATAAAGATTAATTAATTGGTAAATTCTATAACATATAAATAATACCTAAAATTTGTTTCCTAAGTAATTTGTCAATTATTCCGTATTCAAAAATATATTAAATTAAAATTCAGTTTTGCATCTTGCCATTTATAGTCACTACGAATTAATGGAAACTAGATCAAATATAGCGCAATTATAGCACATCTAATAAACTGCACTTCGCTCTTTATAGCGCACACATATTTTTTTTGTTTATTTGCTAGTTGTTTTCGATTCGGTTTTCCAATGCTGGATACTAGCCAAAATTATGCATACGTGTAGACATTTTGCACAAGACCAGAGTTCTTATTTTTAGAGATTCCATGGGTGGCAGTGCGGGGCGTAATGTCAAGTAAGTCACATGTAGCCTGCATTATGCGAATTGCGGTCATAAACATTTCATTGGCCGAAGTAAGAGGAAAAGCCTAAAGCAAACGGAGAGTCTCACCTTTTTGTGACTTTTGAAGACGGAACACTTGAACGTATCCGTGCTGGCATCGCGCGCTATGTAGCTGAATATCTTGAGATCGCTGCTGTCGTGGGACACGTAGAATATTCTATAGATGGGATGATTGAGCAACTCGATTTCCTCGGGGTCATTGGTCCAGTTTTTTTTCTAAACATTAAGTAAATAAATTATATGAGATAAATGAAACATTTAGCCCGACATTGACTTACTTTTCGACGACGCTTTTTGAGCACTACGCGTACGCCATTTACCGATATGTGGATGGTGACTTTTCGCTTCTTCAGATTCTGCACTTTGCACTCGTACTGTAGGGGAAGAAAATGGAAAGTGAAATTTGAATAAGTTTTCGGATACAAGCGAAAGTGGGGCCACGTAATTCCAGAATTTTCAATTAACATTTGACTGCCTGTGACGGCTTGCCTAATGGCAAAGACATGACAATAACAAGCGCCAAATTTACCACGTCTCCTCATTCCCCATTCCCCATTCTCATCGACTGACAGACAAGGCTAATACACAGTAACCCACATACTCACACACACACACACCAAAGTCTACTGGGCTAACACGGTTTAAGCCAGGGCACGCACGACTTCTCGAAATGAAGGAAAAGGGAAAGAATAAACAAGCCTCGTTACTTTTTATGCTACTAGAATGGTTTTTCTTTTTAGCCAGCTTCTTTTGCCTTTTGGCCATATATGTAAGTGTAATCAAAGTATGTGACGCCGGCAAACAGAGAGTGTTGCCTGCTTTTTGGAGCCGTAGGGGGGAGATATTTAAAACCGCCTTCAGCCCGGATAAAAGTTTCTTTAATTGGCAGCCGGAGATGCAAGCATCCTATGACATAGCATGTGGGCGAGGAAATTCGTTAACTTTTCAACTCGCCAGGATTCAAAATTCATTTGCGTCCCACGCGGCGTATGCTTAATACTCACCCTTATGCGTCGCATGGCCTGGACGATTTCGGCTCGAGTATTGGGTCGCGGCACCTCCTCCCAGCCAACAAACTGCAATAAAAGAAAACAATTATTATTTGTAATTTTTTATAGGTCAAACAAAGGAAAGAAAAGCTTCTTAAAAGCCTAAATAAAAACAAGTTGCACCCCATATTTTGCCTCTGAAAATTCCCCAAATATATACCAAAATTGCACCAATAAAAGTATTTTAATATAGCAACCACAAGCGATTCTGTTGCCAACAGCCTCGTCACAGTAAACTGCATTCCTATTTTTAGTTGGTCTTATTTTCTAAATTCAAGTGACGATCTGCCCTTTGCCAAGTTCTTCAAGGGGAATGTTCTATCAGTTACTTAACAAAAATATACTTTTCATTTCGCTGTCAGTCAGCAATATATAAACTTAGTGGCTTTGTGAAAATTTATGGCCAAAAATGAATGCAAACTGTGGCGACAGCAATTGTTTGAAAATAAAAATTACAATTTTAATGCACAATTTTTGTCTTGTTTGCGTTTTTTCTATGCAGCTCAAGGATAACAAATGCGTAGATATGGACCTAGATTTGCGAATTTTATTACAGTGACAACAACAATTTAAATGCGAAATGACATGACAACAACCACAATATACCGAGAGTGAGGGAGAGATGATGCCATCGTCGACTGACAGTGACAAAATGTGCATGAGATAGCAGTCACGCCCTCATCGCCCCCCATTCCGCAATTTATATACATTTATATGCATACAGACACACTTTACACTTTGCCGAACAATAAAAATAAATATACCCATATACCCATAGTGAAGAGGGTTCATTTTTCGGTGGAAAAGCCTTTCGCCTCGCCGAATATCCTTATGCAGAAAACTTTTGAAATATTTCATGGGAAAAGGGGGTATCTATTTATAAAATCCAGCATATGTCTATTCTCTATGATGTATGTCAAGTTATGGTAAACAAATCGAAAGTTTGTACGCCACATTGCGATGAATTTCTGCGAATGCTAATATGTTAGATGATTAATGTTTTGGATATAAGGGATATGGCGTGTGCCGAATCCATATATTTCGGACTAATCCAAAAATAGTTCAAGTCAAAAGTTGAAATATGGCAGAAAATAGATTTTGCACATTAATTCGGAATATTATTAAAGCAAAACGGTGTTAATGCCAGTGCTAATTGATTTCCACCTACGCCCTGATCAATGCCATGTGCCCTAAAAGTCGAAAAAGCAGTTCATTAGTCAGAACTGCGAATGTTTACTTCTCCCGAATACACTTATGATTATGCAGATGTTAAAGAAAAATATTTTTAAAATACTCGCTAGCTGAAGTTTATAACCCACCCTGTCAAGACATATAAATAGATATTTGCATGCCATTACCATTCAAAAGGTTATGAAACGAAGCTTTAAATTCCCCACAAAAGCCATCCGGCAGTAAGCCCATAAAAGCCATTTACAAAGCGGAAAGCAGCCGAAGATGGAGCAGAAAATAAAGTAAAAAGGGGATGGAGGAAAAAAGGAAAAAAGGCTGAAACGAAACTCTCACTCTCGCCCACAAATATTTGGATTGCATTAAATTCATGCAAACACAAAGGATAAGGGATACACAGAGCGCTTATCCTCTCCAGCTAGACAAATCCCCGCGCAAATAAAATAAAGAAAACCAACTTCAGACTCGCTCTGAGCTGGCAAAACGTTTCGTTCACTCTTCTTTCACGCTTTTCCTATTGCTTTTCCCCCCCACCATTTCCATTTCCCTTCAGTTTTCCCCGCCCCAATGCCATTCGCATCCTTTTTTCACTTAAAAACCATTTCAGTGCGACGGCTCTATGCAAATAGCCGCTGGACTTTGTTCGTCGCTTCGTTTAAATTCATTTACTTTGATTAAAACCCAGGCCAAGAGTGGACCTTCCACCCTCTGGAGTAGTAAACTTTTATATCCCTTTCCATGGAGCCAGACGCTTTTACCCACAGCCGCTTTAATATTTTCTTTTAAGCCATAACTTTACCTATGTACACAAAAAAAATAAATGAATACATTTCAACTGGGTTTCCACTGGTTTGATGCTTTTTATGCCATTAATTTTGGAATTTTTAAATATTCACATGTTTTAGTTTTAGCTGCTCCAAAGCTATTACTTTTTTCTGTGTATCGATAATTTTCTATATTTAAAGCATTAAAATTTCGAAATGATTATTTATTTGAATGCTTTAAATGTTTTTTTTATTTTTGAAATACATTTATATACATTTTTATTTGAACGTACTCGTATTTGCCTAATATTTATTGGAAGAACATGGTGTTGTTTTTTATAAGCAAATAAGCAATCGCTTAAGATACTTTATTTTTCTGTGTATACATTTTAAGGCTTCAAAGGTTTATGACCTGCATTACGTTTATTGGTCAATGATGGAGATTCTGTTTTGATTATGAGTTTTATAAAACAACTCACGTTTTTCTTCCACTTTCTTGGGCGTTTTTCCCTTCGATTAATTACGAGCATTGAAATCGATTTTCCCCACTTTGAGTTCTATTTTCATACATTTGTTTATTTATACTTGATCGTTCGGGCGAAAGACAAGTGAAAAGTCAAAAGCTGGCCACGTTTGTTGGCCCTCTCCGCGTGACGTCAGCACGGAGCTCGATGGATGCTCAAGGTGTCCTGAGATATTACCTGTCATTTGTCCCGGCAAAAAGCAATTAAGCTTCGTTTAAAGTCATCCCCAAAATCCTGACTAAGATCATCAAGAAATTGAATGTTGAATTAAGAGATTCAAAGGGGGTGCATGAAAAAGAAATGGGTCTTAAATGGGTTGTGGAGCACGTTTAGCCGACGGTCAACGACAAACAGATTGGAACAGCTTAGTCGGAACGCAAAAAAATATGAGAAAAATGAATAAAAGAAAGCCCCTTTGGCGCAACATAAAAAATCTGAAAAAGGATTTGGTTTTTGGCTCGCCTTTCAGCCTTTCGCCATCGTTTCGGCCATGGCTAATGGCGCTTCAGGCCGGACCAGCTTTCATGTTCAGCTCTCATTGCCCCTTTTGCTCTTTTGGATTTGCCTTTCAACAATGCGAAACATTTGTTTGTACAGCTTTTCCAGCTACGGCGGACCGAAGCGTTGAAAACATAATTTTTCTCGGTTTATTTACAAACAAGAAAGGAAAGCTAACTTCGGGCGGAGCCGAAGTTGATATACCCTTGCAGAATATTCTATAAATTATATTCTCCAAAATTATTCATATGATGCATTCTTAATACTTAAAAAAAGTCCCAACTTCCTAACTTTAAAAACAACAAAGTTATGTCATTTCCAATCGTTCAGTTATATGGCAGCTATAAGATATAGTCGGCCGATCCTTATGAAATTTGGTAGGTCGGATTGATTAACCAAATATAAAATCCATAGAAGATCCCAGCCTCCTAACTTTACAAACACCAATGTTATGGCATTTCCGATCAATCAGTTATATGGCAGCTATAAGATATAGTCGGCCGATCCTTATGAAATTTGGTAGGTCGGATTGATTAACCAAATATAAAATCCATAGAAGATCCCAGCCTCCTAACTTTACAAACACCAATGTTATGGCATTTCCGATCAATCAGTTATATGGCAGCTATAGGATATAGTCGTCCGATCCTTATGAAATTTGGGAGGTCGGATTTATTAGCCAAAAATAAAACCCATAGAAAATCCCAACTTCCTAACTTTAAAAACACCAAAGATATGGCATTTCCGATCGTTCAGTTATATGGCAGCTATATGATATAGTGGCCCGATCCGGCTCGTTCCGACTTATATACTACCTGCAATAGAAAGACAACTTTTGGGAAAGTTTCAAGCAGATAGCTTTAAAACTGAGGGACTAGTTTGCGTAGAAACGGACGGACAGACGGACAGACGGACAGACGGACAGACGGACAGACGGACGGACAGACGGACGGACAGACGGACAGACGGACATGGCTAGATCGACTCTCCTGGTGATGCTGATCAAGAATATATATACTTTATAGGGTCGGAAATGTCTCCTTCACTGCGTTGCAAACTTTTGACTGAAATTATAATACCCTCTGCAAGGGTATAAAAAGAATCAAATCTGTGTGTACACGTGACCCCTGACCCTGCCAGCACATAAATGCCGCAATTTTTTGTCGCAATGCTGCGGGGCATTACAATTTGTATTTGCTTTATTTTTGTGTAAATCGCAGAAAAGGGTTTGTGGTTTAAATAAGTACGAAGTCTAACCAATAATTTGCATAAACATGTTTAAATAAATTTATATACACACTACATATTTACTTTACACTATGCTCTACATTTCTTAGATTTATAAGGCATACTTTTAGGCTGTTGATGCCATTAAAAGCTTTTCAAATTCCAACTAAACACCACCACTTATGTTTGGAATTTGATATGATAAATTAAGGAATGCGAAATGTTTAATTTAATAATTCCTGTTATTTCTCACTTAAATATTTTCATGTTTAACACTTGCAATACAAATGCTTAACAAAAAACTAGCATAGTTTTCAGAGCTCCGCAAATGAAAGAAGTAATCGGAAAATGAGAGAGTACGAGAAAAATACGGAAAGTGCGGAAAAGCTTTCTCTCCCTCTTCTAATCTCTTTGGCCAGTAATTCCACATGTGTAAGAAATTTAAAAATTTAATTAGGAACATAGAACGAAACATTTCCAGCGAAATTAATGTTGAAGACTAAACGAAAATAGATCAAGAAGTTCGGTATTTATAAGCAGTAAATTGACGCTGTTTATTGAAACATTTAATTGGCCACTTTGAAAGCTCTTCAATAGAAATTCGTTTTAAAATTGTTGATTGAATGTGATGTCTTTATTTGTTTATCGATTTGGCATGGGTAAAAAACATGTGTATAAGAGTTTTTTTTACTGCAAACATATTAACTTTTAAAGTACATAAAACAAATATTATTTTAAATCAGTTTCTTAAGCATTGGCTAACCAAAATTGTATCAAATTAAAAAGGTACAGTATATCCTTGGTGTAGTGTAATTGCAGAAAAGCA